ACCCTAAGTGTCCAGTTCAGCACGTTTCCTCTAAGGCTCAACGCCGAGGACCGATTCGCTTCTGATCCTAAGTGTCCGATTCAGCAGATTTCCTCTAAGGCTCAGCGCCGAGGAATACTTTGCTTAGGACTCTAAGTGTCCGGTTCAGTACATTTTCTCTCAGGCTCAGCACCGAGGAACTGTACACTTCGGACCACAAAAAATATGAGGTCCTCAAACAAGTGTATTTTCTTGAGAAACAGGAGGACATTACTGTGCAACAAATCGTATGCAATGTAAGGGCAGTCACAAATTCCCATAACAGAGTTGAGTCAAAAGTGTCCACCACAGTTAGACTTGGAGTTGGAGGAATCGAAGGGTTGGGAGCTGCAGGAACTGATGAGGTTGGAGCTAGATGATCATCCTGATGAGACTTCACCATTTCAGCAAAAAGCACTTCAGCTTCTTGGGCTTGTGGACCCTCAAGATAAGGGAAGGACACTTCCATGTCAGCATTAAAGGCCTCCGGATCGTTCAACTTGTCTCCCGAACCTTGTACAAAGCCAAACCGAAAGGCTTTAGCCCTAGACAAGCGCACCAAGGTAGAGTAACGACCTTGCATCTACTTCCCAGCAGTACCACGGGTGCCAATTGCATTTTTCAAACGCTAGGCCTCAGCTTCCAGTGTCTCCACCTTAGCTTCAGACACGGCCAAACACTTCTTATCTTATAAACATCCCTCGTTTCAGATGCAATCTTTGCATTCATGGCTGCATACGAGACCTTCTTATCAGAATTGCCAAAGATCTTTCTCCAACTTCTTGATGGAGAGAAGACAAAAAGAAAGGGAGAATGACGAACCTCAATGGCTCGAACAGGAGTAGATGGAGGCAGTTATTCCAACTCCATATTACATTCCCCGAGCAACTGCTAGTGCTACAGAGGGGTCGGTAATCATAGAATCACCAGAGTGAAGAACTGATTTATCAGCTCTAGATATAAATGGCTTCCAAGGTGCTCCAATCTCTGCCATGACAAATGCTCTAACCTAGTGATGTGACAAAGTGAAGAACGTAAGGAATGAAATAAACGCAGTAAAAGTGGAAGTAACTCTTATGGAAACCCTTTGGTCAGAATATCAGTAATCACGCCTCAAATCCACTTCTTACGAAATTGGTAATCGTACAGCTTCAATTCCCTTCTTATTAGGAGTAGTATTCCAATTAAAAAAGGAATTGGGGGCTAAGTGTGGAGGGAAAAATCCCCTCCAATGAGAATAATCCACGTCATCATAAATATAAATATATCCTTAATAAGTTTATAAAGCCCACCTCGGTCAAACCCAAATTGAGTTTGATACTAGTCCAAGATCACTGTTCACAAGCCCAATACTATTGTTACTTGACCTTCAGCCCTGTTGAAGCCCGAATTAAGAGATTATCAGCCCAACATGTTAATATTAAACATCCGGCCCGTTATTCAAGCCCAGCTGGTTCAAGGTATATTTAGCCCAGTTTTTCAAGAATGCACAAGTCCTATCAGTTGAAGGATTTACCGTAGAAGGAAAATTCTGAGATAGGAAGTTCTGTACAAGGCAAGTACTATGTATGAAAAATTAGACAACGGAAAGAACTCTATTAGTAAAAAATGTTTATATAGAAAGAATTGGAGGGCAAGCAACGCGAGTCCTACCATAATTTTACAATCTTTTGTATATAAATAGAGGCTTAGACCTCCAATAAAGGGATCAAGCAATTCTACGCTTCGAGATATATTGTTCTTGTTTATTTTTACTATTGATTGAGTGAGTTGTTTTATTTTTCTTAATCATTATTGGTTGAGCGAAATTTTGCACCTACAATATCAGTTTTGATTTAATATTAAATCATAAGGTTAATTTTTTCATTTTATAACCTAATAAACTGGTCGGTCACGGGTATGTGGTAATTTGATAGCATTTCTTTAGTTCAGGGGTTTTTTTAATTTTAGTGTAGATTTTTTGAACAAAAAAGATAATAGAGGGAGATTATGTGATTTTTCCCCTTAAATATATCTCATTTATATATATATATATATATATATATATATATATATATACGTGTAGGTGTGTTGGGTGTGACATGATGGCAGCATACCAACTTTCATGTAGTTATTCTACAAGTGGTCAACAAAGCTTCATTTTATCCATTAAAATAAAATAATATATACTTACCTTTAATAGCTAAAACTTATCATCATTCACATATAACATAGCTACATAATAAAGCTATTTCCAGGAGCTTCCACACAATCCAATAGTCCAATACAACATATCACTTGGCTGCCATAAGCTTAATTTGTAACCTCTAACACAAAATAAAACTTCTCAAAACAGCCCACCCCTATAAAATACTTATATATAAATCATGTCTAATCAAAATAAAATCATGCTAATGAAATTAATTTTGTATCAGAGTCTTATAGTTTTCCAGATGGCTACCGATAAAGCTAAGTCAACTATGTTTATCAGAAGATGAATATGAAGGAGGAGATAAGGGAAAAGAAGGAGAGGAAGTCATGGGTCGATGCTTGGCTTTGCTTGATGGTATGAATGCTATGGTGGATTGTTGTGATATGTTTGATTTTGGGAAATAACCTGTTCTAATGGACCAAATGCAAAGACATTATAACATGGTAGATATAAAATGGGTCTACAGGTTGGAGAGAGAAATAGAGGAGAGAGAGTATAATGTAGATAGGGGTATTTTGGACCATGACAAAATGTAAAAAGTGTTTTTGTATACTTTTGCAATTAGTTTCATAAAGTTGGTAGTCAAATCTAATAATTTGAAAAATTTAGCATTTTTTTAAATATGCAAAATTAAGTAAGTGAGGTTTTAAATTTGTCTAATATTTTTTTATCAGACATTCACTGTATAGAACTTAAAAAAAAAAAAAAAAAGGAAAAAAAAGAGAAGAAGAAAAAGAAGATAAAGAAAGTAATTTGCACTTACACCCCTTTAGGGTTGCAATAAGGATAGATATATACAACTTTGAGAGAGTGTGATCCAATTGCCCCCCCCCCCCCCAAGTTTGCAAACTTTAACAACAACACCCTGTACCTAATTGCTTTTTAACTTCTGAATTGACCCATTTAAATTATTAAAGTACAATATTAACCTTTATAGGTCATTTTATTTGACCAAAATGATCCTTAGTAATAAATAAATAAATAAATAAAACTTTACCACTGTGGCCGCCAATGCCATATGCATACAAACCGGGGCAGACCTAGGACTTTTTAATTGGTGGGGCCAAACTATGAAAAATTAAAATTTTAAAATAACATTAAATCATTGTAAGAATTTTTTTTTTGTGCAAGTTTAATGTATATTGTTAAAATGTGTTTATAAATAATATGCAATAAAATTGAAGAGAAAAGTTGTCATTTAATCATTGTTGTTATTAAGTGAATATATATATTTTTCTTTGTAATCCATAACAAATAATATTTATGTATGTGTGTGAATATATATGTGTGCATAAATATAGTATGTTGTTACAAGGATTACCATAATAATTAATTTTTTTTTAACTAAATTTGATCTTTTATAGCAAGATGTTTATTGGAATTTGAAAGGATTAAAAGTAATTTTATTATTAAACTATATTTAATATCAGGTAACCATAAAGATTTATTTAAAAAAAAATTAGAGTGATCAACTTTTATTTTTATATAGAAAACAACTATTAGTATCATAAATAGAGTGTTAAAACAAAATTGAGGGGGCTAACTTTAATTTTTATGTAAAACATTACCATACATAATTTTAATTTAATACTATAATGAGGTTTTGCAAAAAAAGTTGCTAGGGCCAAGGTGGAGTTTTTGTTTTTGTTTGTTTGTTTGTTTGTTTTTTTTTTTTTTTTTTGCAAGGTTCATTTTGGTCAAATCAAAGGAATTGTAAAAGGTTTATTGTACTTTCATGATTTAAATTGGTCAATTCAGAATTCAATGGGCAATTACATATTCTTATCATGGTTGGAGTGTTGTTGTTCAAGTCTGTAAACTTGAGGGTCAATTGGATTACACTCTTTATAAATTATATCTACCTGTCTTTATTGCAAACTTGAGGGGTGTGAATGCAAATTACACAAAAAAAAAAAATTGTTTAGACTTAAGTCACGTAATCTTTCTCAACAGGTATTGCTCTCACGCTCCGCGCACATTCGTTCAAATTTTTACTATTTATTACATAATTTTGCCGCTCTCTCGTTCCCACTCTTGAATTCGCTATCGCTCCCGCTCCTGCTTTATGTGACTCAGGGCCTGTTTTGCTAGTGCTTTTGTTTCGTATTTTTTGTTTTTGGTAATGTACTTTAGTGAAGCAAAAGCACGAAATATGCTTTGTAATATTTGCTGTGCTTTTAAATAGTACCGAAGCGCTTTCAAAATTGAGGCAAAAATCGAAAGCATCAAAATGGTGTTTTTATTTGTTTCTGTACTGTAGCAAAACACTGTTTAAAAAAAAAAAAGAAATCTAAAATAACATTTTCAATTAACCATTCAAATTTTCAGACTTGTAACACTTTTACCAAATATGCTTTCATATTTTTGCTTTTAAAAATTTTCTAACAAATTTACATCACCAAACAAGCTTTTAAATTGTCTTGAACATACCTGAAGCAGAAACAATCTAGTTAAAAAAAAAAATAAAAATAACTTTAATTGCCAAACAAGCCCTTAAATTTAGACAATTTTATGATAAATTTTTTTCCCTAGAGCCCTCGAAAAAGCATCTTGCGGGTCATTGGGTGTGGGGTCACTTTCTTGTTTAACGTACGTCGTCTGCAGAACATCTCAAAGCAAACAAGAAAAACGCGTGCGTAGACCCCACTCGTCACATCATAGATTATTACCGGTTTAAACGGCCGAAACATCGCTAGAATTTTTTTAAAAAAAAACCTGTCAGACCGCTCCAAATAAAACCTCCCATAGCCATAGCTTCTAAACTCAATAAATAAAAAAATTAAATAAAATAAAAGCTTAAAATTTAAACACAATTCGAACAGAGTATATAAATCAGGACGAATGCTTATACACGACGAAGGCTGGTCCTGAGATCTATAGTATAGAAACCCTAGTTTTTTTCGATCAGATCCACGTGTGCCGAAACCTACATTGGTCGGATCTGATCGAAACTGATCGAATATTGTAAATCTCTATCTGTGCCTGAATTCATATTCAAATCCGATTTGAGTATGACGTGATTGGATGATCCAACTCGGCTGTGTCTGAGTCTGCATTTGATCGTATTTTAAAGTGTTCCTGATTGTTTGGATCTTACTGAGGATTTGGAAGTTCTGGCACTGAAGTACTTTAGATTTCGTTATAATTTCAAAATTTTATTGCATTTGATCCCATCGGCATTGGTTTGGATCTGATCCGAATTTCGGAGCTGTTTTCCTCAATTCGAGATTGCGGTTTTTGATTAAAACTGTGAATTGAGGATCGGCATTGCGTCGTATTTGGTGATAGTTTAGGACATTTTGATGCTTGTAATATAAGTTGCGGTTTCGACAAGGAAATTAGCGTTAATCTAGGTTGAGTTTGTTGAGTTTGTAAGATGTCTTCGTTATCTGCGATCAGCGAGGAGCTTGCGGAGATCGATGGACAAATTGCTGATATCTTCCGAGCTTTATCGTAAGAATTTGCAATTTTTTGTTTTGGATATTTACTTAGCACACAGGTGGCAACCATATTCTTGGTACATTATATGATACATACCCAAACACACACACACATATAATGGCTATAGTTTTTAACAATAATATTATTTGGGTTTCCTCAGTTATTCTTGCATAATTTGTTTATTTTTTCAGAGATATGTCTAGCATATTTGTTAGGCTCATGTAATCTATTTTCCCGCAGAAATGGGTTCCAGAAGTTGGAGAAGATTAAGGATTCAAACAGGCAGAGTAGGCAGTTGGAAGAGCTCACAGGGAAGATGCGGGAGTGTAAAAGGTACTTGACTTTAAGTTGCATATGCTGCTAGCACGAGAATTTAAACTGCGATATGCTTTTTGTTAAGAGTTATAGTCAAGACATTTACCAAAAAAAAACAAGAGTTATAGTCAACACACTGGGGTATCAGGTATGTGAGTTGGCGATGGAGGTGGCTTGAAATTTAGGATGACTTTCTTCTGGTTTAGTTCAGGTGCTATGTTTATAAGGCTTTTACTACTTTGTGTATATATAATGATCAATAAATGGAGTGGAGATAAACTGGCATAGCAAAAAAGATGAGAACATTATAATTAGTATAGGATAATAGCCATTGGTGTTCTCTTATTCTTCCTTTTATCATTATTATATATTTATTCATTCTTCTAATGGAGCTGTAATGATGAATTGACTTTGAAGTATGTGATGAAAGAGCAATATATATCAATTAACTTAAATAAAGTTTGGGAGCATTTAATTCTTTCCCCATTGGGCAAATTTTTTTTCCCTCCAGATTTTATGTTGAGTAACTTGATTTTATTACCTATGTGGGTATCATGACTTAAAAAATGTCTACAAGTTATAATAAAGTATAGATGTGAGAGGAGATGGGTTTCTCAATGTTTCCAAATGGTTGATAGTATATTGTGCAAATTAAAGCATACAAGAAGCTTAGGGAATAATTGAAATAGATGTAATGTTGAATGAAGATCCTCGTAAATGTTTTAGATGAATAATGAAGGATCCAAGTCTTGTATGAGAATTTCATTTTTCCCTTGATATTCTATGTCTTGAATTTTCTGATTCTATAAAGCGATTTCATAAACTGGATGGTTATTATTCATGGTGTAGCCTGGACGAAATTTAGCAAAAGCTTGCGACCAATCATTTGAAGTGGATTACTTGTCCAAGGGTGAGTGATATCCTACATCACTATAAAAGACAGAGTGGTGTTATCTATGTGGCTAGTAAGGTGGACTAAGGTTGTGGATTGAAAAGGGATGGAAATTGCTTGGTTCTGGAGGTGATTAGCTGCTGAATTTTCAAAAAATTAATTGCTAATAATTCCAAAGAACAAGTAGTGATGGATTTTAGAGTCTTGAATTGAAGGCCAAAAAAGTTAGTGGAAGTGGGTAAGGGTCACGTGATTACGTTTTTTGGATACAAAGCTAAAGAAATTAAAGGGTGTTATGATCTAAACAACAATTTTTGATCATGCATAACTGAAGAGGAGGAGAAGAAGATTCTTCCAGGATTCTCATATGAGATTTCAGAGGCTTCACACCTCAAGGGAAGGTTTCATTAGATCGCACAATCTCTAATTTTTCGAAACAAAATTTTACATAGACATTTATAGGCTACTGGGCTAATCCTACTCTCGACATCTAGTAGAGCTAGGATTCAAAATGGGAAATGATGGAACTTTGATTACCAATATTTTTAGACCTACTAAAGACCATATTTAAAGACCCAATAACATTACATGATCCAAAATTAAGGTCTCCAATTTAAACAGTGAGTGCAGTGGCATTATGCTCATATTTTGAACACAATGTTAGGAAAGTAATTGGAAAATTTCGGTTGGATTTTATGTAATAGTGATTGGAATATACATCATTACACTACCCTTAATGGTTTCACTTCTTTGAAGAACCAGGTTAGAACACAACTTCGTGGTAGCTTTGAGTATTTGGGTGTGTGACTAAGCTTTAAACTCTATAGGGAATTTACAGTCCATGGTTGGTAATCAAAATTCGCATGATTTTCACCTAGCATTGAAAATTATCTTGAAGGCTGATATTGATGGATTTTTGACCATCCATCCATTCCATCATTTTAATAAGACATTTCTAGCATCATATTGTGCTGTATACACAAACTTCAGGGCCATTTTACTTCATTTATTAGCCAAAACTCACAACCTCTCTCTCCCAATTTTATTTCCTTTAATTTTTTACTTGGATGTTTTTTGACCTTCACTATTTTGTGTTTAATTCTATGTCACAAAAAAAAAAAAAAAAAAAAAAAAACTTTTGAGTGTACTAGATCCGATGAGATATCATTAAAAGAAATAACGATCTAGTTTTCAAACCTATCTATCTATCTATCTATATATATTTATATGTATATATGTATGTATGCATATAGAAACAATGTTTTGTAGGTAATTGGCCTTTTTGTCAAATGTTTTTTTTTTTTTTTTTTACTGAAATGGACTGGGAGCCTAATATACCCTAAAATCTATCTAGTGGGCGTCCAATTGGGTTGGGAATGTTGAATCCAAGCCTAATGGGCTTTTGCCATCAATTTTGTTACCCTGTTGGGAAAGGAAGTGTTAACATCAAGAATTGACGTTCTTAGAAGTTTGCATTAGCAAGAAACTCAACAATTTTTTTGAATTTACTGGCCTACTTAGTTCAATTTTCTGAATTGTGTTCTATTCTCAGATAATAAAAAAACAGAAAGCAGTTAGAAAAATTCATTTGGTTTACAGTTTGAAAACTGAGTTAAAAAATGCTAGTTTATATAACAGCCTTTTTTAGTTCTTTGGAAACTGTTTTCTGATTCTAGAGTTCTTGAGAATTGTTTTTAGAGAAGTGAAATAGAGCCTTGAGCTTCTATTCCTTGAATTTAATGAAATCATGAAAAGTTAGTAATTAATAGATAATATCTATTTTTTTATGCATCAATATATAGGTACATATGGTGTCCACATATGGGGTTATTATTATTTTTTTTAATAAAAATTATATTTGATCTTTCTAGGCGTAAGCCGCATAACACAGATTGTGCTTATTGATGCTTCAAACGTAATGCGCCATCAGTGAATTTTTTAATGATTCCGTTTTTGTACTTAGTCCTCTCTCTCTCTCTCTATATATATATATATTTCTTAATTTATGGAAACTCAATGACAGTATGTTGCTTCTCCAGGCTTATTAAGGAGTTTGACAGAGAAGTAAAGGATTTGGAGTATAGGTTTGATCCTGGCACCAACAAGATGCTGAATGAAAAAAAGCAATCGATGGTGGGCTTTATTTTCTGAAATTTTATTTAGGGTTTATAGTGATACTGCAAATTGTTGCCTTCTTGTTTGTAACGAAAATTGTCTTATTTTATGTGCAGATCAAGGAGTTGAATTCATATGTTGCTCTTAAAAAGCAGTAAGTTAATGTTTGTTAGCAGTTTTTGTTCTCTGTTTTACGGAGCATCTTTTAAGTCTGTTTGATGTTCGGGATATCCTTTTTCTCAGTCCATTCTCTATCCATCTTAATATTAGCTTCTTGATGGTTTTGCCTTTGATTATTGTCAAAAGAAGGAATTTAACCTTTGCATGTCTCCGGGCTAAATGGCTAATTGCTTACCAATAGAAGATCCAGGGCTAGGTTATGATCTAATATTTGTTTTCCGTTTCAATTCCCTTTTTGCAAGTAAATGAAAAACTGTTGTTTATGTTTTTGTCTTCCTGGTGATATCATTTCAAATATCCTATTTGAACCTATTTTTAAGTTCATATTAAATTTTTTTTTTTTCCCCCTAGTTGGTACTCACACATACTTGTTTCTTCTGAGACTTGAACCTCTGACCTCCCTTTGGGAAGTAAGAGGCTGATACCGCTAGGCCACTGGCCTGTTGGTGGTTCATATTAATTTTATACCAAGGAAATGTTTCTTTCTGGAACCCTAAAGTAGTTACATTACTTCAACAGTTCAACAGTTCATTGGTTCTATTTGATTTGGTTAAAAACATTGGTGAAAAAGAATTCGATGTCAGGCCATTGAGATTTAGCTTAGTAGAAGACTATAACTGTGACCGGCTGTCAACTAGAAGCGACAAAGTTACCACTTTGAAAATGTATCACGCATTGGGCACAACTAAATTAGAACAAAGGAGTTTTTGTGATGTAACATATTTGTTTTGTTTTTGTTTTTGTTTTTTGTTTTTATTTATTTTAACTTCAAGTTATTTCAATTATTCAAAAGAATTGATAAGAAAAGGAATAATGTGATTAGTATATCAACTTTCTTATAGTGTGCTCTACATGGGTACTTCACTTCTTTTGAACACCCAAGTAATTGCATCCATGTGATTCAACATTGGACACATTTGAGTTGACCTTAAAGATTCTATGAAACTTGGAACTAAACTTCTTTTTTCTTTGTTGGACATTCTTATTAGGTACATGTTCAGTAATTCTATGGAAGATCTTAATCCATAGATTGTATATGTTGCTGTCATAAGAAAAACGATCTCTTTGGCAATATATTATTTGTCAGTTAATTAGTTGGGTCAATAAAATGGTTTGCCTCAAATCTCTTTGTCGATACATACATATATATATATATATATATATATGTGTGTGTGTGTGTGTGTGTGTATATGTATATGTGTATGTATTATATGTTGGTTCATTAGGTGGGTCAAGAAATTGTTTTGCTTTGCTAACATTAATTTCTTTTATTTGAAAATTGTTGATTCATAATACGGTTTCTTTTCATATTAAATGTTCTAGAACTTTATTGTTCATGTGCACAAGTGCCATAATTTTACTTTCATGTAAGCTTTTTGTTTTACTCATATACTTATTCTTTGTCATGCTTTGATTAGTTAATTTTGTTTCGCATTTTTTTTCCCCGGGGGGATGGTGATGTAGATATGCGAGCAATCTTGATAACAAGCGTGTTGATCTCTTTGAGGGACCTGGTGAAGGGTATGCGGAAGACAATGTCTTGCTAGCTTCATGTAAGCATTTGACCTTTTGTAAACATGTAACTTTTGATTGATTTAAACATGTAACTTTTGATTGATTTATTCTCTTCCATTGAGGTTTTATATGCTATAAGTGTGAGTTTCTATATTTGGAATTAAATTACCACATGAACCAATTCAATTTTGAGCCATTAGCTGCTAATCACGGTTGTCTTGTTGCATCAGCAGTGGTATTGTGTTTTCTTGTTTGATTGTACTCTTATTTAAGTTGTCAAATCAAACTAGTTAGTCAAGTTCTGTGAAATGTCTCAAAGTCACCATATCATGCATAATCATGTGTACATAAATGTAACAAGTACTGTGTCACCACTATGAGTTAGCATCCGAGGGAGGATGACCTGATTTGAGCAAGAGGGAGAGTTGAGACTAGAGGGAGCTTGAGTAACTGAGAATGGAGAAGATCTCTTATCAGGTTGGATTGTATCTATATGCGTAGTGCATAACCAACACATGAGGTCGAAAATATGAGTCAGTTGCAGTGCAATGTTTTCCTCTAAGATATGAAGATAGACACGAGTCCCATGAATTGATGTTCCTTCTCTCTCTCTCTACTTCACGATTTGAGAGGGAATATTTGAAAGTAAGAGTAGGGGTTTTCAGGGGATAGTGTGTGATGTAATAATAAGATCGCATTAAGAAAAAATGAGGGCAAAGAGGAGAAACATTTGTGTAATACATGTAAAAAGTATTCTGGTTGACCTCCTTAGCCACAAATGAAATGAAAACCTTATTTATAACAGCTAAGTTGTTGCATATAAACTATACCTTTTTGGGAGGTGCCTGGTCCATGTGGATTGCTTTTTTGGAATGGTAGAAATGGGGTCATCTAGAAGTTAGATTATCCATGTATATACCTGGGGAATGCCCCTTGTAAAATTGTATATTTTTTGACTTGTGAGTTGTGGCTTTTTATAAAATAATCTTACTTACACAAAAAATACATATTTAAACAATAAATTATACTTTTTAACATGCATAAAAAGTGAAAACCAAGTAATGTTTTTAAGTTGGTGAGAAAATCTGCCAATTTCTCTTTTATCTTCACTAATGGAGTGCTATATAACTAGATTCTAGATTTTTTTCAACTAACAGTCCAGTCACGGCAATCTGATTGTTTGATGATTTTATAGGGGTTTTGTTTATCAATTGCTACACACTTGAGTTGAACCTTTGTATTGGACTTTCTGACATCAAACTGTTCTTAGTGAGGATCTGGGACTGCCTCTCTGACGTGTTGGCCTCCCGTTATACCACAATGAGGATTATAGGGATTGTTCATCCTTTCAACCAAAAGATTGGCTAAATTCTCTGATTATACAGCCGTAATGCTTCCTACTTTACTCCTAATTGACAGCCCTAGTGGATGTTGAGGCATCCTATTGGTTTAAAGTGAAGGTGAGCATGATGACTGGGCAAAATTGTTGGCATGGGCGTCCCCTTGTTTTTTTCTGACTATAATAGACTCCCATCTTTGACGAGAAAAAATGGAGACCCCCTTGTTTTTTCTTCACAAAGGTGAAATCTAATTGGGATGGCTGCTAGTGCTAATGTATTGCGTGAGTAATCATACTTTTGGGATCTCTGTTTGTGGTTCGCCATGTGGATGAGCCTAAAGCAAACAGGCCCATACACGAGTACATGAAGGCCACCTTTTACAGTTCTCGTCTCCATTGACTTTGCTAATTCTTTGCTTTAGTATTTAGAGTTGATATGTTAACGATTTAGGTTGGGTATCCTTCAGTTGGCTTCTGTGGCCTAATTTTCAGTGCCACGTAAGAGTTGATATGTTAATGATTTAGGTTGGGTATCCTTCAGTTGGCTTCTGTGGCATAATTTTCAGTGCCACGTATTGGTGAAATGTTTGTCCTGGTGAAACAGTTTAAGTTCTGCACGCTTTCCAATTCTGGAATCTTATGAAAGTAGAAGCCTTTTCCATTTTCATTTAATGCCAAAGTTAACGATTTTTTTTGTAGTTTGTGTCGAATCTTTTCTTGTATCTGACATACGCACAACTTTGGCATGTTAGATGAAAATTTCTTTTTTCAAACTGTTGTTCATTCTTCTTTTAATTTCCGAGTCCAAGAATATATATATATTGCAGCTATGACAAACCAGCAGCTAATGGATAATGGAAATCATATGATGGACGAGACTGATCAAGCTATAGAGAGGTCAAAAAAGGTTAGCCTATCTCAGTACAAAGAAGAAACACTTCTATACTGCCCACGAGATTCTCTTACTGCTCCTTATATGAGTTACTGTATTAATTATTCTCTCTTTTACCTTGCTCTTTTGTACTTGAAATTATAAAATTAGAAACATCTGTTTTTCTAACCAGAAGTGATTGTTCCTTTCAGTATTACTTCTCCACAGATAATGACTTGACTTTTTCAGTTTCTCACTTTTGTTTATTTTGGTGAGGTTGTAACCTTTCTAGGCACAGTGGTATTTAAAGACCATTAGGCTCTTAATCCAGTAGGTAAGAGGCTAATCAGAATTAAAGTTCTGCAATAGTATATTAACTCATCTCTGTGTGGCAAGGTTTGCCCATAAGGGCATCACTTAGCAATAGAACATTGTTTTTGTCCCTGCTAAATTATCCTAATTCACAACTAAAAGACAAGTAGAACATTGTAATTCAAACGGATTTGTATAATATGCTATTTATTGTTATGGTCAGTGAGGATGGTAAGGAACACTTAACAGATTTAATGATGCAAAGAAAAAACGTCTTGCACAAACAAAATTGCATGGGGTTCTTGCTCTTAAAAGATTAATGACAGGTTTATGTGTTCAAAAATTCTACAATCATGATCAATATGATGGTTAATTAGTTTTAATTCGGTGGGCACCACCTTCGCTAATTCTTTTGTATTGGATGGATTAGCTAAAAAAACTCTTGTCCAGTTGCGTGATATCACTGATATGTAGTACTATTCCTTGACCTTAGGAGACGTTTGTTTGCTAGGTTACACCATTCCATGCTAGGGTTTAGATTCTGGCACCAGAAATATGTCCTACTGTGCATAGATCTTTTACTAGTATATTGATTCCAATATGAGTTGTGGTGGGTTGTTATACCGCACCCAATATTGAGGGAGATTCTGTAGTTTCTTTGGATCCTGGCACTATGACGACCTTATGTTTGAGATCATACATTTTGTAACCTCTTTAGCAGGAGGGTCATGCAGGTTCCTAGACTGAGTAATTAAATTTTCTGGCTAAATGAGGGGCTAACACATGAGTTCCTCTTAGAGGACACTTTAGTGCCCCATGAGAGGGTTTTGTCTCTAGGGTTTGTGAGGGATTCTGTTTTCATCATTTACTTGGAAAATGTTTTGTTCAAAGAAGGTATTCATTATCCTCCTCCTCCATTTGTATTCCATCGTCTTCCCTTTCAATGATAAAATTTCTGTTGTTTCATATTAACATATTTAGGAAGGCATTCCATCTTGCACATTGGATGGGACAAGAGGCTATTGAGCTGAGTATCCTGCGAATATTTTTGTCTAGGGTCCATTCTTGGTTTATCAATCTTTCTTCCCCTCTCTTTACTATTGACTTATACCTTTTTAATTATTTCTGACCTGTAAGTGATTAAAATATTTTTGGTTGAGACAGTTGTATTCCAACAATTATGGACTTGGAAAATCCCCATGTTGTGCAGGGAGCTTATGACTGACAATTGTTCCCTAGTTAGTTGAACATTCATTTATGACTCATTAACTGTTTGCACCCTTTTATAACTCCAATCATAAGTTTATTTGATACGTCCTCATTATGTATGGTAGATACATCTTCCTTGTACTCTTGTCTGTAGTCTCAGTACCAATTTGTATAGAAAAACAGTAACAAATGACTGGGCTTTCTCAAGAAGTCAAACACTGGGGGAGCTTTTTCCAGTGCCATTAATGATTATTAGCCACAATGACAAAGATTAGGATCCTCTGCGTTCACTTTTTTTCTCATCTACTCAATGGTTGACCATCAAATGGCCATAAGACTCCAGATAATTTGATCCTTTATTCAACAGTACTGATTTATTTGGAAAAAAATAAAATAAAGGTCAATACGCGGAGTGTTGTGAACCATTGAATAGTGCATCATGGAGTAGAGGAGAGAAAAAGTAATGTTAGGATCTTGATCCTGACAATAATCCATACAATTGTTGTTAAAAAAATATACAAACCCCACTATTCTCATTCCCTTGTACCCCACACCCAAAAAAAAAGGAAGTAGAACGGAAATGGAATATTCTGTTTCCACGTTTTAGTTTAGAAGGTACTTTTCAATGTTCAAAAAGCTTGACTTTCACATGCTTTGTTTGTAATAGGTTGTCCATGAGACAATAGATGTTGGAACAGAGACTGCTTCAGCTCTAAAGGCACAGGTATGTCACTTTTCTGCATGGGAAATGGAAAATTTATTTTATGGAAGTTCTCATTTTGAAGATGTGGGAAACTAAAATATTGTAATCTTTCTATATGTAGACTGAACAAATGAGTAGGATTGTTAATGAGCTGGACTCTATCCATTTCTCAATCAAGAAAGCTTCCCAATTGGTCAAGGAAATCGGTAGGCAGGTAAATCTCGAAACATTCACATTATCTTTTTTCATATTTTAAATATTTTTTGCTTTTCGGTTACTTAATTGGATTTCTTATTTAGGTTGCAACTGATCGGTGTATTATGGGCTTGCTTTTCCTTATTGTGGTTGGAGTCATAGCAACCATTATTGTAAAGGTGGGATGTCTGTTTGCTTTTCATTTCCTTCTATTACATGCTTTGATTTTAATAAGATGCAACTTTTGCTTTGTTAATTTGTAAAACGATCTCTGATATTTCTTTGATATTGCACGGAGCTTCATAAACACCAGCCATTTCTTTTGAGTTAAAACAAATTTGCCCTAGTGCATGCATCACTGGGAATCCTTTATATGAGTTTAAGGTGGTGGTATGGTTCAGGTTAGGATTTTGACTATTTATATATAGGAGAGCCTGGATTGGCCTTGTAAGCCCAATGTTTATTAAGGATTTTGATTCCTTACTTAATTCCTAGTTCTGTCATTAGTGAATTTGGGAGATTTTTTTTCCCCTTCTTTCAAAAGGATTCGGGAGTTATATTACGTTCCCAAATGGGTAATAAAATGGTTAAATAGGTTAAAATAAATAGGTCGACAAGGGTAGAAGAGTCAAAATGGGTATAAAGGGTAATTTCTTCATTAATAAAAAGATGTCACGTGCGCTGCATGCACATATTTCATTGGCTAAAACAGATGGCCGTTTGGTTGTGGGGGTGGAAGTGATGAATTTTGATAGTTTGAGGTGTTATTTGCTGAGTTTCAGTGGTGTTTTTTCGAACAAAGTTTATAGTTTAGGGGCATTTAGTCCAATTTGGGTTAAAAACAATATTAGCAAACTTCCAGCAAATGTGCTTTTCTTTTTCTCGGAACATGCTTGGAAAAATGTGTGTGACCAACCTGTGTTTCTTTAAATAACATCAAATTGGACAAACAAATCTTCTGGTGTAGTGACGTTACATTGTGTAATTGCGTCATCTGATTGGCAGCTGCTTAAATTTCAAAGTAGACATTCCTCGACTTCCTTATATAATTTATAAATGGTTAATCTGATATTTCAAGTCAGCTTGTGAACGTGCAACGTTAATTTCGTTTGTTCTTTATTTTTTCTCACTATGTATAGCTTTTATTTTTTTATCTATATATCTTTTGATTCTCCCAGATGCCTTTACTTCCCATGGCATTATTTAAATATTGCTTACCTAACATTTTTTTAGTCGGGATTGTCAAATTTCTGCACCAAGTTGTACACATCTCTGATATCAAACTATAATTTTCGTTTTGAAAACTTTGTGTAATATCCAGAAATTTAGTTGCAAGAAATTCCATATGTTGGAGAGGATTTTTTGTAGTAGAGAAGAGAAAATCTCAACTGCTTCTTTTAATAATTAATTTCACAGTACTGTTTTTATAAGCAAACTGGTTCCGTGCTCTATTTAAATTGCATTGTCAATCTCTTGAAAGCCATACATGCTATCATGCACAATCAACGAATCTGTTCACTTTGTTACTTGTATATAATCTCCTTTATTTGTCTCTATATTTGCTAAGCTTTTCTTGACCTTTTGAATTTTCAGCTTGTGAACCCCAACAACAAAAGCATTCCAGATATTCCGGGATTAGCCCCTCCTGCTCAAAATCGGAAATTACTATGGGATAGGGATGCTAATTAAAGAGTGGTTGAAGTGGATCGTTTGAGGTGGTCATTTGATTGATGTGCGGTTTGATTCAATTGATTCTTCGCTTAGCTTCTGATGCTGCAGCACCCAGTTTGATGGTACCTGGTCCGGTTAGGACTTGGAAATGGATTCATTCGACAGAGATATTTTGCTATAGTCATCCATTCAGCTTACTTTATCGAGTGTAAGTCTGTTAAAATATCACATTGGGTAGCCAATTGGACAAGGTTTGTATGGTTTGATTTCCCCATCTGAGGGGGAAAATATGTACTTGCCATTGTATTTGTTCATAACTTTTATATGCCAACCTTGTATAATCAGTTAATCATGTCTTTATGGTTTTTTTCTCTTTTCTTTTTTTTCTTTTTTTTATAATTTTCTTGAGTTAAAATTTCATTTGTATTTTTCTATTTGGTCTTTGTTTGAGAATATGCTTCACAAGAGGTCATGTTCTATTCTTCATTCGACTTTTATCTAGTGTTGATTTGTTCTATCAGATGAGAATGCCACACACGCGTTCAATTCTTGTTGTACCCTCACCCTCACCCTCACCCTTAAACAGTGCTTCAAAAAATTGTTGCATACTTTTCTCCTTTCTCAAGCTTAAGGTGAGAGTTGTCTGGAGAAATTATTACACGGTTTTGGAATTATTGGTATTGATTTATCTTATATACGTTAACTTTGTTTTGCGTAAAATATACTGTACTAACTTTTATGAAGTTTAGGCAAATTTTACATCAGTGTTGCGTTCAAAATTTATTATTTCGACTTCTCTTAAAATTTGGGTGTATATTCAACAATCTCCCCTCTTCATCAAAACTTATAAATTTTTTTTATAAAATGACCCAAGTTATCTTTACACATATTTTTTTTTTTTATTAATTTAGAAGATTGTTTCTCGGAGAGGGTACATGGTGGAGAGGAGAGAGAGAAATAAGAGAGATGGGGTAGAGTAATTGATTTTTTTAAAATTTTATAATATAATTTGTATTATAAAAATATATTTTATATAAACGAACAATTGACTTTTTATAAGTAATCTTTTTTATAGTTTTAAGGAAGATTATACTAATAAATCTGAAACGCTAACAATCAATAATTGAGCATGTTCTGTAATAATTTATCCCAGGTTGGATTGGACCAATCCTATGTACTATTGTGGAATTTTGGACAATTAGGTGGGTAAGACTTGACTATTTTTGGGCCCTCTGCTGTCCTTGCCAAGAAAGAGCATAGAACTTAATTAAGGAACATGAAAAGTAGTTATCATCACAACTGTCATGTTTACCATTTCTAACGGCCACCAATGTCCCCACCATTAATAGGTCAAGAAAGCTTTTATGGCACCGTATCATAGTCTGTTTGGTAGATGTATCTCAAATTCTCCGCATATTTCTTGTTTATTTTGCTACTCCGTAATTGATTATTCTGTACTAACTTATGGAGTATTTTTCACATAATTCAGTTTGAGTAGTAAGAGTTAGAACTAAAAGTAGATCAGTTTTGGATAAATTGATTCTAATTCAATTCGGTTATCCGGATATGGAGTTATGATATGAATTGAAAAAAATGTCCAATAATTCGATAATGATTCAAATTTGATAATCCATTACCTTAACAAATCAGATATGAATTATAAATAATTCGATTCGATTAAAATTATATATATATATATATTATTTATTACATTATAATATACTATATATGAATGTTATATATATTAATTATTTATCACTATATTTACTTAGTTGAATAGTTATATTATGTACCATCTTATATATTAACAATTCTCCATTTCATCTTACCTTAAAATTATGTATATCTGTGAATGTAATTTTAATCCAAATTCGAATATGAGCTATATAGGAAATGGTTTGAAATATTTAATATGATAACTTTTTCGAATTCGATAATCCATTAACTTAATAAATCAGATATGGATTTAATCAATCTGATTCAAATCCGATCCGTTGACGGTTCTAATTACAAGTTTAGTAGTTTACCATTCTCCACTTCATAGTAAATTGGTAGGTGGAAAAGAGTAGTTCAACTTTCTAATTTACCATGAAGTGCAAATATTTAGGTGGGCAGAATAATTTGGCCCAAACAGTACTTGGGTCTAATCCAGGTTGGATGAACTTCATTCACCCTACTGATGTGGCCCAATAGATCTAAAACAAGTGTCTAAAAGCAAAAAGTTAGGATTTAAAACACATGTTCAAAAATAAATATTAGGTAATGCCTAATTTAATTTTAACCATTGTCGTAATTTTATTGTGGCATATTAGTATTGGATGAAGAAGTTCATTCAACTTGAATTGGACCAAATATTATTCGTTTGACCCGCTTGGTAATCATCATCATCAATTCATCATTATTACTATTATTATTAATTTTTTCTTTTTACCTTTCAGGACAAAAAAAATATAATGATGATTATAATACACACGTGTTTTGGTTTAAACTTTAAATCATGTATAAACTGATTATATGTATAGCTTCTAACACCATTGTGAATTCCAACCAGGCCTCCGAGAGAAGTCCATGAGTTTCATTCCAGTGTCACATGCATTTGAATTCCACGAATGACAAAGTAAAAGAGACGGAAAACAAATTGAGTCCTAAAAAGAGAAAAAAAGAAAAAAATTCCGATGAGAGTCAAATTTCAAATTACCTCATTAGGACATCTATTTTTTTTTTGACTTATTCATGGTGAATAAGCGTGTGAACTTTGAATTGAAAAAAACAGAAAAAAGAAAAAAAATTGAGCAACCATTTGGAGTGACAATATGAATCTCAAGGAACTCATACACATTGAGAAATGATTTTCCTCATAAAAGTCAAAAAAAAAAAAAAAAAAATTACCTCATTAGGACATCTATTTGTTTGACTTATTCATGGTGAACAAGCGTGTGAACTTTGAATTGAAAAAAACAAAAAAAAGAAAAAAGAAAAAAGAAAAAAATTCGGATGAGAGTCAAATTTCAAATTACCTCATTAGGACATCTATTTTTTTTTGACTTATTCATGGTGAATAAGCGTGTGATTGGGAAAAAATAAGGGTCCGGACTCCATAATAGTATTATTCATTCAGTGAAGAAAAAATAAAAGGAAAAAATATATATATATAAATTATTTTCCTCGGATTTTCTTTTCCTTTTTAAATAAAATAAAAATAAAAATAAATTTAAAAAGAAAAAGATTTATTTTTTATTTTAAGGCAGAAAGAGTTAGAAGTTAGATTAGTAAATGCAGAGAGTCAAAGTCTGACAGTTCGTATTAATCCATCATGCTATGGAGACATCTGCAAATGAAAAAAAAAAAAAAAATTTCAAAATCAAGAAAAAGACCAATTGACGTGCAACTTAAAAAAACAAATACTTGCGTTTTTATTTTTTCATAATTTCATAATAATTAAAAAAATATATAATTCCTTGACATTATCTTACTCCAGTCACCCCATAAATGGTGCATGCCATTGAACGCATATATATATATATATATATATATATATATATATATGTTTTATCACCCATTGAATGCATATGTTATCCAGTCGCCTACATCATTTGAGTAAATGATACGGTTTTTGAGAAGGTGGCCAGCTTGAATCGTCTGTTCATTAGTTGCCTAACTTAAAAGATATTCTACAGTACATACCTTTTTATAGTAAATATTATAATATATCCAAACATTTCTGAACTATTGCAAACTCTTTAAAAGAGATTCTATGAAGTTTAAGGATATATATAATAAGTAAATATTAATTAAGATTGCATTAACAATATTTTACCGCCCTCCAATTTCAACTTTTGAATAGTTCACATTAATCAAATATAAAACTCATCATTTATGTGTAATTGACAATTACTAGTTTACTCGTGTAATATTGATATTTATCTTCATAATTTTCACAAAATGCATAATTAGGAGACCATTAATTACACGCATAAGTGTCAACAATCTCTTCTCAAATCAACGTGGAACGTCATAAAAATAAATAGTTGAGTTAGCTATGACTATAACTAGCATTTTTTTTTTTGACATTTATTACTCATTCGTCCCAAAATAATAAGTATTTTATTTTGAGAAAAAAATTATTTTCATTATGAATTATTAAATTTATTCATAGAGGATATGATTTACTTTTTATAAATTCAAGTTCAAAAATGTTGAATGGGTAAAAAATAATTCCAAGACTTTTAAAATAAAATACTTATTTTGGGACGACAAGAATGAAAAAGTAGACGTCTATTTATCACCGTTGTTGTTATTATTTTATTAAATTTTTAATCCAATTTCAAGTCAATATTTTAAAACTTTGTTCAACATTTTACATTCACCTTCAAAAGCGAGAGTTATGCTGTTAATGCTTCCTAGTAACAACTGTCAGCGTCCAGGAGGAGTCCAAAGTCCGTGCCTGGCCTAAGGTGGGAAGAAATGTCTTCTTTCTTGGTCTTCTCTTGTTGCTTAACACCATGGTTCAGACTGTCGTTACTTGTGGTCATCTTTGCTTTTGTCTTTTCATTACATGTGTACTGTCATACCGACAATCTCTCTCCCCTTTCTCTCTCTATAATTTGTCAATATTTCCACGACTATTCTTTATTACACCTCTCTCTCTCTCTCTCTCTCTCTCATCAGTGTTTTGGTGTCTTTTTCTTCACGGGTTTTTTTTTTTTTTGTGTACCATTTCAATTAAATATCTGGGCATATTTTTTCTTTTTCTTCGTTTCCCTATTTTTCTGGTTATTCTTCCAATTTCAGTTCTCACTTGGGCTTTTATCTTTTTATTTCATCTGTTCACACTTTGCTTGAAATTGTAATTATTGTGTTCCTACTTCTCTTTAACAAATTCATTTGCTCTAAATTCCAATTGTTGTGTCCTAGTTGTTGAACTTCTAAATATACTTTTTCCTTTTTATTTAATCTGTTCACACTTTGCTTTAAATTCCCACTTGAAATTCTCTAATTGTTCTCCTAAACAAATTCATTTTCTCTTTTTCTTCCGTCGTTTTGCTTTTATAGTTTTCAGGGTTTCATTAATTTTCTCTTCGATTCTCTTGTTTTTCATCTGAATTTCTTTTCCACCCAATTTTCAACTTCTCTCTCTCTCTCCATGAATTCATGAACCTATAAGGAATTCAATAACAAACACCATTGATTTGGTTTACCCTTTTGGGGATGTATTGATTTGCACCCAAATATTATATCAGTGCTACAAAATCAAAATTTGAGTCCTGAGAATTTTAGCTTCAATAATGAAGTGTTTCTACATATTCAAGGACAAGTCCAAGTCCAAGTGCAAGTTTCGGCAGGCGAAATCGGCTCCTGAATTGAAAAATCAAAGTAGTGATGGTGCAGGGCCTTCGAATCGGGCTGCAAAGTCTGCAGGTTCAATGGCATCACCAAGAAGCATACCGGAAATGTACCGGGAAAAGGAGCACAATTTGAGAGTGTTCTCTTACTCAGAGCTTAGGAATGCAACCAATGATTTCAACAGGTTGCTAAAGCTTGGAGAGGGTGGTTTTGGGAGTGTGTATAAAGGTACAATTAGGCCTCCAAATGGTCAGGGTGAACCTCTTGTGGTTGCTATTAAAAAGCTTAACAAGCATGGCTTGCAGGTACTAGCTCCTATTTTCATTTTCTCATACCAATTTTAGAAAATTTTGCTTCAGATATTGTGTTTTGGATTGGTTTGTGTATGATTGAGTAAAGGTTGATCATTTATTTGACACACTTATTATGTTCTTTCTGACTTTTTGGTAATTGGAAAGTTTCAATTATAACTTGCCCAAAAAAAAAAAAAAAAAAAAAAGAGTTTCAATGATAGGACATGTTGCTAACATGATGATTGTGCTTAATTTGTGAAGTATTGTATCATTAGTTTTTACATATCAAATGTAAAAAGAGTGTGTGGCCTTAGTTCTTTACTTCTCAATTGAAGAAATGTTGTGCTTACTATTTCTTTGTTGATCTAATGCTACGACACTGTAAATTTGTTTTTAGGTTCTAATTGGCATCGGAAATATATGAAATGCAGGAGAAAATGTCATGAAAACTTGAGTTGGCTTGGATGGAAAATTTTGGTAACAGTACAGAAAAGATTAAAATTTTTGACTATTATCCATTGCTGATCAAGCCTATACAGGTTCTGAGAGTAGAAGGTTGGAGACAGATAACTTTTGGCATTACTTTTGCACAAAGTGGTTGCTCTCATACCAGAATCCACCTTCTTTAGTCCAAAACTTTACCATAGATTTTATGAGTTTTACCCTAATTGCTAAGGAATTAGAGTTTGGACTTTGAATGTTCATCTGGACTTGAAAATTTGACCTTTAGGTTTTTGCAAGTTACCTAGACCTAAAATTTATGAATTTTAGGGTTTTTGGACTTTAGAATGGATTTTACGATTGGACCAAACAATGACCCTACTGGAAAGATTATTAAAGAGTAAAATTAAGTATAATATGTATTTAGGTTGAAGTAGGAGCCATCAGTGGTAGAGAATGATGGATTTAGGTTGTCTGTTTCATTTCATTTTACACTATCTGATGTGTCTTTGAACTCTTCTGAATTGTCACAAATTAGTATTTGTGTGGTTCATTTGTTTTGGTAATGACTCCATCTTATCTCTATCATGATGCTAATTAGTTCAAAGTTCAAACGATATAGCTTTACCTCAAATGCTATAGAAACCGGAAGGAACAGATTTCACTGTCCCATAGCATCTGTATACCCCGGCAAAATGGCTGATGAGCTGTATTCCTAAATTTCAATTGCCAAATACACGGAATACATTGCACATTTCACTGTGGTCATTGTCAAGCAATGGCTGATGAGATCATTGGTATTTGAAGTGTGTCAAGTTAACTTATTTATAACAAAATAAGTTTCTTTATTTTGTAATATATTAGAATTGTACTTAATTATTTTAGGAACCTTATTATGAATATTAAAAGTTTGATAAAAGACACTGATACAGAGATACAAATTTTATATATCTATTGTCACATGCTATATCTGCCTTACAGTACACTTGATCCAACTTAATTGTTGCCAAAAAGGAACCATAAGCTTCAATTTGTTTTCTAAAGGGTCCTATTACATGGATATTACAAATTTGGTGGTACCTTAATATTTCATTATTAAGTGTTTGCAATCATGTTCTCAAACTATAGGGTGTCATTGAATATTATTGTTTAAACTATCACTTTCATTTATGTTTTTTTGCTATATTTTCTTCTTTTTGATTGCTGATTTTTATGCGCTTTGCACTTTGTTCCCCGAATTAATGATTGTTTCTTATAGTTCTTTTCTTTTCTTTCATGTAGGGTCATAAACAATGGCTTGCAGAAGTTCAATTTCTTGGCATTGTTGAGCACCCCAACCTCGTAAAGCTTTTAGGTTATTGTTGTGTAGATGCAGAAAGAGGGATGCAACGGCTATTGGTATATGAGTACATGCCCAACAAGAGCCTAGAAGATCACCTTTTCAACAAGGCTTTGCCAACTCTTCCTTGGAAAACAAGATTAGAAATTATCCTCGGAGCAGCTCAAGGATTAGCTTATCTGCACGAGGGCTTGGAAGTCCAGGTTCAAATTAGTTGTTTCAGTTGACAGTTGTTGGGCACACACTCTTTCTCATACAGCATTTTAATTTAGAAGTTCAAATGATCCAGGGTTTTGGGACCTCATGCTAACTAGTTAGTCGTCGCATTGTCAATTTGAGCTCTTATCATCTAATCCAGCTTATATAATCATAGCATAAGAGTCAAACAAGCACTCGAGATATATCCAGGAAATTCTACTGAAATCAATTTTATTTATTTATTCTTATTAAATTCTATATAGCTTTCTGAAGTGTTCCTGTGGAAATTTGCTCATTCTTTACAGTTCTCTGTGTTGGAACATGGAAGATTTTAACAGTGGTGAACTAGAAAAGGTGGTTGCATTATGTGAGGAAGTTCAAATTTGTCTTTGTATAGTACCATGACTTACCAGTCTACCACGTGCATACCATTGTTTACACACTACAATTTATGTCTCCGTACAATCTGTTCATGCATAGATACCCTTGTCTGCACTCTATAGTGGCATACTAGTCAATTACCATTACCTACTGAAGTGACAAGCATCATGATTTAAAAACCTTCTAAAACTGAGATAGGGAGTATGAGACGGATGGTGGAAGTATACAACCTGACATGGCAAGATTAAAGCAAACTTAGAATAACACAACACAAAGGCATAATCAATATTGTTGATAGCCCCTAGAGTATAAATATTTTGACTTTCTCCTTGTTGGCATCGGCTTTTAACGTTTAATTCAAAAACACCAAACAGTGTATAAATTGTTCAATTTTTTCTTTTTGGTTATGTAGGTGATATATCGAGATTTCAAATCTTCAAATGTGCTTTTGGACGAGAATTTTAAGCCGAAACTTTCGGACTTTGGACTTGCCAGGGAAGGGCCAACCGGTGACCGTACTCATGTATCCACAGCTGTAAGTACATAATGCATAATACCACTGATTGTTATTTTGTAGTGTGGATAGTTGCTAATCTATAACTTCTACAAGACATATCATGTATTTATTTGTAACTGCATCCCTGTTTAGAGGATACACCCTCATCTTTGTGCTGTTGCCACTCTTTAGATTTTGCTAGGGACTATCTAATGAATGGAATAAATAAATAACTCTCTTGATATGTTTATCAACCAGCTAATGTTTTCAGGGGACCACGTGGGCTTGCTTGATCACATTCACAACATGGTTTATACATTTGGTGATTATGGAACTTATTTATGTTGTTTTTGGATTTCTTTTTTCCTTGTTGCAGGTAGTTGGGACATATGGGTACGCTGCTCCAGAATATGTTGACACTGGCCATCTCACGACCAAGAGTGATATGTGGAGTTTTGGTGTGGTGCTTTATGAGATCCTCACTGGCAGGCGGTCAATTGAAAGAAACCGGCCAACGATGGAGCAGAAGCTTCTGGATTGGGTTAAACAGTACCCAGCTGATACTAATAGGTTTACTGTGATAATCGATCCACGATTCAGAAACCAGTATTCTCTCAGTGCAGCTAGGAAGATTGCCAAGTTGGCAGATAGCTGCCTGAACAAGAATGCAAAAGATCGGCCAACAATGGCGCAGGTAGTGGAGAGTTTGAAGCAAGCAATACAAGACTCAGAAGTGGGAAGTTCTTCTGAGAAAAGGAGTCCCGATTCATCTGGAAAAAAACCGGTTGCCTCAAAGCACTTACATCAAATGGGAGTTGCCGATACTACAAGAAGGATGTCTCATTTATCTCAATCAAAAGATAAATCAATTAAGGTTAGTAAAACAATACTTTTTTGACCTTAAAGAGGAAAATCTGAACCTTTTAGCTGATATTTTTTTCTTCTTATTTTTGACAGGTCTAAGCCTTCTATTTCTCGACTAAAGGTTTACATCTCATATCCATGCATCCTGAGGAACTACGTATTCCGGACTGATTTTTATGGATGGTACAAGTATCGTTTTTGTTTTTGTATTCTTTTAAGAATTTTAATCTTTATTTGTGGAAGAGAGCAGGAAGAGATGTAATAGAAATGAACTGATGCATGGAATGGTTGAAAATCAGAGTATTCTATAGAGGGGAACTTTGTTATACCATGATTGTAAATAATAGAAGTGAAAGTTTGTGCTTGTGCAGTAAATTCAAGGTGAGTTTTCTTGTTTCTTTTAATGGAGTGATTGTTTTCAAAACCTAATTTGGACACCCCTCAACCCTTTTCTTCTGAAAATAGAGACACCTTCTCTTCATTAAGCATTGGAAATAAAGAATACCATTAGAGGTACCTGTATCGAAGGAATGATTTGCTTCAATATCTCGTCGTCGCCTTTTAGCAAAAGACGGTGAGTGCTCAATCATGGGTCCTCTGTTTTCAATTTGTTATATGTGGTGTTGGAAGATCCAAGCTACATACAAGCAGTGTAATTAAGTCTTGTTTAGAAACAGTTAAATTTTATGTTTTTTCACACTATGCTACGAGAAGTTGAGAACCTACTTCAGTGAGAAAAGTAAGACAATTTGCTGTTCTTTCTGCATAGGGTGAAATGAGGAAGTTGAATGTAATATTTAGCTTGTTTGTTTATGCTTTTGATCCTAAAATTGGTTTGCTATTGGAGGAAAAAAGTGTCCAAATCAGATATTAACCTGTTTCTTGTAGATCTAAATGGCTCTCTCACTTATCAGCTGGCTCATGGGGTACTTCGATTACCTTGGAACCTCATTCATCAGTGCTTACCCCATTCACAAGGGAAAAAGTTTTCTGGCTCCGTTTGTTTGTTCCGATGTAAAATATTTTACTAGGAAAAGTTTAATTTTTTTTTTTAGGTTTACTTTTATTTGATTTTAATTTAATATATATATTTTTTAATTTTTAGATATTTGACAAAGGTTTAGGTCGATGTTGAATCCAACGGGCAAGAAGTGTTGGGTTTTAATATTTTTTTCTTGCATTTGTTTCGATGTAAAATATTTTATTCAGAAATGTTTAAATTTTTTTTTTTTAGGTTTAATTTAATTTAATTTTTTTTTTAATTTAATTTCTAGGTATTTGACAAAAGTCTAGGTCTAGGTCACTGTCTAGGTCGAGTCCATCGGACAAGAAGTGTTGGGTTTTAATAATTTTTTTCTTTGTAAATACTTTATGACAACCAAATAACAATATATATATATATATATATATATATATATATATATATTTTACTTCCAAACAAAATGGATGAGATTTAGTTGAGTTGGATTAGCTTGGCTTACAACGCATACTCTCTGCGCCATGGTCTCTGTCCTGGACACAAGCTCATGGAACCCAGTGCCCAAGGACCATCAATGTCCTTTAGTTGGACTACTAATTCATGCCACTCCTTTTTGTAGCCAAAAAAAGGAAAAAGAGATTAGATAAATGCCGGTGACAATTGCACTGATATATAAAATGTTGATGAAGTGATATACACAAATTTTTGCTATTAGTTGGATTTGAGACACACTAATATCACTCCACTTCAAAGTAAAATTCTAAAGTATCATGGTCCAACTCTGTAATAATTAATAATAATGGAAGATGCTATTTATCAACTTACTAGAATTAATTAGCATTAAAATAATCTCAATTTCTAATTAGCAAAAGACTCTCAGACTTCTTACTGGCACAAGAAAAAGAAATCAATTATTTTTATCAATACTATTTTTCAAATATATTTTCATCATGCTTCTAACAAATTATTGGAAATAAAAGTTAGTAATATTATCTATATAAGTTAAATCATTCTAGAGACTTTCACTGGCTAAAAACACGATAAATTATAGTATTTATATTGCATATGTGTATTTGTGTCCAAGTTTTCATTGTAATAATATAATTTATTATAATTTTTGAAAATATTAAATATTAGTTAATTGAGTTATTAATGATTTACTGTGCAATAAAGTAGTTGGTTCATCCAAAATGATTAATTATTATAATTATCAAGTTATTACATGCCTAGTATTAGTTATTAGACTGTCAATATATTCAGGGACATAGCCAATAAAGAAGACACAGGGGGCACGTGCCCCCTGAGTTAGCCCGCACTCTATAATATATATGGTAATTTTTTTCATATATATGAAAAATTTTATACAGTGCTCCTCCTAAATTTTGTGGTTCCTAATATTATCTCTTTATTTTTTCTTTATTTATTCTTTTACCTCCAATTTCCTTAATAGAAAATTTTGAAAATGTCAAAATGAAACTTTTTAACTTTTTCTTTTTAAAAAGTTGTCTCATTTTTCTTTCCTTTTTCCTTTTCTACTCATACTATAAAAATTCTTCTTTGTAAAGTTATTTGAATAATTTTCTTCTTCTTTGTCTTTTGAATTTTAGAGTTGTTATATTATATATATATATATATATATACACTATGTATTTTTTTGGCAGCGTGCCCCTGTCACTTGAAATCCTAACTCCGTCCTTGAATATATATATAATTCTATAAGAATATATTTGCATAATTAAGTGAGATTCACTGCTGATGAGAAACTATGCATGTATGTTCTTTATATGCTATATCCACTATTGCAATTTTATGTAATTTTTTTTTTTTTTTTTTTTCCGTGAATGTATTTTATGTAAATTTTCAATGTAATAATTTTAATAACTTTTAGTAGGAATTTTATAGAATTATTAATTGTTTACCATGCAACTGTGTAATTTGTTAATTTAAAAATGATCAAGTATTAAAATTACTATTAATTTATTATAAATTAATTATTGTTGGGAATTCTTTTACAGTTTGAAGAGAAAAAAACAATAACAAAAACAAAATTAGGAGTCTGAACTTCGAAACTCTGAGCAAAAGCTATATTATGAGGCAACAAACCAAACTCTACAACGCCATCTCTGAGCCCCCAATCCACCACCTTAAACCCTTGGAAGTCACATATAACTACTATTCTCTCTCTCTCTCTCTATATCACACTTTACTCTCTCTTTCTCTCTCTATATTGAATTGTTGCAAACAACATATCTAAAATGCAGAAATCCTTCACTCTCATTCAAACAGTTGCTGCCGCAAGCGTATTCTCCGCTGTTTCCTGCTGGTAATTCTTTCTCTCTCTATCTTCCACACATAAGCTCATTTTTTTTTTTCTTCTTTGAGAAAGTTAGGGCTTGGTTTTTAACCACATCAGTTCGCATTTTTCTGTTAAAATTATTGGTATTCGACTGAAATTGGACAATCCATGTCTTCCCAGGTATGGTTTCATGTTCGGCAGAGAATCTGCTCGCAAGGAGCTTGGCGATTTGATTGAAAATCTTCGCCGTGGCGATTCTGGTTCTGGTTCTCCTCCACATTCCTAAATTGGTATCCCCTTCTCTCTCTCTCTCTCTCTCTCTCTATATATATATATATATATATATAATTATAATGTTTCGGGCCAGAAATTAAAGTTTCTGAGTGCAAAAATGGTGATATTAATGTTGCGAAATAACAAGTTATGTTTGTGTTATGGAGATTTTTTGCTTTTGAGATAAAAAATGAAGTGATTTTGGCTTTAGGAAATGAAAGATTAATCATATTTCATTGAAGGCTGAGTTGTGGAAAGAACACTTCTGAAGCATTTTCTTTTTCTTGTACAATTAGGTCTCCACAAGGTTGCCTATATAGAATATGACAGCCTGGTGTTATTTATTTATTTATTTTAAATTAAGTGTACTGTTTTAATACGAGGATTAACACAACTCTATAATATATGAACAATTTTGAACTTGAGAAATTAAAATTGGCAGTCACTGAATCATAGGAAAGCATGGCTTCACAGGAAGAACTGTCACTTGTCAGAGTAAGAAAATCCAAAGAAATAACTTGATTAGAATGAGGAGAGAGAATAGTTTCTATCAGAAAGGAAAGAGATAATTCTTAATGTGATAATGAATTTTACAGAAGTAGAAATGAAAAGCTGCAATTAGCTTAATTGAATTGTCTTGATTGGATCTGGAACTGATAAGAGTTAGTATGATACTTGTAGATTCATGCATACATGCACATGCGAATATCTATATATTGATGAGTTAGGTGTATACACCTACTTCCCAGCATGACTTGAACCTTGCACCTCTCTCTTAGGGTGGCAGGAGATGCCACTAAAGCTGACACTTGTTGGTGCTCTAATGTATGGTGGGGCTTCATTGCAAACATTGAAATGAAAGAATGCAAAGAGATATTAGACATGTCTGACTTGGCCTGTGTTTATGGGTTGGTTGCTTTACTTATTTTTTGAGCTCTAAATATGCTATAAATTGCAATAATAGATTGGATGATTTAACTACTACATTATAGGTTTCTTATATTAGACTTAATATACGGTAATAAGAAGGTTCTAAGTGCAATAGAAGTGCAGAAGAATATGATGTGAATGGTACTTTAGAGAATGTTAATTCTCTTTGGCTCTTTTTCTTAGCATACGTCCATTGTGAGAGTTTGTAGTTAGGGCCTATCACAAAGTCGGCTTGGTTTATGGGATGGTGGTGACAACTAGGCTGCGATTTGTGCAAGTTGGGTTCAGTTGAAAGTTCACCTGAGCTCAATATCGGAAGTAGAACACTCTGCCCATGACGTGACTGTAATCTAATTCTATCACTCAGCTCAATTTTCTGAGTTTGAGTTACATTGGTTTGGCTTGAGGTCAGGTTAAATTGACTTGTTGACATGATTGATGATACCCTCATGCAATTATCTTTGAGACTTATTTGGCTGCTTACTATAGTAAGTTCACTTATAAGTTTATCATGATGTAAATTATGCCTTTATGGTATTAAGGTACGGTTCAACTTGATTGAGTTGCATCCCAACTGACAACATAGATGTGGTATAGCAACATTAATGATTCCATTAGAATCTCTTGGCATGAGGATTATTAGATGTTATTATAATCAGACATCCTTGAAAGCGGGGATGGTGCAAATTATTCTTAGTGAGCTTATAATGTAGCAGTGGTGGGGGATTCATGTTTGTTTGTTTTTTGGGAAATACTTGTTCATATATTTCTGATATCTTTGGTTATTGTATTAATTTCTTGATGCCTGAAGTTAACTTTTGGGAAAGAGTGGTAGGAATTCTTATAAGGTTTTCTTTTGATTACTCAGATTCACCCACGAAACTCATAATTAGTTTGATTTAACCAATATATTTGTTTATGAAAGAAACTCCGTTATGCTTTAATCCGATTTTTTTTTTTTTGATAAATAAATAAAATTTTATAAAAAACGCTCGAAAGGGGAACGGAACCCAAGAAAAATACAAAGGCCACAAAGGCCTCAAGCCTTCAAGGAGACTGTGGAAAGAATGAGAATTTAAGCATCGAAATTGACATCGCCTTTCCTTCAACATATCTCCTATTCCTTTCAAGCCAAATACACCACCACACACAAAGTGGCGTAGCCCTCCACGCATCTTGACAATGAGCCCTCACAGGGCAACCTCTCTACGCCTCAATCAACCCTCTAGCGGATCCTGGCATAACCCAAGAAAACCCAAATAAGCCAAGCATCAAATCCCAACACTCTCTAGCCAAAGAGCAATGAATGAGAAAGTGATCCACTGATTCCTCATCACGAAGACACATATAACAATGATTGACCACCACCTGGCTTCGCCTTCTCAAATTATCCTGAGTTAAGATCCTTCCCAGAACTGAAGTCCACACAAAGAAGGCCACCTTAAGAGGAGCCTTAGAATGCCAAACGGACTTCCAAGGACAACGAACTCCAGGATCAAATGAGAGACACCTGAAGAAAGACCTCACCTCAAAACGCCCCTTGGAGTTAGCAACCCATGACCAACAATCAGAATCCTCCTCCGCAATCCTCTGGCGATACAACAGCTCCAAGAAATGAATGGCCTCCTCGATCTCCCAGTCCTGAAAGAAACGCCTGAATCGAACATCCCAAACCAATCTCTCATTATCAAGATGATAATAGTTAACCACCATGGCCTGCCTATCCGAAGCAATCCTGTAAAGCTGAGGAAAAGCGAGAGCGAGAGGAACATCTCCACACCACACATCCTCCCAAAAACAGATCCTCCTCCCATCTCTAAGACGAAACCGAATGTGTTTGGAAAATTCATCCCAACCCTTCCGAATAAATTTCCAGACACTCACCCCCCGAGAATCCCTTACTTCTAGAGAACTCCATCCTCCTCTCATCTCCCCAAAACGACAAGCCACAACCCTTTTCCAAAGCCAATGTCTCTTGACACCAAACCTCCACAACCATTTCCCAAGGAGGGCCTTATTAAAAGGCACCAATCTATGGAGACCCAACCCATCATTCCGAATTTGCCTTCAAACTTGTTCCCATCGCACCAAATGAAACTTAAAATCTTCCCCTCTACCCCCCCACAGAAACTTACGCTGCAACCTCTCAATCTTCTCCGCTACTGAAGAGGGAATCTGAAAAAGAGAGATAAAATAAGTGGGAAGACAAGAGAGGGTGCTCTTAATCAGAGTGATCCTGCCTCCCTTGGACAGATACTGCTTCTTCCAACTTGTCAATCTTCTCTCAAATCTATCCACCATTGGGTTCCAAATCCCCACACACCTCGAAGGAGCACCCAGAGGCAAACCCAAGTAAGAAATGGGAAATGAACTAGTACGACAACCAAGAATGTCAGCATAAGCCTCAATATCAGGGACCTCCCCAACCGGCACCAAAACACTCTTGCCCACATTCACCTTAAGGCCGGAGACAACTTGGAACCAAATCAAAACACATCTTAGATATCTGATATGGGACACATTCGCATCACAAAGAACTAAAGTGTCATCAGCAAACATCAAATGAGAAATCTCCAACTGAGAATCAGCATCCCTGCCCACCCGAAAGCCCCTCAAAAGACCCAACTCGGAAGCCCTTTTCATCAATCTGCTAAGTGCCTCCATCACAAACAAGAACAAGAAGGGGGAGAGAGGATCCCCTTGTCTCAAGCCCCTTGAGCTAGAGAAAAAACCGGTAGGAGCACCATTAACAAGGATCGAAAAGCGAGCACTGGAAATACAAAAATGCATCCATCTCTTTCACCTATCACCGAACCCCATCTTCTCTATCAGGTAAAGAAGGAAGTTCCAACTCACATGGTCATACGCCTTCTCAATGTCCAACTTACAAAGAACACCCGGGACTCCACTACGCAATTTGGAGTCCACACACTCATTTGCAATAAGGACTGAATTTAGAATCTGATGGCCTCCGACAAAAGCGTTTTGGGAGTCCGAAATGATGCCATCCAAAACTTTCCGCAATCTTGAAGCAAGCACCTTGGCAATCAACTTGTAGATACATCCCACCAAACTAATAGGGCGAAAATCCCTAACCCCCCCCCTTCTCTTTTTCGGGATGAGAGCAATGAACGTGGAATTCAAGCTTTTCTCAAAAGATCCCCGAGAATGGAAAGCATGAAAAGTGCCTATCACCTCCCCTTTAACCACCTCCTAGCACTCAAGAAGAAATCTAATGGTAAAACCATCTGGACCTGGGGCTTTATCCCCATTGCAACTCTTCAAAGCAATCAGAACTTCCTCCTTAGAAAAAGGTAATTCCAAGCCCAAGCACTCCTCCTTAGAAATAGAGTCAAATCTGGTCAATAGCCGCAATCTCAGCAAGAACCCGATTTTTTCTCCATTCCAAATTCCCAAAGACCTCTTTATTCCAAGTCTTAAGATTCTCCTTTAAGAGACGTAATCTGCCTGCAAGCACATGACTAGGGGTGCCAACCACACCATACCCCTCCCACCAAAGACGGACCCTCTCCAAAAAACCTTCAGCCCGCAGCCACATATTCTCAAATCTGAAAGGAGAACGTCTACTACACAACCCACCACAATCCAACATCAATGGAACATGGTCAGAGATAGGACGGGCAAGAGTAGCCTGAACAACATCAGAAAACCTCTCATCCCACTCCCCCGACACAAGGAATCTGTCAATCCGAGAAAGGGTAGGAGGAGAGCGACCACTGGACCAAGTAAATAGTCCTCCAACCAAAGGCAAATCAACCAACCCAAACTCATCAATAAACACCGAGAAAGCCTCCCTATCAGACGTCCACCTACCTCCCGTTGACCTGTCGAACGGAGAACGAACAACATTGAAATCTCCACCAATACACCAAGGCAAACACCATTGACTTCTAATCTCCCCCAACTCCTCCCAAAGCAAGTGGTGCTCACCGTCCTCCGAAGTACCATAAACACCCGAAAAGACCCAATGAACACCATCCTCAACCAAAGCAAGAATGCATGAAACGGAGAAACGCCCAACCTGAGCACCCACTTTAGACACCCATCTGTTATCCCACATGATCAAGATGCCCCCCGAGGAACCAATAGCATCCAAAGCAATCCACTCCACAAATCTCCCACCCCAAAGACTCCTCACAATCCTATCAGACATCGAAGCAAGTTTGGTCTCTTGGAGACACACCCATAGTTGTCAAAAGCGTTGACGGCGCACGCCCGAGGCACAAGGCGCACGCCCGAGGCACAAGGCGCCTACAGGCGCAAGTCATGCGCCTTTGTATGCATAAGGCAATGCCCTTTGAATAGGCGTGCGCCTTTATGTAAGAGGCGAGAGGCCCCAGGCGTGGAAAAGGCGCGCCTCCTTTTATTTGTTAGTATTTGTTATTAGTTTATTATTTGCTGTTTGTTTATTATTTATTATTTGTTTATTATACTTTTTAGACAACTTTACTAAAAGAAAACAATAAAATAAAAGCAAAAGGAAAGTGTAAAAGTGAAGTGAATCGGCTAGGGCTGAGAAACTTTGAAGCAAAGAGAAAGACAGAGGCTTGTGATTTGAAGGCTTGAAGCAAAGACACGATCTGAATCTGCCAACTTTCTCTCACGAATCACGATCCGAATCCAGGTAAGTCACTGTTCTCTTCTTCTTTTCTCTCTCTCTCTCTCTCTCTCTCTTTTTTCTCTCCTTTTCTCTTCTTTTCTCCCTCTTCGGCAGATTCTTCTCTCTTCTTTTCTCTCTCCTTCTCCTTCTTCTTCTTCTTCTTCTTCTCTCTTTTTTTCTCTTTCTTTTTTTCTCTCTTTTTTTCTCTCTTCTTCGGCAGATTCTTCTCTTCTTCTGCAGATTCTTCTTCTTCTTCTCTCTTTTTTTTCTCTCTTCTTCGGCAGATTCTTCTCTCTTCTTTTCTCTCTTCTTCTTCTTCTTCTTCTTCTTTTCTCTCTCTTCTTTATAGCAAACTTTCTCTGTGCACAGTTTTATTTTTATTTATTTATGAAATATGTGTCTTTTTTTTTTTTTTAACTGAACTGGAAGTTTGGAACTGGACTGCAGCTCTGTGTCTTCTTTTTATTATTTATTATTTTTTATTTTTATGAACTGAGCTGGAAGTTTGGAACTGGACTGCAGCTCTTTGTCTTCTTTTCTTTTTTTTATGAACTAAACTGGAAGTTTGGAACTGGACTGCAGCTCTGTATTTTTTTTTAAAAATTGAAATGTTAATATTGTTTTGAAATTGAAATCTGGTTTATAATTGACATGAAATCTGGTTTTGCTAATTGGAAATCTGGTTTATTTTGCTAATTGAAATCTGGTTTATTTTGTTACAACACCAATTACTGACATGAATTTATTTTGTTATCTTGAATTTGAATGTAGTTTGTACTTTAAAAGATGCCTAGTATTTTGTTGTCTATGTTTGTTTTAGTTTTATCTCATAATTCTCATTAGTTGACTTTTGCATCTTTATATTAATATGTTTAATTATTTACTGTTGAACTCAAGTACTTGATTTAGTTGGCTTTGGCATCTTTATGTTGAATATTGAACTTAAGTAATTGATTTAGTTGACTTTTGCATCTTTATATATAGGTTTTTTTTTTTTCAACGTGCGCCTTGCTTTAGTTGGGCGCGCGCCTCGCCTTGCGCCTCAGGCTCCAGGAGGCCTTTGCGCTTTTGTGCGCCTTGAGCCTTTAACAACTATGGACACACCACATGACCCCTACCTTTACGAATCACCGACTTCACCACTTTCCTTCTAACTGGGTCATTGAGGACATTCCACGAAAGAATTTGTAGCTTCATAGGGAAACACTTGGAGCAGCAAACCCTCCCCTCCTTCCACCACCTCTCCCTCCTGATTTGGACCCCCTATTTCTCCTTTCATACTTGATAAAATCATTGGGACTTTGCATCACTGTCTCCCCTTTCTCCTCCTGCAACCCTACCTTACCACCCACCTTTTCCTTAAAATGAGAATTGAGAACATCATTAAACAGACACATCGCCTCATCCACCCTACCCTCAAAAGAAACACCTAACAAAGGACCTACTTCCAAACCCTTTTCCCTCACCCACTCCTCCTCAAGGTCATTAACTCCAACATCAGTCGATTCACATACCCAATTCCCCCCGGGCGGAATAACAGCCAAAGGAACAGCCAAATTCACTGCTTGTTCCAAGTCTTCCCATGGAATCATTCCCGAGTCCCCATCAAAGGAAGAACCTGCAGCTCCCTCCCAATCATCAAGAACAGAAGTGGAATGCGAGCAAAACTGTGAAACAGGCTCCTCCTCAGTCAAAACGCCTCCTGAGTCACAAAGAAAACCTTTCAACGCCAAATGGTCCCGTAACTCCTTCAATAGAATAGAGGCCGTTTCATCATCAAGCTTCACCTTCACATCCCGACCTACACAAACCGTAACACCCTCACACAAACCTTCACTTCGCCGAGAGAAACCAAGTCCATTTCCAGAATCACTATCATGCCTGTCAGCAAGAACCAAGTCCCTCTCAACCACCATAACTCCTTAATCCGATTGAAACTGGAAACACCCTGTATTGAAGTTATTTAACCTAATCACATTCGATGAGGGACACTTTGGTATTTCTTTGCTTTAATAATAATCAGTGTGGAACTACTGTAAGTTTCAGTGGTGGGATATAATCTTGTCTCCCTTATTCTAAATCAAGTACAGAGACAGATGGAGGAAGTAATTATTGTGTGGTTCTAATGATTGAAAACTAAATCTTGCTCTCCTTTGTTACTTGTTGATGATGAGTGGTGTGGCTGGAAAAACACCCATTTACAGTGGTTTTTATGTTTACAAGGGTGGACTAGTTTGTATAAGTAATTTAATCCTTATCCCTTTTATTGCATGCCATTTATAATAGATGTCCAACAGAAGATCGTGGACTACTTCATTTATGCAAAAAAAAAAAAAAAAAAAAAAAAAAAAAAAAAAAAGGAAAGAAAAAGAAGAAGAAAAAAAAAAGAAAAAAGTAAAAGAAAAAGAAAAAGAAAGAAGAAAACATTTATTACTATTTCTCCAAAATTCAGCCTTGAATTTTTATGCATCTTTGAACTTGAACCATGGGCTTTAATTAGGATTATGACATCTGCAGGTGCTTTGGTTAAGGATTGCAACATCTAGTATTCTAGTGGCCTGTGAGAAAAAATGTCGGTCTCATCCTTTCTTCTTGGAACTGAGTCAGGAAGTGGATCTTATCGCTGAAGGTACTTGGGTCTTCATTGGAAGCACTTTCTAAGCCAGGTGCCAGGATTGAGAATTTATGTTAGATGTCTTATTTTAATATCCTTGACTGAGAAATATTCTTTATTCCAGATGACAATTTGAAATCTTAAAATGTTAAGTATTCACCTATACATAATCTCTAGTGATGTGTTCTATTGGGAAGAAAAGTAGTTCAAAGATGAATATTTGTTAGAAAGAATTTATGATTTTTTTTTCAAATAAATTAATCTGTAGACTATTAAAAGGCAGCCTAGTGCACAAGGCTCTTGCCGCTGCGGGGTCTTGGGAGGCCAAGATGCACATAGCCTTTACTCAACATGCAGAGAGGCTGTTTCCCGTTTTGAACCTGCAACCTCCAAGTCGCAATGGAGTGACCTTATTGTTGTGGCAGGACAATTTTGTAGACTATAATTGTTGTTGATCTAAAATGCTTGGCCTAATATTGAGTTACAGTACTTCTTTTGAATCTATGCCATTAGATACTTCAAATTTCCTTGCCAGCTTTGTATTGTGCTGGTATTGTGACCGGAATGGTTGGAGCATGATATTAGACTCCCGTCCAAGAAACCTAGCGGCAAAGTTGTTGGGTGGTCTTTAAGTGTCACTCATGATTTTAAATATGGATCACTGTTGTGGGCCTGTGGCTTCACTTGGCATTGCACAATGCTGTACTTGCTCATTTAAAGATAAATGTCTTCTTGTTCACCATTAGAAGTTTCTTTGATTATATGAATGAACTTAATTGATGGAGAAGATAGAATTTATATGAAACAGTAGAATCATGATTCTAAAAGCAAAAAATATGGTCATGGGTATTATGCATATATTTTCACACCAGGTGATGGTCATATGACAAGCAATAAGCTTCATACATCAATGATGGTTTTATGAGTTAATTTTTTGTTACTAAAATTGCTATCTCGCCCGATATATTGATAGATATATCGAGAAATCTTAAGTTAATGCCTGCTAATTTTTGGCTTTAGGTCTGGACCAAAATGAAATAGACAAAAGAAACCCACTTTAATCTTTGACATCTTATTCCAATGGCGAGCAATGTAGACAATTTATATGGGCAATGATCCCATTCGTTCTGTTTTGGTGTACATGCACATTTCGTATTGCAATTCTTGTTTGCATATATATTAACCAGACTACTTTCTTTAATGGGATGCAAGCAATCTTTGTATGAGGAATCCCTTTTTTGATGACTATATTATACAAGAACAAAGAGATTTGAGTACCTTATTAGAATCTAACCCTCTCCCCCTTCTAAAAAAGAGAAAAGGAAAATGTGGCATTTCTATGACCAATGGTGATATTATTCCATTCTGGATGTACGCCAAGGCACAACTATATCATCTTAATCAGTACATGTGATGGGACAAAAAAAATTGAAACAATATCATTTGATCATTTGAAAGTACCGGGTAAAACTATAATCTTGTAATTTTGCATTAGCATATTAACCGGTTACTATGTCAAAATTATGTCGTTTTGTTTTACATGACATTTAGACACCCAATTTGGCTAAGTAACATAAAGACATTGCTGCAATCCATTACTTAATGTTGGTCTAGCCAATGGGATGGGTATAAAGTACAATTGATACAGATCTATTTTTGTTTTTATTTTTTATTTATTTTGGCACAAAATAGCTTCTCTAACTCTTTTTTTTCTCTAACTCTTAAACTGTGTTCTTACGTAGTTATGCTTGGCAGATGTCACCATCTTTTAAGGTTAGATCTATATTAGAACAAATATGAAAAAATAAAGAAACATTAAAGCCTACCAGAAACATCTTCCTAGTTCTTATCTTATGTAGAAAACAATTATTAATTCAAATGACCCAGACACTTCCAAAATTAGGAGCCGATAGCAGCTTTTAAGCAAGTCCTGTGAACAATGGCGAATTACAAATTTCCTCATTCATGATGTGGAAATGGATATACAGTTCATTCTATATATATTTTTTTAGTCCTTGACAATCTTCAAAGCTAGGTCAGTTATGCCAAATATATAACACACACTTATCATATGCTTTTCCTTTTCTGCTCCTTTTTTCTTTTCTTCACTACTCTACATTGGATTAAACTATTCACCATCATACATGAAAATGAACATATACTTTACACGAGGGCAACCTCATTTTTCTTCTTAACATTATGCTCTTTGATAAATCCAACGTAAAGATTTGTCCTGCTCGAGTCACTGTCTGGAAGTCTTGTGTTCCGACCACCTTCTGACATGCTCTTCACGAAGTCCACCAAGTGCCTCCAATTCTCGCCTTCAAACAGCTGTTTATTCATTCTTAGATATGTAAATGCACTCAATCCATTTCCAGAATCTGATCTACTCGTTGCCGTAACTTGTGCATATGCACCTGCATCATACCTTTCCAGTGCATTCTCTCCTGCAAGTTCTGTTCCAGCAGTTTTAGTTGCCATCTTCACTTGCCGAACTAACCCTTCTGGTGAGCAGTTTGCGCTCTCTGGTTGTTCCCTGTCTTTCATTTCCATGCACGTGAAATTGAATATCACTCCATGTTTGGCAAACACTCGTGCTATTGGTAGGTAACCATCTCGATGTCGAGTATTGTAGTATCCTGCTGTTAATTCAGCAGCATGAGATCTTGTTCTGTAGTGCCAATGAATTCCAGCTACTTTTCCGGATAGCTTGGCACCAGTTCCTCGGAATATTCCCTCAGCAGCTCCTAAGATCCTGTCCCCGTGCTCTAATAGCTTTCCGGTGTACCATTCTAGGAAAAACTGCCCGTACTCGCTTTTCCATGTCCCATCTCTTCTGAAGAATCCGGTCTCTTCAGGGAATTGTTTGTATCGGCCAGAATCATGAGGCCCACTACTCCCCCAGTCTTTCTTCCCGATTGCCTCAGCCGCTGCTTCCAGTGAAGCTCTCATATACTGTTTTAGCAGAGAAACTTGTTTAGGGTTAAAAAATAAAAATATAGAATTTAGTTATATTCATTTTTTTTATGGTGTTTTTACGTTGTAAAATGTTTCACTTTTGTAGAAACGGGAAGTGCTTGATTTTGATCATGATATTTCAGTTGATTGGTCATGAATCAGTTTGGTGCTAAAATTTGACAGGCCATAGAATTAGAAAAACTGCACTTCTACTTCCAAAATTTACCTTGTCATAGCATTGGAATTCTCCAATTCCAGGAAACTTCCAAGTCCCATTGCTTTCTGGATAGGATGGATATCTTAGCTCTCCACAGGGGCCCATCCCCACTTGAATTTCCTGTAGTAGAATAGAAATTGAGTTTCTTAAGTGAAAGAAGTTAATTCTTTCTATGTACGAAGGAAAAGCAAAGAAGAATATCTCTTCTGGGTCCTGAACATGTCAGTGGTCCACCACTTGGATTACTTAAACCTTCCATGGGTCCTATGATGCTAACACCATTTGGTTAGTTGAATTTGTTAGTCATTCATTTAATTAAGTATATCTTTCGTGTTCGGTTCTTTTTTAATGAGCACTACTAAGTACAGTCAAGTGACCATAAAACCTGCAATATGTTCATTTAAAATGACAGGAGTCCAGTATTTGCCTATGTAATTGGTTAGGTGACGTAGGAAAAGCAAGCTTGACTGATGATTTAAGCTACTGATCTGAATCAAATTCTTTGACGTCAATGGAAAACTGTCTGAAAATATTTAACAGTATGCTAATCATTTAAACCTCATCTAGCAAAACTGGTTTCTGACACATTCATCTACTCGATCAGACCCATTATACAGTGGATGTCGAACATTTTCTATATCATTCGTTACATGGTTCATTTTTATTGGTTACTTCATGTTAGATCCGTACTCATTAGAGCTGGATGCTTTCTCTTTCCTAAAAATGGCATAACCGCATATGATCTTCAATGCCTTGAATATCTTTTGTGCTTGCCAGGTTTACAGATATTGAGATCGATCCTTAGACACTATCTAGAAAAAAGAATTGTTATTCAGTGTGGTTAATTGTAGGTGCAGGGAACGGCAGACTAGATACAAACCTAACCTTTGGCATTTTTTTTTTTGGCACAAAGTGGCTTGGAACTCTATTTAAGTAAACGATTTCATTCTGATACACTAAAAAGATTGCAAATTTGAGTGCATCTCTTAGATTTTGTCCCCCTCCTCTCTCCTGTCTGTGTATCATTAGGCATGATAACTAGACATCTAACACATATACATATGATCAAGATCTCAAAATTAAGGTGTTTTAACCCATAATACATATTCACTTTTATTATTTTATGTATATTATTTAATCAAAACTTGTTTAATGTTGTTAAGACATGTCGAACCACTTGTGTGTCTCTATATCTATCAAGTAGATTGGAACTCCAGTTTGTTTTCATCAACTTCAAATCCCCCGGGGCTTATCTTTAAAGACAAAAGAATTAAGACATGCAGAAGTTGAATGCTTACCACAATAACCTCTCCCAAGTAATCCTTGAATCTGTCATGGAAACTCCTCATGTAATCAGAGTAGACCTGAATGGGAGTTCTTCCTCTGAGCACCGGTAATGAATCACAACCCAAGGAAATGTACTCCGGATTCCTCCGGCCTGATCTGTCCGTGTAGACAAGGTCAGGATTCTTGCTGATTTCTTCGAGCACCCATGGGGGTAGAGGAATACTGAAAAATCAAGTCCAGAATGTGTATTACAATTAATGACTTCGCTTTTCCCTTTAGGTTGAGGATGCTAATGATTCAAAAGATGGAGGTGAAAAGACCAAGTTTTCTAAAGAAGAAAATTTAAAACCAATAAACTTACTATAAGCTAATCTCTCTGAATGTAAAGCAATGCTAGAAATTCAAGAGAAAACAAAACTTCAAGAATCAACTAGGCCTCCCTGAAGGTGAAGGTGGAGAAATACTGAAATTTTGATGAAAGTTCATGACCAGCACAACCAATTTACACAGAACATGAAAATAGACAAAAAATTTACAATTTACAACTAGGCTATTGTCATGATAAAAGGGAAAAAGAGAAACTAAGCTATTGTCTCTAAACATTGAGTAATGCTGGAAATTCAAGAGAAAAGATATTTATTGTTTTACACTTCACAAGTGGGTTACTGTGTCTGTATGTCTGTGTATGTGCATGCTTTTTTTATTTATTATTTTTTTTTTTTTAAGATTTGGATAGGTTGAGGAATTCCATAACACCCGTAAATATATATAATGCAGTTTGATGTCTATGAAAATGAAAATTCTAAATTTTGTTTGACTGAGTGATGGTGTAAGAGAAAGGATGAGAAATGTGCTGCACATGAAATATACTCAAAATTATATGCAGAATAGCATAAAAGAATGAGAAAATAATAAAATATAAAATCATATACATCTGGCCTTGGATAGTTAGTATCTGAATTTATAACGTCGTCATAACTTATGACTAAGAAAGAATTGCCAAAGCCCTTACATACCTGCAAGAGTCTCCAACGTTTCCACCGCACTGATGGAAAGACATGACAACTTGGAGCTTCAAACCATGCTTTTGCACCATCTTCACAAGCTCGGCATACCCTTCCCACTTATACTTCAAAGGCCCGTCTTTCTCTACCAGCCCCCACCAAGCATCAACCATTATTCCTTCAACTCCTGCACTTTTCAAGGCCATCAAGCTAGCATTCATTGCTCGTGGCTTGTTTAAGCTTCCCCCAAACGATACGGTGTCAAGGGGTAGCATCACAAACACGGGCACTCTTGAGTCATTTTTTCTATGACCTCCTGATAGCTCATGAAGCTGTTCTCTCGGCCCATTTCTCCTACCTTCCAAAGGCGAGGTTGTCTCACGTGAGACTTGAGCTTCTTGCGTTGAATTCTTTGCTCGGAGATGGCAAGATGGCTTGATTTGTGCAAAACAAACCATGCCAGGGAAGTCATTGGGTGTTTCGAAACTTTTTGTGTCTTTTAAATTGAGAAAAGAAGTTGAAGAACGAAGTGTGAAAGCCATTTTTTTGTTAAGAGAGAGACAGAGAGAGAGAGGTACTGGTGGATTAAGGCAAGTAGTGTTTATTTATAAAGGGAAGCTTGCTTTTGAGTTTTGAAGGAGACAATGTTGGTGGGCTCTACTTTAAAAGGGCAAAAGTGCCAAAAATCAAAATTGGTCGGCTCACCTTTTGAAGGTCATCTCTTTCCTACGTGGCTAAACTTTTCATTCTTATCAAATGCTGGGGCTGAGAATGAAAATAAAATTTCTTTGGGTTTTAAAATTTTTTGTTGTCACTTTCGGGTATTGAATAATGAATAATACATCTATTATGGGAGTATTTCCTTGGAGAGAGATTTAGTCATTAGTTTGTAATTTGCAGTATGTAGTTCTTGTACCCCAAACAATGGCGCTTTTAGGACAGTAAAATGTTATTTTATCTCATCAAATCTTGAAGCTTTAGCACTATGGACTTGCATACATCGTACTGGGAAAAAAAAACACGGTAGATATTCTCATAAAAAAAAATTTCTATCAAGGGGGTCAAGTGGCCATTAAAGCTTCTTCTGGATGCCTTGGATTAAAAAAACATGGTAGATATTCTGGATTTTTATCTGCCAATTTCCTTCAAGTTGCTTAAATTTTTTGTTTTGTTTATTTTAATTTCCTTCTATTTTTAGAGTGTCCTTGTTCACATATGAGTTTACTGATTTCTTTGATATCTGTAGGGTTTTTTTTTTTTTCATTAATATATATTTCTTTTTATTTTTTTTATTTTTTTGACAATGATAATCAAACCTCTAACTCTAACCCTTTCATTCAAATGATATGCTATCACTTTTACTCCTGTGATGCAACAACTTGGATATCGATTGGTGCGTGTAACTCTTGAAATGTTTTTAATTAGGAAACCACTTATATACCCATGGAATAAATATTAAAAAAGAAAGAAAAAAAAAGACCAACACTAATTGGTCTCCTAAATCTCATTTTTAGTGCCTCCATTTTACATTAACCAATCTCGTTTAAGGGCGACTCTCTCTCTCTCTCTCTTATTTTATTTTATTTTATTTATTTTTTTTTCTGATTTGGTAGCATACAGGAAAACTATTTCTCACATCTCGATAACTTAAATATTCTAATCCATGTTCTTATTAGTCAAAAAATAGGATATAAGATGGAAAAGAAAGGTGAATCTGCAGTAGCCGACACAGGGGAATGGAAATTAGGTAGCCTACGTGTTTCCACCAAATTGGGAGCCATATCTGTTGGTGTGAACCAATGGATGGCAGCAAACCCACAAACTTAGCTAAGTTCTCTTGGTCTATGTTTTCTTAACCCTACATATTTGTGCCTCTGTGCGTGTCTGTGTGTGTTTGTTTATTTATTTAAATATATATATATTTATTTATTTTGATAAATAAAAATTTTTATTAAAAAACATTCAAAAGGGGAGCAAATCCTGAGAAAAATACAAAAAACCAAATATATTTTATTAAAAAACGCTCAAATATATATATATATATATATATTTGATAAGTAAAAAACCAAATATATATATATATATATATAAAACCAAATATATTTTATTAAAAAACGCTCAAATATATATATTTGACTGTGTGTGTTTGTTTATTTATTTATTATTATATATATATATATATATTTATTTATTTTGATAAATAAAATTTTTTATTAAAAAACGTTCAAAAGGGGAGCAAATCCTGAGAAAAATACAAAAAACCAAATATATTTTATTAAAAAACGCTCAAATATATATATATACATATATATTTGATAAGTAATTTATTATTATATTTTTAATATATGTGGATGACAAGACCTTTAAAATTTCAAATTTATTTGGTTTTGGTTGGTTTAGGATAAGAAGACTGGCTGGTCTTCCTGAGAGGGAGAGCATGTGGTTGTGATAGATTCCATGCTTTCATTTTATTGGATTTTATGTCTAAACATTTCCGTAGCTTAACTGCTCCAGTGATCTCCATTATACTGTAAACTTGACCAATACTGTGGAATCCTCACCATTTTAAAGTGGTTGTCTTCACCATAATACATAGATAGATCTATCTTTCTAGTTTGAGAGATGCTTTAAAGCAAATATCAATAAAAGGCCTCAAGGTTTAGTCTTGCAGGCTTAAATTGTAATTTGTACATGTTTAAGCATCTTCTAATTATTCATAGCATTAGATTTACGTTCAATTAAAATATTCTTTTATGGTTGATTGACACAGCATGTAAAAACCTTTTTTATGAGAAATGAATTATGAATTTTGTATTTAAATTTTAGAGGCATTCTGGTGGGCAGAGCATTGGCACGTAGGAAGAAGTATTTTGAAAATATTGGGTAGGTTATCCTTAAAGTAAGACACTAAATTGAATCTGGAATGTGGGAATTTGGAATAAAAGTGACTTTACACCTAGCACTTTAAGGGTAGAATTGCCAAACAAATTCAGGTGACCTATTCCGAATAGTTGGATTAAGCCTTGTGGAGCAGGGTTTGAAATTAAAAATCCCAAGCAAGTGGTATTTTATGTGATAAAAAATTGCTAAATTAGGTAAAAGGGAAATTCTATAGGGAGGTTATTAGGCTAGTGACCTTAAATGGAGTAAAGTATTGGACGTTAAAAAAACACAAGAACAATGCATTCATGTAGCGGAAATGAGAATTTTGAGACGAATGATAGGATTGAGTATAAGATATATAATCAATAATCAACATATGAGAGGAACTAGGCGTAGTGCCAATTGGTTAGAAGTTAAGAGACAGAGAGGTCACACAAGATTAACTTGGGATGAAGTAATTAGAAATAATTTTAAAATATTATAAATAAGAGGGGTTATTATTTTTGATAGAATAGAATGGCAAAATAGAAATCATATGGCTGACCCCGTTCATATGGGATAAATGTAAGGATGATGATGAAATATAATTTGTCCGGGGAGAACCTTAGAAGAGTTGGTGCTGATGGTATATATTGTGGTATCTAAATATGCCTTCTCTACCATTATACTAGAAGCTGCATTGTCAATTGAATTTTTTTTTTTTCCCTCTCAAAAGTTGCTAATCTGGACACCGTCCCCCCTCAAGTTGCAACTTTTGAAATCCAAAAAAATTGTTGTATATTTTGTGGTGGTATTTCCTTCTGTTCCTTTTCCTTATAACAGTTTGCTATTTGTCATGTACATTATGAACAGATGGATGAAAAAAAAAGGCTGTGTATTTGTGTACACACAATATCAACAGGTTCAATCAGCTTATCCAAGATGAATTTAATAATTGAAAAAAATGTAGTGTTGTTTAAAGTATGAAAGTTCTGTTTGTTCAAAAAAGGTGAGTTATATTGGTTGTCGTGTAGGCATATGTTATTTTCATTTTAGTTTGGATGTACTCTCTATTTCAATTTATCTGCACATGACAGAACAATGACCATGTAAATTACATGTACAAGGGTCTATTTGCTTGAAAGAAGCAATTGCTATTCAAACATCTGATTTTGTTCATGCTTAAATTATTTCTTCTATTAGAATTTGCAACTTCACCTTCTTTGTTATTTGAAACCTGGGGATAAGAAATTTGTCATTACACATTACATGGGAAAAATGAAGTCATTCTTATCTGAAGTTCCTGCATCAATACATGCTGGAACTGTTGAGCATTTGTTAGCGGGATTAACGGTGATGATAATTTATCATAGCTTCATCGACCGGTGAACTGTCGGTGAACAATATCATGGAGCGTAGAGTCTGTCTTCATTTGCTGGAAAGGTAAAACCTTGTGCATGACATCGATAGTTTGGTTTTTATTCAAAATGCAGTTTGGCCAAGTAATTCTCATGCCTACGAGGGCTTTTTTGAGTGGAGGATAGAAGTCTTATCTCTTCTACTCTCTTCTCTTTTTCTCGCTGGTGGACAAATACACACGTTTTGTTAGGCTCCACTAATTTGGCTGGAGTTGCTGGGTGGTTTTGAATCACAGCTGCTGGGACGCTCCTCTACTCAAAAAGCAGATGGTGGCCCAAAATTTTGTGGTCCCCCATCCTCCCCCCCGGTGGTTATATTTGAATTCAAATGAAGAAGTGGTGGGATCTACTTCTCTTGGCAGATCTCTATATCTCTCTCTCTCTCTCTCACACACACACACACAAAACACATGCACACACCATTCCACTGTTAGTTACAGGCCAATTACCACAATTCTAGAGTAGCATAACATATTGGTACCTTAGCTGGTTTTGTATATGGCTTGAACATTTTTTTCCCCTTGCTAGAGCTATTTAGTCCTTTGGTTTGAATATTCCTCAGTTACACGGAGGATAGGTTGACATCCCGAAAACCCGAGAAGGTGGCTGGCACCGGTGGTGGAGTACTCCAAAATGGTGGTGGAAAAAATATCCCAAGTATTCGGCTAACTTCAAGAGATGGTAAAAGAACCCTCTTTTTAAAGAGAGTGATAACATCTTCTGCCACTAGAGACTACTTTGTACTTCAAATACTTCAAATAAAGTGTGTTTTTTGAAGATAAATACTCTAATAGACAAACATCCTCCTCGAATGGTTTATTTCAGTTGCAAAAAACTGCAGTTTGGTTTCAGTTTATTAGAGTCGATGTGGTGTAAATTATGTTAAAACATAAAAAGTTACTAAACTTGTAATTATACTAATTATTATCACTTATTTTCTACACAATTTAGGTTTCATGGGCAGGGTTCAAAGGCTGCCGGTAGGCCAAAGACTGAAACCCAGACCCACTGAAAGGGCTGGTTGTAACTATACCAATGTACAAATTATGGAATCATTTACAGTCCCGAGAACTCAGTAGAACCAACATTTTCAAAATTACTCTCCCGAGACTTTCATTAAAGCCAGTCTTCAAAACTCTAAACAAATGATGCTTATCGAGATAATATTCTCTTACATGGCCATGAACCCTATAGAAATATACATCAGATTACACCTCTGCGCCTGATATTTTCAGCATTTCATTTTCAAATTGTGGTTCCAATAAGGAAAAAAACCAACAATTAACAGACAACACCAGCTACTTTCGTAACAGGATAGTTTGACCAGTCTCACTGATATTTACAGTATAATCCAATGAGGTAGAAAAATTAAGCCATAGTTGTTTACACCATTGTGCAAACCCATATTTCTTTGCTCACTAAGTTTCGATCGAGTGCTAGCCCGCTCTGCATCGTGTTTGTTGAACCATTCTTCTTCAAGAACAATATATCAATCAGGTCATCTCTTAAGATCACAACTATCACGAGACGGCATGATTCCAATTCAATTTTGGTTTAATAAGATATAGCAACTTTTAATGTCTTGATTTGTTTCTTCACATGCCGTGTAAAGCACAAAAGCAATCAACTCCCAAGCCATGCCAAATGCTCCTTAAAATAAACTTGTTACGGTTCATAATTTTTCTGACACAGCCAAATGTGGCCCATATTGGGAGATCATACCGAAAATTTTGTCCATGCAACCCCAAAACAGCTGTTCAAACATTCCCCAACTTCCATAATTTGTAAAGGCAGATTTTTGTTATTACTTGTGTGTATCTTCTACAATGCTCGGCTTCGTGTACTTTCCTGGAAACTAGCACGCTCGATGGAAAACAGGAAAGGAAGCTGCTTCCCAAACTTCTGAAGAATTATAGAGTTGATGATCTTGTTATTCTTATTCTTGGTTGTAGAGTAAAATACCACAAATCAAAACCATTTTTGTATAAGCCGAGGACATTCCTCAGCAACCAGAATGTGAAGGGCCCATCATAATTGCAACATGTTGATCATTGAGCTTCTGATGGTTGTAGTGAATGCTAAGAGTCATTGACAACCCGCATCGGCTTCCAGTCAGATTCATTCCGTGGTTGCCTCAAGGCATCAAAGTGAAGAGCATCGCTTTTTACCTGATAAATATGACATGCCCAGGGATACGAATCTGGTGCTGACCAAACCTTCTGCTCTTCAAATACAGTCTCCTCAGCAAGTGACTCTGCCACACAGTATATCATATCGGATTCCGGTTCTGAGAAACCACATACAGCAACACATCCAAGGGACACAAAACCCTCTGGAGCACGTGGATGCCAAATTGATACCGGCATTTTGTAGTCATCCAAGCAATTCCTCCAAACCTGTAAAACACTTTCAATTATTCCACATTCCATAATGGCAAAAAATCATTTAAATGAGAAAACAATATTGCTGATATTAATAAAAAAACCATTCAGAACAAATACTGCCTGCAAATTGAATCTAGCATTAATATTGACATATCAACTGTGAGAAAATAAAGAAAAGCTGAATCGCAATGACTCCAACTCAAAATAGGATTTATGTAGATTACTACCAAGGTTGTTAGAATTGAGATTCTACGCAAGATCTATGAGAGGTCCATGGGATTGTCGTAGGATCGGATCGAGAATTGTAAGATTCTATAAAACTATTGCAAAAGTAAGTCAAACTAACTTTCTAAATCAAAATTTTTCGATAAAAGTAGAGAATAGGCTAAATAACCAGTTCAAACACTAGCAAAATTAATTAACCTTAAAAGATAATAGACACATGACAAAACAATTAAAATCAGTTTCTTGATTTCAACAAAAAATCAGCAAAACAATCAATCAAAGTCTCATAGAAGAAATTAAAGTAAAGCCTAATAGAGAGAGAGTACAATTTAGTTGCCTAATTGTATGAGCAATTTAGTTGAAAAGTTTACTTTTTGGTTAAAAAAAATAGGAACAAAATAGAGATAGAAAGAACAAAGGAAAAAAAAAAATTGAAGTCTTTCTTTAATTTTGTTTCAGAATTGACAAAGAATAGGTGGAAAGATAGAATCTCGTTCCTTGTACTGAAAAAGAAAGAACAGAAGAGAAATTAAGAATAATAAAACAAAATAGAGGAAATTTTTGAAAATTTGAATGATACCTTTGAAATTCAGAGTTGATCCTCTCTACATTTGACGTTTGTTTCTTTGTTTTTTAATTTTAAAATTTAAATGTAACTAGGCTAAAGTGTTACTTTATATTTAAAATGATTAAATTTATTAGTCCAAAATTAATTGTAGGCCCAAATAAATCCAGGAGACGAACAAAATAACACGATTTAGTAGGGTCGGTAGGATCGTAAGATCTTATGCGATTATACAATCCTAATTCTGATTCTACAGATCCTATTGAGATTCTACTTCCCAGGGATTTTGGATGGGATTGGGATCGTTTTGACAATTTGGGATCGTAGAATCATAAGATTCTAAGATCCAGAATCGGGATTTTAACAACTATGACTAAAACCCTCCATCCTATATATATACATATATATATATATATTTATTTATTTATAGAATTGAATATACTTTTATCTAATCTAGTTCACTCATATATAACCAAATGATATGGAGTAACAAAGTAAACTATCTAAAACAACCACTTGTAAAGTTGTATTAATTCTCACACATATATCCTATCAAACCTAAAGAAAATTATTTTCTTTGTAAAGTCCACCAAATTACCCCATCATAAGCTTTTTCCAAATCTATGAAAACTAAATGTAGATCTTTTTGCTTTAAATCTTCAACTAATTCTCTAAATAAGTAAATAGTCTCCATTAAGGATCTTCTTGGCATAATTTTTTTTTTGATAAGTCTTCTTGGCATAAATTCAAATTGACTATCAAACACCATGAATTATTTCCCTGATCTTTTTTATTTTTATTACTCTATACATAATCCAAGAGACGTGTAACATAGTACACCATAATCCAATACAAAATCACACATGATACTTCTCCCAGTCTTCATTCTCAACATCAAGAATCAACCAAATATTAGAAATATCACCAATATACATCGCATGTTAGACCAAACTGTGGAATTAAAAAAAAAAAAAAAAAATCGTGGAAACAATTGGTATTACTGCAAAGATATTAATTTTATCGCCAAATGTTAATATAACCTTTTAAATCCAAAATCATGCATCAGGCAACAAAATGTAAAAAATATTGATCAAGGGTTTGGGCTTTTTATTTCTCTCGAAAAGAACAAGTAAATAGTGGGTTATATGCATTTCATACACTATTTTCTCAGATATCCATTATCTCTAGATTCCTTAGCAATTAGTTGAAATTGAAAGCTAAAATTATGAAACTACATAGGTTCCCACAAAAAGTTGGATCCAGCATGCTTAAGACTGGAGCATGAGCTGCATGACTAGAGAGCCATTAGATGGTTGGTCATGGCGCTGATGCTGATATCCTAGAAAGTAGTATTTCTGTCTCATATTAGCTGTCCCATTGGGGATTTTGACTTTCTAGGGGGCATGTTTTAAAAGCAATGTCCATTTTGAAATTCCAAAACCACCCATTTAAAGTTTAAAATTCGAACCGTTAGTTTGGGAAAGTTTCAAAATTTAAGGAAAGTTTCTTAAATATTAGATCTTTTTAAATTGACTTTTCAAAAGGAACATGAATTTTTATATAACCGGAAATGGAAAAAAGGGACAAGTATCTTATGGCAGTACTCATATTCATTTGTACAAAATAGCTGCTCTCAGGATTTGAACCCACATTCTCACACTACACAACCCATCATTTTACAAGTGCACCAAGTAGTGGCCTTGGGTGCATGTCTAATAAATAACAGTAAATTTTATTATATAATAACTTATCTCAAGTGATACCCACATTTGAGGCAATCAACATCTCTCTCTCTCTCGGGGTATCACATGCATAACATGTGCAAAACACAACTGAAATTTGAAAATAAGACATATGGCGTTGAAACAGCCCCAGGTGGTGGGACTGATTCATAACGATAAAAATCTCACCAATCCATTGCCTACAGTGGGTTTGACAACAAAATGTCATAAAAAAGTTGCACATTCCCAATATAAATTTCCAAATAAAATCCTTCATGTTCAATTTCTTAGGCGTTTAAAACCACGCCATGGTAAGATATGACATCAATGATTCTAAGGTTCCATTTGGATTGAAGGATTTTAAATGAATTGTAACAACCCACTGATGCAGCAGCGGGTAGGGGCAATTCGAAATCAGAATTCAAGTAGAATCAGAAAGAGATTGAGAGAGAGAGAGAAGAAGAATAGAGGGAAGAGGAATCAGAAGAGAAGAAGAATTCAGAGGGAGAAGAAATCACGATAATCTCAAGATTCAATATCAATAATAATCATCAAAAGCTGCCCTTCACAATGTCTAAACCAACATATAAATAGGCATCGAAGAAAAACCCTAATCAACCTATTACCATAAATAAAACACTAAATTGCTGAAATATCCCATAATAATAATAAATAAACAAAAATCCCCAATTCTATCTTTCTTTCCCACGTCTCCAATAGTAGGTGTGGGCCATGTGGTCTTCAAGCTCTCGGGTCAGGCCAGGTTCTCCGTCACCCACTCCACCACATGGAATGAAATTGTCCGCTTTGGGCCCAAGCCCGTACAGTTTTGTTATTGGGTTTTTACCCCAAAAGGCCTCGTACTATTTGGAGATGGAACTTGTACATATAAGCACTTCAACTTTACATTTCCCAAGCGATATGGGATTGTGCAACCCGTAGCTCGCCCAGTGTCTCGCACCTTCCCACATCACACTCGCCCACCAAATGGATTTAATTTCAATTGTGTAAGAGATATAGCTAGATGGATTGAGGAGATTTCGGATGAATGGATTGGAAGATTAATATGCATGGAATTCAAATTGTTGCGACAAATACCGCGAACCAAGAACACAATCAAGAATCAAGATAGAAGTACACACACCACGGTGAAGATCCAACGAAAGATTTCACTATGTGAAAATCAGGAAATTACAAGTTTTAGCCCTCAAACCCTAGCGCTCTCTCTTTCCTGCGGTTTTTAGTGCTCTCTTTCACACTAATATCACACTCCAAATCTTAAACGCCATTATATATTAGGCTACAAGAGAATTCTAGAACTGGGTCCATGATCCACAAGAGAAAAACGGTTTAATTTTTTTGGTGTCAAACCTATGTCACAACACGACCCAGGTCGAAACAAAATTCGGAACGCAACATCACACTATTAACAAGGTGTAAGGAGTTATATGGAATCCTTACTAAGATCCGCAAGAGAAACGGGTCAAAACCGGGTCACAACGTGATCCGGGCCGAAACAATATTGGGGCCACAATATCACAAAAATAACAAGGTGTAAGGAGTTATATGAAATCCATGCTGGCAAGGACTCAAGTTACACAATGATTATTATATATTTCTCTAATGCTTCAAATCTAACACCACCTTGAACTTCAATGGTTAATTTTTTGTGTAAACTCAAATCCTTTGATTTCAAATCCATTCATTACTTAGCGGGTGAGAACTTGGGCCCTGGTACCTCATGAAGCATCAGGTCTCAGGTTCAAGACTCTGGGTAAACAATTTCCGTGGAGGAGAACCGGGGTGGGGGGGTGGGGTGGGGAAAAAAAAATGAAAATGAACTCTTGAGATCTGAAAACAAAGCTAGTACAATTTGCCCAAATTTCTGTCATTGTTTTTTCGATCTTACCAGGTCATAACCCACCGGAAGTGAGAACAATTTGTCACTATTACGATACACAGCAGCTACATTTGGAGGATGGCTGCCAACACGAGCTATATCCCCAACTGAGACGTACCTGAAGGATAAATTCTGTATTTAGGTCTCAAAAATGATATTAAGAACATTACTAGCATATTGCAGAATAAAAGATATCAAGAATACTACTAGCATCTTGTAGTACAAAGCAAACATTTCGATTATTATGTAAAAGAAGATGCATGGATCAACTAGAAAAGTACAAAGAGAGCATTCATCACATTAAACAAAACCACCTAAGTTCCATTACTCTTGTAAATATAATCTACGTTAATCCATTTCTTTGGAAAAACATTTAAACCGAATAGCAAATGATCATGTAGTTCTATATTCCTTCCTCTTTGTAGCATGATAATTACGATTTTAGAACTAGTTAAAATGAAGTGTGTGTTACTGAAGGTTATATAAGAACCACAGTAGATATCTGAATTACTACTCTCTTGATTAAAAACTGGAGCAGTAGTTTATCTGGTTCATATTAATAACCACAAATTTGTACATATATCCTAGATGCTTGTTGTTAGACAGCAATGCATGAATTGTAAATGATAAAACAGAATTTGAAGCAAGGATCAACATACGGCTGGACAACAGATTATGAGGTATTATGACCAAGTTTAAAAGACAAGAGACTACAGGCTGAAAACACCTTGAATAAAAGTGTAGCCAGCTGCAATGGTGCAATTTACTAGTATCCGGAAAAGAGAATAAAATGCTTAAGCTAGAATGAGTTAAATAGCAGAACCATAGAAAAAAATTCATCAATTTTTTGGTTCATTGAATACAAAAGATTGGAAAAAAAACTTGAAACCTTAAGCCAGTAGTTTATCAGGTTCAAAGAAGTAACACAATAACATATTCCTATCTGTTCATTGTTAGGGAACAAAATAAAGACCATTTTGCAGTTGAATTGGAGAACAAGAAGTCCACATGCCACATATACTACACTTAATTGAGGCTAAGGGGTAAAGAGAGAAATTAAAATTGAGGAAAATTTCTTTTACTTTAGGGTGTTAATTTTAATAGTTCAGGGTTTCTTTCAGTCAGTATTATCAAAGGCGCGCCCCTAGGCGCAAGTCTAGCACCTGTTGTCAGTCCAAACGCACTCACCTGGGCTGCGCCTTGTCCTAATCATTAGGCGCGCCTGACTTTTCTTCTTTTTAAATTGTTCAAAATCAAAAGAGAAACAGAGAGAGCAAAAGCGTATTCTCTGTGTATTCAAAAACAACTTACAAAACCTAATAAGCCTATTTAGGCTTATATATGTTACAAGGTTTACATAATAACACAAACGGCCTATTAACTAAACAGAATTACATAACGACCCATTATTATATATATAACTTCTAACACTCCCCCTCAAGCTGGAGAATATATATCAAATAATCCCAGCTTGGAACAGATAGTTCTTAATCGATTATGACCCTATGCTTTTGTAAACATATCAGCTAATTGATCTTCAGACTTCACGAATGGAGTAGAGATGCTCCCACGTAATATTTTTTCTCAAATAAAGTGACAATCAACTTCAATATGCTTGGTCCTCTCATGAAACACAGGATTTGATGCAATGTGAACTGCTGCTTGATTATCACAGAACAATGGAGTAGGAGCTTCAACTGTCAACCCAAATTCTTTTAGAAAATGTTGTATCCATGTCAACTCATTAGTGGTATGGGCCATTGCCCTATACTCAGCTTCAGCACTAGATCGAGCTACCACCGTTTGCTTTTTACTTCGCCATGTAACTAGATTTCCTCCTACAAATGTGCAGTAACCGGTAGTAGATCTCCTATCTGAAGGAGAACCGGCCCAGTCAGCATCTGTAAAACCTTCCACCCTGAGATGACCATTTGGTTTATATAGTAACCCAAAACCTGGAGCTTGCTTGAGATATCGGAGAATCCAAAGAACAGCAATCCAGTGTGGCATTCTAGGGGCTCCCATGAACTGACTTACAACACTAACAGCATATGAAATATCAGGTCGAGTGATAGTGAGATAAATTAATTTCCTAACAAGGCGACGAAATCTGCCCGGGTCACTAAATAGATCACCCACATCAGCTACAAGTTTTCTATTTGAATCCATAGGAGTATCAACCGGACGACCACCTAACATACTTGTTTCTTCTAATAAGTCCAACACATACTTTCGTTGGGATAAACTTATACCTGTCTTGGATCTGGCTACTTCAATACCCAAGAAATACCTAAGTTTACCCAAGTCTTTAGTGTGGAATCGATATTGCAGAAACAACTTCAACTTAGCAATGCCTTCAGAATCATCACCTGTGATCACAATATCATCAACATACACCACAAGAATTATGAAACCAGCTTTAGTGCGCTGGTGAAATACCGAATGGTCAGTCTGACACCTCTGAAGACCAAACTTTAATGCCGCCTCAGAGAATTTTCCAAACTAAGTCCGTGGAGATTGTTTCAAGCCATATAGGGCCTTTTTAAGGCGACAAACAGTGTGAAGATACTCCCCCTGAGCAACAAACCCAGGTGGTTGCTCCATATAAACCTCTTCTGCTAAGTCACCATGCAAAAAGGCATTTTTAACATCTAACTAAAACAAAGGCCAATGTCTATTAGCAACAAGAGAAATCAAAACACGAATAGAGGAAATCTTAGCAACAGGTGCAAACGTCTCATCATAGTCAATACCATAAGTCTGGGTATAACCTTTGGCAACAAGACGTGCTTTTAAACGCTCAACGGACCCATCCGGAAGATACTTCACAGTATATGCCCAGCGACAACCAACAGGTTTGACACCTGGAGGTAATGGAACAAGAGTCCACGTGCCATTCGTATGCAAAGTATCCATTTCATCCTGCATTGCTTTCCTCCAACCCGAATCTGGCAAAGCATCCTGCACAGTCTTAGGAACAAATGTAGTAGACAACTGAGAGGAAAAACATGAGAATGATGGTGACAAGGAATTATAAGAAACATAATGAGCAATGGGATGTTTAGTAGCACACGAGCAAGGAGCTTTACGAAGTGCAATCGGCGAGGAATCAGACACAGTGGAATTTGTCGAATCCAAAGACTCTGGAGGTGATGGAGGAGGCACGACAGCAGATGGCTTTGGTCTTCGAGTGTACACCTGTAACGGGGCAGATGAAGGAACCAGAGATTGAGATTGAAGAGAAGGTGAGGGAAGAGGAACTGCAGAAGGAGGCGACTCAAGATTGATATCAAGAAGTGAATCAGTATCTGAAAAATATGGGATGGACTCAGAAAATGTGACATCCGCGCTAATAAAGTACCGTTGAGAAACAGGACTATAGCAGTGATAACTTTTATGAGAGCGAGAGTCGCCAAGAAATACACACTTTGTGGCACGTGGGTCTAGTTTATCAAAACCAGGACCAAGATTGTGGACATAACATACACATCCAAAAACCCTAGGAGGAAGAGAAAACAAGGGAGAATCAGGAAATAAAATAAAATGTGGAGATTTGCCATTTAATACAGATGACGGCATACGGTTAATAAGATGACAGGCTGTAAGAACAGCATCACCCCAAAACCGTTTAGGCATACGCATATGAAACAAAAGAGCACGAGTTACTTCTAAGAGATGTCGATTCTTACGTTCTGCAACTCCATTTTGTTGTGGAGTATAAACACATGAATTTTGATGAATAATTCATTTATCACTAAGATATGTATCAAAAGGAGTTGAAGAATATTCCTTAGCATTATCAGAACGTAGAATACGAATTGGACATCCAAACTGAGTTTTGATTTCTTTGCTAAATTTTTTTTTTTTTTTTTTTGATAAGTAAAAATATATTAGAAAAATGTTCAAAAGGGGAACGCATCCCTAATACAAGAGAAAAGATCTAAGGACCAATAGAATCCAAGAGATCAAAGAAATCATCAATCGAGGAGCATGTACTTCCTCTAACATAAAAGAATAAAGAACGAAGAATATGAATTTTTAAATTAGCTAAGGACGATTCTTTTCCTTCAAAGGATCTGTTATTTCTCTCACGCCACAAACACCACCAGACACAATGAGGAACAATCTTCCAATAAGCACAAGCTTGTTTCTTAACAGGACAGCTTTTCCAAGCGTTAATCAATTGAGAGGAGTGCTTAGGCATTACCCAAAAAATGCCGAAAATGCTGAAAATAAAACTCCAACAACCAAACGCCACAGGACAATGCAAAAGAATGTGATCCACGGATTCACTATCATCTTTGCATAAACAACACCAATTAACAATGATGTTGCCTCTCTTTCTCAAATTGTCCAAAGTCAAAATCTTCCCCAATGTAGCTGTCCAAACGAAGAACGCGATTCGAAGAGGGGCTTTAGAGCACCACACGGACTTCCAAGGAAACTCGGAACCAACGAAATTGGATAAATGAATAAACATAGAGCGGACATCATACCGACCAATAGCCAAAGGAACCCACAAAATATCATCACACCCTCTGCCAATATCCTTCTGCCTATACAAAATATCCAAAAAAGCAGAAACTTCCTCCATTTCCCAATCCTGAAAAGGCCGCCTAAACCGCACATCCCACGTAACTCCATTGTTATCAAGATGATAACAATCAATCACGAAAACATGCTTATTAGTTGCAATGCTATAAAGCCTAGGAAATGAGTGTGAAAGCAACTGGTCGCCACACCAAAGATCCTCCCAAAAATGAACATGCCTGCCATTACGAACTTTGAATCTAATAAGAGTAGAGAAAACATCCCATCCCTTCCGAATAAATTTCCACAAACCAACGCCTCCCGTAATAGTGACTGGAAGAGATGACCAACCCCCACTCCCCTCACCAAAACGACACGAGACAACTCTTCTCCACTGACGATGTCGTTCCCTTCCAAATCGCCATAACCACTTTCCTAAGAGAGCACGATTAAAAGGAACAATTTTTCGAATGCCTAACCCTCCGAATCTCAATGGTTGGCAAACTTGATCCCAATTAACAAGATGATACTTAAACTCCTCTCCCCTTCCACCCCACAGAAAATCCCTCTGAATTTTTTCAATTCTATCAGCAACAGAACATGGAATTTAAAACAAAGATAAAAAATAGGTAGGAAGGGATGAAAGAGTACTCTTTATAAGTGTGACTTTCCCACCCTTAGATAGATACTGCTTTTTCCATCCTGCTAATCTTTTCTCATATCTATTAATCACTGAGTCCCAATTCCCAACCAGAGTAGAAGAAACTCCCAAAGGCAATCCTAAATAAGGAAGAGGAAAAGAACCAACTCCGCACCCTAAAACAGCAGCTAAGGAGGAAATATCTGGAACATCCCCCACTGGAACAAGCACACTCTTTCCGACATTAATCTTAAGCCCAGAAACTGCTTGGAAGCAAGCAAGAGTGCACCTCAGATATCTGAGTTGAGAAATATCAGCATCACAAAATACCAAAGTATCATCAGCAAATAAAAGATGGGAAATCTGGATCTGATGATCAACATCTCTGCCAACTCTGAACCCCTAATGTAACCCAAATCTTCCGCTTTTCTCATTAATCTAGTCAGACCTTCCATAACGATGAGAAAAAGAAAAGAAGATAATGGATCACCTTGTCGCAGACCACGCGAGCTAGCAAAAAAACCCACAGGAGAGCCATTCACAAGAACAGAAAACATAACTGATGAGATACAAGTGTCAATCCATTTTATCCATCTATCACCAAATCCCATCCTCCGAAGAAGATACAAAACAAACTTCCAATTAACATGATCATAAGCTTTCTCGATATCAAGCTTACACAAAACGCCAGGAACCCCGCTTCTTAATCTAGAGTCAACACATTCCCCAGCAATAAGAACAGAATCCAAAATCTGCCTTCCACCAACAAAAGCGTTCTGCGATTCTGAGATAAGACCATCCAACACTTTACTCATCCTGGAAACAAGAACCTTGGCAATAAGCTTATACATACATCCGATTAAGCTAATTGGCCGAAAATCCTTGATATCAGATGCACCGCCCTTTTTAGGGATGAGAGCAATAAAAGATGCATTCAAAGATTTTTCAAATGTGCCATGAGAATAAAAATCCTGAAAAGTACTCATCACCTCCTCTCGCACCACCTCCTAACTCTCCTTAAAAAAGCGCATAGTAAATCCGTCTGGCCCTGGTGCTTTGTCCCCATTGCAACTAGAAAGTGCCTTAAGCACTTCCTCTTCCGTGAATGGAATCTCAATACTATCCCTATCCATCGCAGAAATAGTATTAAATGGAAGACCATCAAGAGTAGGTCTTCGATCCAAAGTTTCAGTGTAAAGCTGCTGGTAAAAAGAAGCAATTCCTCCGCGCACATCTTCTTCTCTCCACAAATCAAAACCATTAATCCGAATACTTCCGATATGATTACACCTTCTGTGAGCATTGGCCAGTCTATGAAAGAATTTTGTATTCTGATCACCATCTTTTAACCACAAAGCCCGAGACTTTTGACGCCACGAAATCTCCTCCATATGAGCAATCTCAGTAAGAAAATGGACAACATTAAAGTCCGCACGCTGTTGTTGCATACTGCGAACATCAGCAGTAATGGGCTGATACATATTCAGCTTTTCACAGACTCCCATAACTTTGGAATAATACTCTTCTATACTTTGAGTACCTTGTTCAAGATTGAAGTACTGTTTACATAGCTCATAAACACGGGTGATATTACCTGTCCCAGAATATAACTGCTGCAATCTATCCCATATCTCCTTGGCTGTATCCAAATAAAGTAACGTTGAACTAATTTGGGGTTCAATACTGTTTATCATCACAGAGATGATCTGAGCATCTTCCTTTTCCCATGCATCAAAGGAAGTATCAGTTGCCTTGAGTTTCTCTTTAGTCAAATGAGAACCAAGACCTCTGCCTTTGAGAAAAATGGCAACAGATTTGGCCCACAATATGTAATTCTTCCCATTGAGCTTAACTGAAGTCATGGGAGAATTAAGACTGTTCGTGGGTGGAAGCAAATCTGAACTTGAACTTGAGGCCATGTTGAATCCAGCAAAACAGAGAAGAAAAAAGGAGAGAAAAAAAAATTCTGTATTCTGGCCGAACCTAGAAGCGGGTCTGAAACCAGGTCGGATTCTGGCACAGGTCGGATCCTGGTACGGGTCGGATCTTGGAACCGGACCGGATCTAGACTATCCCTGGTTTAGTAAACCGGGATTGGAATAACTATCCCAGGTTTAGCAAACCAGGGTTGGAGTAGCACAACCGTGTAGCCAAACACGGGTCTTCTTCTTCACTCCGTCACAAACTCCGGTAAACAATACGGCGGAGGCGACTGCAACCCAACCACGAGCAGCGGCCGAATCAACAAGCAGCGGCCGAATCAACTTCCGGCCGACCTCTGCAAATCAAGACGAAGAAACTTTTGCCGGCGACGACGAAGAAGGCAGAGACGACGACCACCAAAGAGGAGCTGCCGGTGACAATGAAGAAGGCAGAAACGACAACGAACATACTTCAGATCTGATTACGGTGAACAAGAAATTGCCGACAAAGACATCAAAACCACAATCACGATTTTGATCGTGATTCAAATCGTGATTCTGATCGTGATTCACCACCAACCCACCTACTAACTCTCACACTCATGATCATTGGCTCTGATACCATGTTCAAAATCAAAGAGAAAGAGAGAGAGCAAAAGCGTATTCTCTGTGTATTCAAAAACAACTTACAAAACATAATACGCCTATGTAGGCTTATATATGTTACAAGGTTTACATAATAACACAAACGGCCTATTAACTAAACATAATTACATAACGACCCATTGTTATATATAAAACTTCTAACATAAATGATTATTATATTTCCTTAAGACAAAAAGGTAAGTTTTGGCAAATTCTGGAACTTTTGATCAAAAGAATAAACAAAAAGGAAAGGCAAGAGTCAGACAAAAAGAGAGAACACTTGTGAGAGTGAGACTGAGATGAAGTTGCAGAGACAAGACGAACAAGGAAGCCCTACAGAGATGAGATGAACAACTAAGCCCTATAGAGACGAACGCGAAGCCAGGTCAGTTCTTTTTTCTTCTCTCTGTGTGTATTTTTTTTTTTTTTTTTTTTTTTTTTTTTTTTCTTTTCTTCTTTAACGGCTTCTCTCTTCTCGTGTACTTCTCTCTTCGTCTATTTCTGTCTTTACGTTTTTTTCTCCCCTTTTCTTGTTAACCGATTTTTATTTTCTATTTTTTGCTGTCTATCTCTCCGTCTTCTTTTTCTTATTCCCTATCTTCCAGTTTTGTTTGTTGTTGTTGTTAACATTCCTGCTGTTTTTCAGGTCTCATGTTTCGTTTGGATTTTAAAGCTTGAAGTCTTTGGAATTGGATACATGGATGTACTTTCATGGTTCTTGGATGCTTATATGGTTGATGGATATACTTTTTCATGTTTGATATTAATTTTTAGAATATAAATATGACTTATGAGATATGAATGCTTTATGGTAGTTCAAATTTTCAATTGCTCGCCTCGCCTCGCTTCACTTACGCATGGGCCTCGCGCCTAGGCTCCAAAGGACATCTAGTGCCCCAATGCGCCTTGGGCTTTTAATAACACTGCTTTTGCTTAAGGTTATATTATTATTAGGGTTTTGTGGGTTTATAAGGTATCTTTCTTTTATTTCCTATTTTGTTTTGTTTCCCCTTCATAAGGGAAGCTCTTGTAATGCATTATATAGACTTTGGTATGGAGAATTATTGTGACTTTTCAGAAATCTCTCTTCCAGTTCTTCTTCCCCATTTAGACTTTGATATTGAGAATTATTGCGAGTTTTCAGAAATCTTTCTTCCCATTCTTCTTTCCTTATTATTGCTCTATTCCCTGTGTCTATCAGGTCTCATCTCACCATCTTACTCTCATCACCTCTTCTAGCCTCATCTCATCTAATCTACTATCTATCTTCTCATCCCTTTCTTTTTCTACCACAAATGATTTCAGGGATCTTTGGGGTTCTGTACCAAATTGGTATCAAGACCCTTTTTTTTTTTTGGCATCAGCAGTGTTGGTGCCACCAGCGTGAGGTGCTAGAGGGGAAGAATTGGGAAAGAGCCAACCTTTGGCATTGTTTTGCACAAAATGACTTCTCATACTTGAACATGTCCTCACAGTTATCAGCCGAGCTTTTAACATTGCACCAAGCAATGGCCCCTATTGTGAGAAGAAGCAATGATTGACAGAAAGAAGAAACATTTCAATTTAACATCTAATTATGAGGTTTTATGACTAACTTTAGAGAATTATGCTGAAAATACCATGAATAGATATGGAACCAGTTTTTTGGCCTGTTTTTGTTCCCTTGGGATGCGCTCCCCTTTTGAGCGCTTTTATAAATTTCTTACTTATCAAAAAAAAAAGAAAAAGAATAGATGTGGAACCAGTTGTAATACAGGAAAGTCACTGGTAAGAAGAAAAACTAAAATGCTTAGGCTAGAGCAGAATAGGATGAACTGAGGACTGGTAATTACCCGTGAGGACATACTGGTCTCCAAATGCTACATATTCCACCATCTTCCAAAGCCTGTTGAATATAAAAGAGTGTATTACACATTACAGTAGGATTGCAACATCCAGGCAACCAAAACCTCGAGATGAAAATGACTAAAGCAAGGCTGACATTAGGATCACCTGTTTCCGGCATAAAGCGCGTCGCCCTTTTGATTCTTGTTCACTGCTCCAAACCTTTGAGAAATTGATAGTGTGTTTGACAAATCTCCCGTCGTCAGATACAGAACTTGACGAAGAGAGATTTCTGGACTTTGTAATGGCTTTGATCTGGTTGCATGGGTCTCTCCAATTAGTTTCACTCCAAGAAAAGCACACATATCTCTGGCTTGAAGGAACCTGCACATGGAAAATTCTAAGCAAATTACACATGATGTGCTATTAAGATAAGCTCAAATTATTGTCACCATGGTGAATATAGTGATTTTGAATCCATTCGCAATTCTGACCTTCAATGTCAGGCTTTTCATGTTGGACTGGTGTGCTTTCCACATTCTACGCACTACTGAACAGATCCTAAGAGCTTGGGATTCTCTTCCTTCTAATTCTTCTTCAGTAGTGCATTTTATGACTCTAACAAATGCTTCTGATCTTCTAAAATTTTTGAGATGGAGAATTATGTGAGATGGTCTGGGGCAGCCTGCTTTGGCCAACTCCACTGACATGAGCTCTTCCCAGGGCACATCCCACATTATCTTGCATGGTTTTTTATCCATCTTGTCAGGTGCAAGACACTTTCCAAGCAGAAAGATAGGAAAGTCATATAAAGCCAGATGTAATAGTTCATAATAATAAATGGTGTAACAGTCAAAAGAACAAAGAATGAGTAGAGCTAAATCCCCCGACCAACCTGCAACAGCATGACTCGTTTATTAGTGACTAAAACAATCCTCTGGTAAGGCACGACAAAATGGTCTTCATAATAATCTGACAAGGCAAATTTTGAGGGCTCCTTGAATATTTCAGTACATCCAAAATGCCGACTCGTCTCTGCAAGATAAAGTATCATCTGGAAACCAAAATAAGAAGAGAGTAAAAGACCACCCTGCATTCACATTTCGTAAGTATGAAGGATACAAAACTGAGACACAATTCTTTTTCAACATATAAACATGCTACACATCAAAGCACCATCCTTAAGAGAGTTTTGAATATATAAGGATTTGTAAATTCCTCATCCATTACTTCTACACCATCAATTTAGGTATAGTTGTTAGACTCTAAGGTTCGATTGGTTTTCATACTGTTTCCAATATTTAACAAAAAAATCTTCCATAATGTGAAGAAAGAATACATTAATTTGGGAAAGCAGACCAATTTGGGAAAAATAAATTGAAAAACAAAAATACGCCAGAAAAGTGGTAAGAATTGCAAAACGGCCGAAAGACCGCATCTCAAATTCTGTTTCCTACTGCATAGCTTTCAAAGCCCTATTGTCTTTCATCCCAATTGTAATGTACATGTTTAAGCTGCACTTATAACACTAAAGCATCATATCTATATAAGTATATCAATTATAGTACTCCAAATGGAACACAGCTTTTGGGTGTACTAGATGTTATTCAATATAGAACATGGAATTTATGAAAAAAAGAATTGAAAATGTACCTGTCCGACAGCTTCTCTCTCACAATACTCTCTAAGTACATTATCCGCATGAATGGCCCGGGGATTTCTAATTCTCTGGAAGGTGGTCTTATTATTGAGAACCTCTAAGCATCTGGAGCAACTTGCACCAATTCCATCAACAGTCAAGGAAAAGAAATCTAACGCTCCACTCACTGGTTGTACAATGATTCCCAGGAAAGCTTGTCCTAGCCCATGAGCAAGCCCAAGAAGACCATTCTGTCTGGCACTCTCCACAGGCTTCCTCACAACTCCAGACACTCCAAAAGCAACACCTTGTGCAAGAGCTTCTGTTCCTTGTATGATACCATCACCTAACCCTGTTACTCTTCTTGACCATACCTGATCCCACGTTTCAATTTCTCATTAGATGTGGATAGCAATGTTAAGATATTCTATTAGATAAGTACCAACAACTAGTTACCTGCTGTGAACGCAATTGTAGAAACTGTCCATCTGTTGAGAGCTCAGCAAATCCTTTACTAAGAGAAGCTAATGTTGAGCTTGTCATACCAAGTACATCCACTGAAAAAATCAAATGTAAAGGGTTATGAATTAGATCTCTCCAAATACGGTTTCCAATGGCAGGAAAGACAGCACTTTTCCGCATAAATTTGTCTCTATGCACCACCTTCCTCAGGTGCACCTGAAAGAGAAATAACAGTGTTATATAGAGCACAAGCAGTATATCAATCATATTCATTATCCTTTGACAACATATTTTTATCTTCTCAGAGCTATGGCCTGAATCAGTGTGAATATCGTTTTGGCAGAAAAAAAAAGAAAAAAGAAACTGAGACAAAGTATAGTTTGCAAAGCAAAAAACGAAACAGTAAAAGCAAATAAAATTTAAGATGTTGGGGTTTGTGATATTCTGACAAAATTTCAAAAAAATAAAATTAGGAACTACATGAATCTGAGTTTTCAAATCCAAACACATGCGTACATATTCAACCTTGTTAAAGAATTTAAATATTAAAACTAAACCCTCTCTAACAGCAACTTTTAGAGTAGATGGTTGTTAACATGGTATTAGAGCAGGTAAGGTCCTGGGTTCAAACCTCATTGATAATTAAAAGTTGAAACGTGTTGAACCAAAAATATGGCCACACCTGAGGCGGGGGGTGTGAAAGAATTTAAATATTAAAATTACACCCTCTCTAACAGCTTAAGCTTTTAGAGTAGATGGTTGTTAAAAAAACCTCAAGAGACATTTGACATTTTTGTGCAATGGGACACAATTTCAATGCAACAATTACAAATCACAGAAGGATATAAAAACATGATCTGTCGAAATACATCTGGCATTTCCTCAAAGTTTCCACCAGAATAAAATTCTGGTAAAATCATAAAATCTAAGCTCACTTATTGTTCTAGTCCACACCCTCTCTCTCTCTCTCTCGTGATAGTACATTGTGTACCACATAGGCCTTAAGGCGGAACTATGATATTTGAATTTTTTATGGAGAAGTAGGATGTTACGGAAGGAACATTCCCTCTGGGGTAGGAGAATCATGACGGGGATAGTGGACCAAAAACCATGGAACTTTGGTGATAATTTTTTCACTTGGAAATGTAATGTGTACTCTGCTGAAGTGATAACATTTGCGAGATAACAAAGAAAACTGCAGGCTAGATTGGAAATTTAAATAAAAAATACAATATGTAGTTCTAGTCAACAAGTCAACAATGCAACAGTTCCAAAAATTTTGTCAGTACCCTCTAAATTCTTTAACTATCTCCATTCGAGTTGAAGATGTTGCAAAAATGTGAAAGGTAGGTAAAAAGAGTAAATTTTAGTACCAGAAAAACTAATAGCAATTAGCAACCTGACCTGAATTTTAAATGCATTTCCAACAGCTGACAGTATGGGGCTCCACACACCTAGAACTCCATGTGGTCTTTGATCTGGTGCTGTCTCCAGAGAGACCTTAAGCCTTACTTCTGAAACATCTATTAGGCTGAAAAGATAAGGACAAACAATCAAGACCTCACCTTATCAAATTATTTTGGCTCTGATGGATACAAAATTTGATTAGATGAATCCAATTCATTGAAATGAAGCAATTTAAGTAAATCCAATCAGTCTTTTAAGGAGCATTGCACCACAATTGTTCACCATAACATCAAAACCAGTATTCCAATTGTGAGGTTGGAAGCTAAGTGCACACAGAAAAAGGAACAGGCATTATTGGTTTCACAAACTCGGCACAAACAACCCACCGCTAAAAGAAGGGGAAATATAAAAGAGAAGGAAAAAGAAATAAAAGCACATTGTTGTGAGAGCAGCCGCCTCTTCATTGACTTGCATTTGCTATTAGAGTAGGAATAGTACACAGCAAAAAGAACAACGAATATTGGTTTTATGAGCTTGAAACAAACAACCCTCTGCTAAAAGACAGGAAAATATAAAGAGAAGGAACAAGAAATACAAGTACAACTTTCTGAGAGTAGCAATTGTGCTGTTAGTATACGAATAGTATTAAGCATTATTAACAAACAATATACCTACTCACTTATCAAAATTATATAACAGCTAAAATATAAACAATAATAAACAAATTATACTGCACATTACATTATGGTCATGATTTAGAATTCAAACATTTCAGTTGTAATATGCAAGACTTTCCAAAAGAGATTTGAACCGCCTAGCCAGATGTTTACTATGGTCAGACTATATTTGGAAGTATTGTACAGCAGTTGGAATGTATTGCATGGATGTTTCTTTATTCACACAGGAATGTATGACATGAATGTTTCATTATTCATGCACTTATTATATTCCAAGCTATTGCAGAGCCTTTAATACCCAATTTTATTTTTTATAAAAAAAACTTAAATGTAACTTCCTCCATTGTGAGTTTTAATCTGCACAGAAGAGGTAATCATAATTTAGAAACATTTGGCTAAAGCCTCCAGGTATTGATAGTTACTTATTTATTATTATTATTATCAAATTTATGCAATGTCTATGATATTCTATTCTAGGCTGATTGTATGACACGAAGAAATGAAATTCCATACCTGGAGTTGGAAGATAGCTTCTATTTTACTCTTTCAAATTTGAAACTATATTATATATGTTCACTGAAACATCCATGTTTTCCAAGTTCAATAGAAATAAATTCTCACAAAGTACTTCAGCTTTGCAATTAAGTCACAAACCTCGACTTCAAACAATACTAAAACTAGGCACCATACAAAAGCAAAGTATAGAGTATTCTCATAAATTCACATGATTTGGTACAGTTGCAATATTATGTTTTGGCAAGTTCCTATGCAAAATAGGGACTGTAGGTGGAACAAAATGTCACGAGTCTGTGTGTACAACTTCACGAGGATATTTCTGTCAAGCTCAATTACATGTTTAGGTTAAGGTTAGATGAGTGTTTACCAGATATAGGAATCTAGGTTGGAATGATATATTAGATAGATGAACCTCCCATGACGTAGGTTTAATTTTTACAAGGTTAATTAGACTTGGCCCTGGTGCCTCAAGCAGCATCAGGTCTAAGGTTTGAATCCTCTTGAGTGCAAACATTTTTGGGGGGGGGGGGGGGGGGGGTGGGGGGAGCCCCAAAAAAAAGTTTTTGAAATTTAAGCTTATATTTAAACAAAAAATTTGATGAATCAAACATTTTTAATAGGAAAATTATTGAAAAAACAGTGAACTTTGAGTGACAGTTTGATCACTTGAAACATCACTTGAACCAACTGCAGTAAACTTCAATCAGTAGGTTGATCACTTAAAACATCGAGTTGAAAAATATTGAAAAGACAGTGAACTTTGAGTGATAAACGATCACTTGAAACATCACTCGAGCCAACTGCAGTAAATTTTGATCCAGTAGATAGATCACTTAAAAACATAACTAGAACAAACTCCAGTAAGCTTCGATTGATAGGTCAATTGATCAAACCTATCAGACCAAATTGCTTGAAGGCTACTTGAAGGAGTTAGATGGCTCAAACCTGCCTTGAACTCTAATTAGTTTTATTTTTCAAAAAAAATGTAGAATTCCTATATTGACTAAAAAAATGAAGTTAAATTCAGTTATTGGAATTGATATCATATTGTTAAGATATTTTATATCTTTCAGAGAGAGCATTGAGAATCAATCTAGGGGTTTAATAGACAATCATACTCTTATGTGATTGAGTGATTCAAAACTAGAAGCAGATCAAAGACTATCATATTAACAATGAACAGGGTATCTTTGAGAACAAATTGAAAAACTATATAGAACAGTCTTATGGGTGAACAAATTTGTTGATTGATTGCAGAAAAATTTGAGTATGAAAATTTTATATGAGTATGGATTAGAGGTAACTAGGTGATTCTAGTAGTGTGGTACCTAGCTTTGTAAAACCTTTCTCAATAATGATTGTTCGTGCCTGGACCAAGGATCCCTGTTTTATTTTCCTTTTATAAGGTTTTCCATGTAAAAACCGAGTCTCTGTTTCTCTCTCTCTCTCTCTATATATATATATATAAATATATCCATCCTACTGCCTGAGTAAAGACATATAGCTGGGAGATCAAGGACGTGTGACATGCTCTCAAAGACTTCACACAATTAGTACCTTTAATACATTGCAAATCAGAATCATCATTGGCGAAAGTTATCCAGTTTCAAATTCTACTGGCTATAGATAAGCAGTAAATAAGATTCTTACTCTATACGTATCTCTGGATCGACTTGCGTGACATTAGAATTTTGGGAAACACGATGTAGCTGAAGATTATTGTAGAAATCAACCAAAGCCCAGATAATTGGTTCATGAATGTTGAGCCTCCAGCACTTTTCAGTTACCTATGATATTAGCACAAGATTTAATGAGACCACAGATGTAATAAACTTCATGTACAATATGGTTAAAGAACAATTATGGCATCACTGTTGAGGAAACATTACCCGTATATAAACATATGGGTACACTTGGAGGCCTGCAGGGTTCTCATTGCATATTGTTATAGTTGTCTTGAACACTGGATGATGCATATCAGTGGTTTGTTCAGGTGCCAACAGCACAGGCATCAATGTTAGAGGGAGCTGGTTGTCGAGCTGTAAGTAACCCAATATGAGCTTGAACCTGGGACACGATCACATGAATTTAGCTACCCAACCAATAAAACATCATCCTTTCAGAATATAATGATTGATAGAAAAGTAAAATGATTCTTAGGGAAGATCTAACTTATCATCTTCTCTCTGAAAAAGGAAAAGAAGAGAACCAATTACAAGTTTTATAGTAAAAGGATAACTTGACAATACGAAATACAGATTCAAGTAATACCACTCAAGACAAACATAAGTCTACAAGATTTCTAATAAAATGTCCATTTCTTAAAAAAGGAGTGCAAAGTAGTGCTGCATATCAATAAACAACAAATCAAGTACAAATTACAAACATATTTATACAAATTTTTATTTTTTATTTTATAAGTCCAGAGGAAAGTTTTAACAAAGAAAAACAAAAAAAACAGAGTATGAAGTGAGAGCATGCCATAACAGATGGTCACCTCTCTCTCTCAACATAACAAGGGTTGAAAATAAGGAATTGTAGCCAGTTGAACATAAGAGGATTCTTTTACCTGCTTGTAGTCCCACCATCATAGCCAGTTGAATAGGATATGAAGACCCTCTCCAGATACAAGTATGAAAGCTCTTTTGGTCTATGATCTACAACAGAAATCCCAACAACTGCCAGCTCAACTATAAGTTCTACAGGAGCTCCATCATCCGGCATCTTGCTCTGCATGTAAGAATTTCCCAAATTTCCAACAGGTACCGGGAACCTACTTATTTCATTTGAACTCGACCCAAGTGTCCTGTCATCTATGAACCTAGCAACCTTGGTATCACCCATTTCAACAACATGAAAAAACAATCCAAGTGCTCCATCATCTGCTGAATATAACCGTGTCTTATCCAAATCAAGTTTCCAGATTGTGGTGCTATTGCCATCATTAACCTCAGCATCGATAAGTCTTTCTCCATATGGATTTTCCCAAGCAAAATTTGTGGTTGAAAGAGGTTCTAACTGAATCCAGGAATCATCACCAAATCCAGATTGGCGAATGCTTATTTTCTTGATTGTTCTGTTCTCAATCCTATTGAGCAAAGGTTTCACTAATTAGTAAGTATAGAAAATGCAATATAAAATTGTAAATAAAGGATGTAGTCCAAATATTTTAAAATTTTATTTTAACCATGAAAAAAAAAATGATGTAGTCCAAATATCTGGAACATGACTACATGTTACTCCCTCCGTCCCAAAATAAATGTGCTTTTTAGGGACTCCAACTATTTAAACGGAAATGTAATGAATGCGTGTCTCCCTTGAAACTCTAATACAAGCCCTCCATTTATTTAAATATAAACATTGTTAATATAGGAAAATTTTCAAATCCAAAAAGAAATATATAGTATTTTACATTGACTTTTCAAAAAGGGACGTTATTTTCGGATATCTCAAAATGGAAAGGGGGACACATACTTTGGGAAGGAGGAGTATATATCTAGATATATGTTTATATATACAAATATAAATAGGTACCTGATAGGACCAATTGTTGATCCAAGGCGAAAAACAACAATAAAACGTGACCCTTCTTCGTGGCCCCGAATTTCTGTCCTTAAATATCTCCGAGTTCCGTCACGTTTCCTCAAAACCAGAGAGATCGTGTCCTCTTTTTCGATTTGAACAGGAAATGACCATTCTGTATCCTCTAGTTTTACCTATCCGTTGAAAGCATCCGATTAGAATAACTGGTTGACTAAAAAAAAAAACTTAACATTTACAGAATGGTTGATAGTTTCTTTCCATTTAGAAAAGAAAGGAAGAACAATCTGGTTGTAACAAGCAAAGTTAAAATTAAAGAAACATGCAATTACAGTCATAATTTATCTTAAAAGAGACAAAATCCTTTTTCATCAGAAAAATTTAGTAAATTACGACAATGAGTTCTTTCATATAAAGAGCTTGAAAGAAAAACATACTGGAAAATGTAGAAGACCCCAAACCTAATTAAAGCATGTGCAGCATTATTAAGCACGAAAATCATAACAATTAAACACATTTCCCTCCAGAAAAGCACCCAGCTCACCCACACTGTCACCACCACCACCACCATCAGTTTTTGAGGGATGTCGACGACCTAAAGCAAAATTAAACTGAACCACAATCTGGGATCTAACTTGCCCAATTAATAACAATCAATCATCCCGTCAGACTAATGTTTGTCCAACGTTTACTGTTAGCATCACAAAGACAATTGTAACCTAGGTCTTGGCATTAATAGCCAAGAGGCAAAGAAAAAATATATAGAATACTATTGACAACATCCCAGGATCCCTGGCCTTAAAAAATTGGTTTCCAGGAGCTTCACCAGCCAAAATATCATGTTTCTAAATATGGAGTTCATTTAAAGTAAGATTATATAATAGTCAACATCAAACCACATAATTATTCAATTCAACATTAGAAAAGTTCTCCAATACTTGTTTTTTCTGAGGATAGAATGATGCAATTCCAATCCTTGGTGTGAGCCTAGACTTTTCTTCTTCTTTATTCTTTTCCATGATTAGCTTTAATATCCATCACTTATTCAAATGAATTCTGATATCAGGATTGACTGGTATATATTGTTATACTCATATTTTTTAGACGATATACTGCATCCTCTTTCTCAAAAGTTTATTTGTCACTCAATGGTTAACAAACTTAGAAGCGTGCGGGATTTTACTTACCTGGAGTTTATTAGGTGCATCTAATCCACGAGAAACAAAGGATACTCGAGAATCAGATGCGCGCAGAATCTTTGGCTGATCTTCACTGCTTAACTTCATGAATATATCTTGACCAAGTCTGTTTGTAAAAGTTACAAATGGTCGAACAGAAATCACCTGAAAGAGGAGGAAAAAGAAAAAAGTAAGTTTAAAATGGCATATGACTTGAATAAGATTAAAAAAAAAAAAAGAGAGTAAATTTAAAATGGCATATGAATTGAATAAGATTTTGTAAAAGCTGCAACAACCTTTGTTGGAACAGACTGATAGGGGCATGGTTTTGAACATATAAACAGCTGCATGCAATTGCCATCTGAATCATAGGCACAGATCTCCAATGATCCATCCTAAGAATAAAAGAAATATTCAACAGAATTACTCAACATGATTTACTGCAGGACACAGAGGCAGCATATAAGATTTAACATTACAAACCATGTCCCCAAGTGGAGAAAGATCTTTAGCCGGTCCAAATCGTTCCTCGCCAGATTGAGTAATTGAAACTGAGAGTCCCAACAATTTAAAATTCAATGCAGAAGCAATTGTATGTCCTTCATACATTTCTTCTTCTGTAATTTCCTCAAAGATTATGTCATTGTTCTTTTTCGACTGAAAAGGGAGAGCAATCTTCCGAGTTTCTTTTCTCCCTGTCATATCTAGAAGCCTAAACGTAAGTGGTGGACATCTTGCAACCGAAAACCAGTATGGCGAATAGACTCTAATGATCTTTGCCAGCAGGGGCTGTTCTTTGTCATGGTTTTGTTCCAGAATAATCTGAGCTATCCTGCACATGACAATAACTTGAGGCACATGATACTACAGAGGAAATGCATTTTTATGTATTTGTAAAAATGGAAAAGAAAAAATGACAATAAGAAAACCACGGAATTTTATGCACCATAAAACCAAACCTTCCAGAAACTGAACTTCTTAATCCTATTGTTCTCGCTGGAACTATGCTAGGATGGGATAAGAGAACAGCCTCCTACAAATGACAAAAACATAACAGGTTATCTTTCTTTTTTCTCTGTCAAGAAAATTTTCAAATACTGTTTTGTACTTTTGTTTTGGAGGAGGGGGTGATTGGGTTTAAAATCTCACATTTACTGGCAGCCATCCTCTTTGTGGAAGCAGTGAAAGATACAAAGGGTTTCTTATGTCAGCATTGTGAATCTTTACAGCCTCCCCCGGAGAAAATATTCCTCTGGAGCAGGCAAGGAAATGGCCACTGGCTTGCATCTCAAGAACAGAAAATTCAGCAGTCAGGGGAAGATAATTGGTGATAGATAGCGGGGGCTTGACCACAAGACTCCAATCCTGAATAGGATCAGAGTGAATGTCTTTTGCAACCTCTGTTGCTTGTATGCTCAAACAAAACCACATTCCACGGGAACTATTTGATGACGTGCCACTTATTTTGGAGCAATACAAGAGTTTATCGGTTTCTTCAAGAGTTGAGACCCATATTTTAGAATTATCTTTAGACTTACCAAAATCCTCTGACTGACCAGGCCTTTCCGCCACAGAACTCCAAGAGTATTCATTAGGATTATTGAAATTTGAAGGCCTTAACTGCAGAAAATATAATCCAGTCTGCGTTAAGCCTGATAGAGGAAGGGGAACAGTTTCTCCAGGTTTCAGTAGTCCGACAGATATTTGCTGCTGTAAATCCCCTGCAACCTTTTTTCTGTTTCTGATCCATCTCCTCTGCCTCGCACAGTTCGCAAAATTTAAAGCATTATAAGACTCAGGCCAATTCAAACTTTCAAGATCTGAAGCATAAATCCATCCATCAGCGGTGTTAACAGCAGTCTTATCTAAATGCCAATCATCAACCCATTCCCAGCCTGCAGGTAACTCAACTCCTAAAGCTCCCTGTAAAAAAGCAGGTGTCAGAAACAAACCAGGAGCTCAAGAAAAGATGGTTACTGTAATTAGGCTAATCCATAGTTACATCAAAGGTACCATTTCTTTTTCAACTCTGTTGAGCTTATGGTCTCCAAAAAAGGTTTAAACTACAAAACCACAATTAGAGTATTCGGAGTTTTCAATATCAACCTGTGTCACTCATCAGGATTAAGCTTTGGACTATGAGGGATGACAAGAGACACCATCTGATTTGTAAGGTAAGACAATGTGGTCTGATACCAAATTTATACATGATACTGCCAATCTGGGAGACTGCATGCAGAGTGTGACTTCATGGCATCATAAAATAACACATGGAGTTTGAATATTTGATAGTTATGCATGCAACTCTGACTCGAGTGTTCATTAATTGAGTGGATATACATTCTCAGTGCACGCACAGGGAGGGGAGGGGAGGGGAGGGGAGGGGATAATGTATAGGGCTGATAATGAAGGCATATCTTGGCACAGAGGGCACAGCAATTACACCATCACAAATTTGACACAAGGATATAGGAAATAATATTTCTCCAGTCCACAACCATTCCAAATTGGTAAGAAGCTGGTTCTTTTAAAAATTAAATCACTTTCAGAACTTTTAATACCTGAATCACATATAGATATGGTAGTTACATACAGCAGAGTGAAACTCAGGTGGTGGATTATATACTCATGGATGACTCACCTTCAATTACCTGAGTTCTACACATTTGATTAATTTCATTTTCATTGTTTATGGTTAACTTTATGTACTGACATACACACAATATTATTGCTAATACGAACTCATATTAGGATCTGCAGGTATTGTAATCTACACCTTTACAATCCATGGTTAAGCAAAATCAAAAGATGACAAGCATTCACGATTCAAACATTCATTTGGAGAAATATGGAAGAGGTTTAAAGTTACTAAGAAAAGACAGCTTCAAATACCAAATGTCAACTTAAAGCCACATACGACATCAACTAGCTGGCTATGACTCAAGCCCGCTATTATGAGAAAGTAAAACCATGAAAATACAATGCCAAATACCACATCAATGATAAATTGCTACCTAACACCAGAAGGAATGCCAATGCAAACTATACAACCTGAACTTATCATTCAAACACTTCTCCGACAAAAAATGACACTATATTCTAGTCCTAGAGACCACAAAATTGTGTGATAATTCCCAAAAGCCATGTGCCCAAATGGTTGCATTCATGGTCCCTGTGAATGTGACTCCAAAATCAATGTCCAAACACATGCCCTTATGGATGTTGAAATCAAAAGGATAATATTAAGATGGATGGACTTGAAGGATAAAAATCATAAAACTGGACATAAATGTTTATGGAAGAAAAGCGAGGTGACAAAACGATTGAAAACATCAGAATAAGTTGAGAATGATTCCTTTATTGCAAGACAAGCCACAAACAACACCAAATAACAGGACATTAAAGTGAATACAGGATATTTGCAAGGGGAAAGGCAGAATCAGTATGATATGAATTAATGAGTAAACACACGATGACACATAATTTAAGGAAAAGTATCATCCCCAGACATCTTAAATAACATCATCTAGGCAGTATAACCAATGAGAAACATTATATATATATATATATATATATGAATATATTTATCTACAGTTCAAGGTTAACTATATTCTCTCTCAATTATAGAAACATTGTGTTAAAGAGTGACACTAATGAAAAATTATCAATTAACAGCAAGTAGGACATAGAAACCCTCAATATGGTGTCCACAAGAGTCCTGTACACCAAATCACACACATATAACTTATCAAGCAGTTTCATCTACAAGATATATTGAGCCTCTTGATATTTGAAGGCCTTACAAACAAGAGGTCCTAATGTCTTTCCCCCAAGGTGAACTGATAGGAGGCCCCTCCAATTGTTACTCAAGTGTTATATATATATATATATATATATATATATATATATATATATATATATGTATATATATATCTGTCACTTAGCAATCGTGAATTTACAATTCATGGCATTCTTATGGATTTTTGTGGTGGCACGCTCTTTAATTTATCTTTGCCTTGTGGATGGGTTATCTACTAAGCCATCATAGTTGAAATGATGGATTTGCTTACGGGTCATAGAGAAGCTAAAGATAAGGATAAAGTTGAGAGTTCGGACACTATCCTAACAACATTCATTTTATTTTAATGGTGATCCCACATTTTTGTCATTTAGATATTAAAAAACCTCAAGGACCATAAAAATTATATAATATTTTTCATAAGATCATAAATATAACTTAAAAAGGACAATGGCTTCCAGTTGTCTGGTTCATACTTTTGCTATTTAGGAGGCACATTTTCTAGCCAAGTGAGCAGTGAATAATATTTAAGAGTTCACAAGGCCCTTTTATTCTCAGTCTAATTTGTCGTCTTTTAGTTTAGTTTGGTTTATTCGTCTTTGTTGTGGCTAAAAAAACCTGTTTGCTAGAGACAGAGAGGGAGAAGAAGAGGAGGAGAGAGAGAGGAGAAGAGAGAGAAAAGGGGGGGGGGGGGAGGTGGGTGGGAGGAGAGCATCTTATAGAGAGCGTATAAGGTAATTGCTAAGCCAAAAAAGAAAAACAGCAATTTTCAATGTAAGGCACATGGAGAAAAACATGTAAACCACTTACCTGATTAAATCCCACATCTTCCATGTTATCTGGGTTAGGTTGAACAGCACAACCAACCCAGCCACTAGCTGGGTTGTATTTTTCAGTTTCAAAGAACTCATCTGTTTCAAATCTGTTACCATCACTTTGTATCTCCTCGGGCTCGCTTGCATTGTCTAATGAAGCTCTGAGTTTGAGGCACAAATCCAGTGTAAACTCGGTATTGTTACGAACTGAAACCAGAGATCTGATAGTTACATATCTGTTGCCATCCTTCACACTTACTTCACTGGCAACAACATCATTGCCTAACCTCCAACAAGCAGCAGGTGCAGCATAGTTCAGCCTCACAGTAGTCCAAGGTCCTTCCCTTGAAGGACTGATCTGAATTAAACCAGTTTTTTTGTCCCTAGTGAAGGATTGCTCATTGTTTTCAACTTCAGATACATGTGATAAGAGCACAGCAAATTTTATTTTCCCACATTTCATGAATTTATCTCCTTGATTCTGCATGAACATCGATAAGGTAAGAGTTAGCTGGAGAGGACGCAGCAACTAGCAACTATATTCTCAATCTTGAAAGATGAAACAAGAAAAAAAGAATTGAAAATATAAAAGATGGAATTCACCGCAGATTCCATTGAGGACAAGTCTATCCAGGTCAATTTATTTAAATGTGAACTATCTTGGTTTTGTACTATCTCCTTCAGAGGAGCTGAAAAGTACCCAACAGGATTGCCTGCAAGGTAAAGCTTGAAGTTAGTTAGGCAAGGCTAATGTTCATATAGAAAGCCGCATGAGAAAATCTATTTAAATTAGAAGTCTTAAGCAAATATACTTTAATTATTGACTTTGTTTATGGAAAAGATTCACAGACTCTAAAGCATCTCAGGATAACAGCTGTACACTCTGAAAGGCTGAGATCTCTTATAACTATAATTCTAAGGGGTTATCAAAGTAATCTCTTCCCCTTTCTCCATTTTTCGATATCATTGGATTTTCATCAATAAATGCCCATTTAACCTCTCCACTTGCTTAATTTTATTCAAAAATAATTTAACTATAAGAAAAAGTTATTAATAACTAATTACCTAGAGTAACTGTAAAAAACAAGTTATCCTATGAGAATGATTCATATTTTTTTTTCAAAAATAAAATAAAATGTATCAGAAAAATACTTTAAATAAAGAAAATCTTTTCTGCCATAGTTATATGTAACAAAAATTATTTGGGAAAACCACAAAATTTTAAGTAAAAATATTCAAGTGAAAGAAACTGTAAACATTTGGCAAAATAGAATAAGCATGGTACAGAATATAATTGAAAAAAAAAAATACTACTGCTCATCTGAACTGGTAAAATAGGATTTATACATAAAAAAATAATAATAATAAAAGCAGTATGAGATTAATAACTTTGGGTTATGCCTGGATCCGTTAGAGGGTTGATTGAGGCTTGGAGAGGTTGCCATGTGGGGGCTCACATTGTGGATGCTTGGAGGGCTACGCCTCTTTGTGTGTGGTGGTGTATTTGGCTCAAGAGGAATAGAAGATATTTTGATGGGAAGGAGTTGTCGATTTCTACTCTTAAATTCTCTATTATTTCCACTCTTTTTTGTTGGGTTTATGGGAGAGATCATAGATCTTTAGATGAAATTGTCGATTTTTTGGTTTCTTTGAAGGCCTAAAGGTCCTTTGTGGCCTTGTGTATATTTTCAGGGTTTCGCTCCCCTTTTGAGCGCTTTTATAAAATTATTCTTACTTATCAAAAAAAAAAAAAAAAAGGAAACCAAAACTGGCAGCACAATCATAATCTGAATTTGGATAGTCATGTTGATGAGAGCTAATAAGTCCAGAAATTTTGTCATGCATTTAACCTTCCAAATGTAAAATTAAATGACCACAGGGTGGCAAGAAAATAATTTGAGCAACAGTTGAAAATTTTAGATGTTCCATTAAACAACTTATATGGAAGGAACTCAAGCAGTGACACAGAGGTACACGGCTTGGTACCATTTACTTTGATAAATGTTTCTCTTTCCGCGTGGGGGGAATTTATCTTGCATCACATCAATGTGAGTTAATTTCAAGCTACCGTTATCATTACAAAAAACCGTATATTCTTACCACCTTCCTTAATGTCCTAGCATCTGCAATTTTCACTAACATTTTACCCCATGTTAGGTGACTTAGGTCAATAGTTTTCTGTTTGTAAAATCATGCAAAATGCTGTCTGTATGTTTTATTTTAACTTTTGTATAGGATTCCTATGGTTAAGTTAGGTAGTTGAGTTACCTCCTATTGGAAATTGTCTCAAATTCTACTTTGAATACGTATTTATTTTAGAGTTGTATTTTGTTAGGGAATTTCTTGTTAGACAACTTATGCTGCTGCTTTATTTTTCCAGTAGTCCATTCTGTCCAATATTCATATGCATTCATTTACTGATTCCTTTCTCTCCTACTGTCCAGATTCAGAGGAGAAATTTGTTCTAATATAATGCTTAGTCGATAAATTTGATGCTGCAGTTTTTGAACATCTTCTTTTGTGGCTATCTTGCTTCCTTGCCTAGCCATAGATCCACAGTAATCACAGATCTTACTGGAAGGCTCTGATACCACTTGAAGCAAACAGAAAAAAGACAAGTCTTCTTACGACAGTAAGAAAGGCTAGGGTTACTCCAATCACCGTTGGAGCCTAGATTTCTAAAGGAAAATCTGGGAAAAGGCTGAAGAACTGTTTACAAACTGATAATAACTCAATACATATTGATAAAGACTTGGTTCAGCAGATACATAGGCTGTACCGTTTATAAGACAATAATTAATGACACTTGGTTTTCCTAGACTGACTTTCAAACTACCCACAAAGCATTAATAGTATTTTATCACTTCTAAGTAAACACTTCGTAGTTCCAAAACTTAATTAATTAGTACCCAAAAACAAGAATGACTCTTTGACTAGACACTTTTCAAGGCACCATTGACTGCCTTAATCCTGACAAAAGCACCATTAATGATTGGCATCAGTTAGCCATGATATATTCTAACCATATCTCAATACTTCCTTTTTTGAAAAAACTCTAAACTTTTCTTATAATTATACTCTGATATTTTAATCAAAAAAGATACATTTCGTGTTCAGGAGTTGTTAAACATGCGCCACTAATTATTTGGAAAGTCCTGAATATGTGGTCGAATAATTTAAGAAGTATTGGATATGTGTACGAAATAAAAAAATAATAACTTTCAAATGATGAATATATTTAAGAAGTTTGGGATATGTATCCGCAAGTATCCATGGAGTGTTGATATCTACGGGCATGTTTCCCTTGTAGAAGTATCCATGCTTCATAGGTTACCTCTTTGCAATGACGAATTGGAATAATCAAAACTTCAACAAAGACACAAAGGTAAATTCAACTCACAAAATAACGTACTCACCAAATTATTATTAATATGTATTCATTCATAAACACACTAATGTTTTCAAATTGCATGCTTTGATCCTTAAAAATGTATCTTAGAATGCAATATTTTGTTTCTATTTTAAAAATCCTAAAAGAACTAAGACAGGGGAGTTGGATTGATTGAAGGATCACCCGAAGCTTCCTAGACTAGGAATTTCCAAATAGGTTTTAAACTCTATTAATCCTAGTCACTTTTAGCCTCCATGAGCTATAAAGAACCCTATGCTTTCAGAGAACCCATATGAGATTTACAAGCACTGTGAGGTAATTTAGAGTGTATAGGTCTCTTTCCTTCATTATGCATGCATATAGATGGTGATATGTTTTTTGAGTGTTGACAATCACCAATACAATGGCTACAAGGATATCAACACCTAAAGCAAATTCCATGACGACGAATGAATTGGACATTACCAATCCTGGCGATCAAGACACGAATTGAAGACTAAATAGCATGAGAAATGAGTTTGTTCATTGGCGCAAACAGAGTTCAAGGAGAACACTAGGCATGAGTCTAGGTCAAAGGTAATAAGGGATTTTTTGGTTAGAGTTTGGTAACCTAGACTTGTAATCTCTCTTCATAAAGTGGATTTGATCTGCCTACACTAGATCCCATGGTTTCTCCTCTATGGGGGTTTCCACGTAAAAATTGGTTTTCTTGTTTGTTGATGTCTATATGATTTTATAATTGGTTTTCTTGTTTGTTGATGTCTATATGATTTTATATATATATATTTTTTGATAAATAAATAATTCATTAAAAAAAGCATTAAAAGGGGAACGCATCCCTAACAAATCACAAAAACCTGGGAACCCTAAGGCCCCAAGGAAGCCAAAAACTCAATAGTCTCCTTAGCAGAAGAACAGAGTCTACCCGAACCCCAAAAACAAAGAGAGCTAATAACAGAAGATTTCAGACCAGTGATGGAAGATTCCTTTCCTTCAAAGGATCTTCTATCTCGCTCCCTCCACAAACACCACCAAAGACATAAAGGCGCCATCCTCAAGAACCCTCGAGCCTGTGCTCCCACCCAACCCCCTCTCCAAGTGTCCATCAGGCCTCTCGAAAATCTAGGCATAACCCAACAAACTCCAAACAAACCTAGCAAAAGGTTCCAACAATCAACCACCACTGGACAATGCAAGAGAAGATGATCAACCGACTCGCCATTGCACTTACACATACAACACCAATTCACCGTGATAAGCTCTCTCCTTCTCAAATTATCCAATTTCAAAATTTTACCCCACGCAACCGTCTAAGCAAAAAAGGCCACTTTCAATAGCGCCTTAGTGCGCCACACATCCTTCCAGGAATACCACCCCATCCAAATCCACCAAGCATCCGAAAAAGGATCTCACAGTAAACATTCCCCTAGCAGATGAAATCCAAACAAGAAAATCCCTACCTCCTCCCCAATCACCTGGCTAAACAACAATTCTAAAAAACCAAACACATCATCCATCTCCCAATCCTGAAAAGATCGCTGGAACAGCACATCCCAAACCGGTATCCCGCTATCAAGACGATAGCAGTCAGCCACCAAGGCATGCCCATCCACTGCAATCCTAAACAATCTAGGGAAAGAACATGCTAACGTGCGGTCTCCACACCACACATCCTCCTAAAATCGAATCTCCCTACCATCATGAACTCTGAATCTGATATGCTTAGAAAACTCATTCCATCCTTTCCGAATGTCTTTCCAAACACCTACCCCTCCAGGCATAGACACCATAGCCGAACAGCCCTCCCCATCAATCTACTAAGCCCCTCCATCACAATGATGAACAACAGTGGGGATAATAGATCTCCCTGACGCAAACCTCGCGAACTACCAACAAAACCAGTCAGGACCCCATTCACCAACACTGAGAATCTCGCTGAAAAAATGCAGAACTCAATCCAATTCCTCCATTTCTCCCCAAAACCCATCCTAGCCATCAAGTATAACAAAAAAAGCTCTAACTAACAAGATCATAAGCTTTCTCCATATCCAGTTTACACAAAACCCCTGGAACCCCACTGCTCAATCTATCATTCACACACTCCCTTCCAATAAGGACAGAATCCAAAATCTGACGCCCCCTATGAAAGCATTCGGAGATTCCGAAATAACCTCATCCAAAACTCCCCCTCAGGAGAGTGGAGTGTCAGGCAGAGTTTGTTGAGATCACTGTCATGGAGGAGATTTCGTGGAGGTAGAAGGCTAGAGCCTTGTGGCTCAAGGAAGGCGACAATAATACAAAAAAATTTCATAGACTTGCCAATGCTCACAGAAGGGGCAATCACATTGGGAGGATTCGGGTGGATGGGGAATTGTTTTGCAAGGAGGAGGAGATTTGTAAGGGTTTTGCTGATTTCTTTTCGAGGTTGTTCACTAAACCAGCTGGTTGGTGACCTTTGCTTGCAGGGCTTCACTTTGACTCTATTTCGAGTGAGGAGTGCTCTGTTTTGGAAAAGCCTTTTTCGGAAGAGGAAGTTTTGTCTGCTTTGAAGAGCTGTAACGGGGATAAAGCCCCAGGTACTGATGGATTTTCTATGAGATTCCTTTTGGAGTGTTGGGAAGTGGTCCGTGAGGAGGTGATGGGTTCTTTTCACGCTTTCTATGATCAGGGCTCTTTTGAGAAGAGCTTGAATGCCACTTTTATTGCTTTTATTCCGACGAAGGGAGGGGCGATGGATGTTAGGGATTTTCGCCCTATTAGTTTGGTGGGATGTTTTTATAAGTTGATTGCTAAAGTCTTGGCTTCCAAGTTGAGAAAGGTTTTGGATGGCGTCATCTTTGATTCTCATAATGCCTTCGTGGGAGGTAGACAAATTTTGGATTCAGTTCTTATTGCTAGTGAATGTGTGGATTCCCGTTTGAGTTGTGGGGTTCTAGGTGTTTTATGCAAGTTGGATATTGAGAAGGCGTATGATCATGTGAGTTGGAGCTTCCTCCTCTACTTGTTGGAGAGGATGGGGTTTGGTGGGCGTTGGAGGAGATGGATTCTTTTTTGCTTTCTTAGTGTTCGGTTCTCTGTTCTTGCGAATGAGGCTCCGACGGGATTTTTCTCTAGTTCAAGGGGCTTGAGACAAGGGGATCCGCACTCTCCCTTCTTGTTCCTTTTTGTTAAGGAGGCTCTTAGCAGATTGATGAAGAGGGTTGTGGAGTTGGGTTTTTTGAGAGGTTTTCGGGTGGGTAGGGATGTTGCTAGTCAACTGGAGATTTCCCACTTGATGTTTACTGATGATACTTTAGTGCTTTATGATGCCAATGCATCCCAACTGAGGTATTTGAGACATGTTTTGATTTGGTTCCAAGTTGTCTCTGGCCTCAAGGCGAATGTTGGTAAGAGTGTTTTTGTGCCTGTTGGGGATGTTCCTGAGATTGAGATGCTTGCTCAGACTCTTGGCTATCGCACCTGCTCTTTTCCCATTTCTTACTTAGGGTTGCCTTTGGGAGCCCTTTTGAGATATGTGGGGAGCTGGGATCCTGTAGTGGATAGATTTGAAAGGAGGTTGGTGGGGTGAAAAAAGTAGTACCTCTCAAAAGGGGGTAGGGTCATACTGATTAAGAGCACCCTTTCTAGCCTCCCCACTTATTTTATCTCCCTCTTTCTCAGATTCCTTCTTCAGTGGCTGAGAGAATTGAGATATTACACTGCAACTTTCTTTTTTTTTGGTTGGGGGGGGGAGAGGAGTTTGGTTCGGTGGGATCAAGTGTGCCGTCCGATTCGGAGTGGAGGCTTAGGGTTAAGGCTCTCCTTGAGAAATGGCTTTGGAGGTTTGGGGTTGGAGGAGAGTTATCGCAAGCAAGTTTGGGGAAAGCAGTGGTGGTTGGAGCTCACTTGAGGTGCGTGGTCCTAGGGGAGTGAGGGTTTGGACTTTCATTCGGAGGGGGTGGGATGTTTTCTGCAAGCATGTTCGTTTTCAAATCAAGGATGGTAGGAGGATCAAAGTTTGGGAGGATCTTTGGTGTGGAGAGCTTCCCCTTGCTCTTGCTTTCCCTCGGCTTTATAGGATTGCTTCTCACAGACAGGGCATGGTGGTTGACTGTTATCACCTTGATAACGGGAGATTGACTTAGGATGTTCAGACACTTTCAGGATTGGGAGAATGAGGAGGTTTCTCGTTTTTTGGAGGTTCTATATCGCAGGTGATCACAATTGGGGATTCGGATTGTTGGCTTTGGGATCCTAACTCTCAGGGTCGTTTGGAGGATAGGTCCTTTTTTAGGTGCCTTTTGGTTGGTGCTGGAGGCCCTTTCCCCTAGAAGTCTATTTGGCGTTCTAAGGCTCCCCTTAAGTTTGCCTTCTTTGCTTGGACTTCTGTCCTGGGTGAGATTTTAACCGAGGATAATTTGAGGAGGAGGAATCAGGTGGTGGTCAATCGTTGTTATATGTGCTTGTGTGATGAGGAGACAGTTTATCACCTTCTTTTACATTGCAACATGGCTAGAGACTGTTGGGATTTGATTCTTGGATTATTTGGGGTCCATTGGGTTATGCCTCGTTCCTCTAGAGGGTTGATTGAGGCTTGGAGAGGTTTTTTGTTGGGGCTCTCGCGCAGGATGCTTGGAGGGCTATGCCTCTGTCTTTGGTAGTGCATTTGGCTTGAGATAAATCGAAGATTTTTTGAGGGAAAGGAGAAAACCTGTTTCTATGCTTAAGCTCTCTATTATTTTCACTCTTTTTTGTTGGGTCTCAGGGAGAGATTATAGATCTTTAGAGAAGATTTTTGTTTTTTTGGCCCCGTTGAAGGTTTGAGGCGCTTTTGGCCCCTTGTGTTTCTTTGGGTTCAGCTCCCCTCTTGAGCGTTTTCAATAAATTCTTACTTATCAAAAAAAAAAAAACCCTCAGCCTCAACGAAAGAACTTTGGCTATTAGTTTATAAATGCATCCCAACAAACTAATAGGTCTAAAGTCCTTCACATCTACAGGTCCACCCTTCTTCAGAATAAGCGCTATAAAAGATGCATTCAAAGATTTCTCAAATCTCCCCTGAGCTCAAATTATATGATTTTATAATTTTGATTCTATATGATTCCTACGTTTACATGCTTGATTTTTAATTTAGATTTTAAAATTCAGTTCAGAGTAGTTAAATAGATTTCAAGACCTATTCAATCCCCCTCTAGGTCTGGTTTGTGCCTTTGCATATTCAGAGTGACATATCAGAGCCAAGGTTTCCAGTCCGATTCTTTACCCCATGTAACGAAGTTTAACTTCAGCAAGTTGCTATCTGACATCTTTTCCTGCTACAGGCTTGGCACAAAATCAAGTTTAAGGATAGCAGATGCTTACAACACATAATTTAATTCTTACAATAACCTAGACCTAGACAATTTGATATAACAAAATTATAATATCTTTCAACATTTCACAGTTGAAAAATATCCTAAGTTCTACTCAATTGCAGAATCACTCAGGAACATGAAATAAGCTTTTACCAACCACCCCCCCCCCCCCCCCCCAACAACAAAAAAAAAAGAAAAAGTAAACAGGAAAAGAATAATACTAATATATAAAAAAACAAAAGAAGATCCTCAAATACAAAAGAAGCACCTTTTCCGACGTCAGTCACTATTAATTCCACCATGTAGTAGTCCTGTAAAAAAAAAGAGTACTGAAGTAAAGGCTAAAAGTAATTTCTGGAAAATAAACTTTCTTACCAAGACTTCACAACAATATTAAAACGAAACAAAAGAATAATGCTAGAGAAAGGAGAATTGCAAAGTTGCAAACCAAAGTTTATTTGCAGTAAAGATAATAATCCATTCACTAATCTGTAAACGCTAGCAATTACAAGGCTTTATATAGAGTTTCTTCCTCCCCAATCCTAGCCTTATATTAGCTAACTACCAAATATAAAATAAAACCAAACTGCTGAAAATCAGAAAACTACTTAAAAAGGACAGCTGATGAAAATCAGAAAACTACTCAAAATATGGAAAGTTTCTGAAAAACACAAATTCCACTTGCAGAAATTTGAAATTCTGCCTGCATCAGAAATAAAGGTTCATGCTAAAGCCGGTGAATCAAACATCTAACTCTGAAATCCATGACATCGATATAAGATAAAATTGTGCAGAAGATGCCGATGCATTTCTGTGGACATCGTAAATCAAAATTGAGCCATTTATGATCAAGATGAAAATCGTCCGACTTAGCATGGTCTGTCCCCTGACAGAGCAGAACGCCTGAAATCCATGACATTGATATTGGATAAAATTGTGCAGAAGATGCCAATGCATTTCTGTGGACATGGTAAATCAAAATTGAGCCATTAATGATCAAGATGAAAATCGTCCGACTTAGCATGGGTTCTGTCCCCTGACAAAGGAGAACGCCTGTCGATTATTCATTTGTTCACTAAGGTCCACTAGAAATTTGAACCTAGAAAAACACACTGAGGCAAAAGGGCAAGGTTCCATCAAACTGGAATGCAGGGATCTCATATTAATCATTTGAGTGAAATTGACAACACCTTGCAGTAAAGCCAGCGGGGTTTGTATTTAATAGGTTCTACTCTGCTTTTTTCCAATGGAACGGAAGCTATGGGGTGATTGTGAAGATTGAAGATGAGTACTCCAAGTGAGCTATAATGAAATAATTTAACAGAAAACAACATGACGAGTACCCCCAGTGAGCTATAATGATATAAACAAAATAGAAGTTTTTATTTTCTATAGCCCATAGGTCTTTTTTAGTTTAATACTAAAATGCACATAACTTTTTACATCAAAACTTTGGAAGGGACAATAATGTCCTCTCTTTAGGAATGCAAGCTTGTTAAATGAAAGGGCTGCTCCAATGATTGAGAGAGAGAGAGAGAGAGAGAGAGTAGGACTGACAACACTGAAAGATATAGTGATAGAAAAACACACATCAAGAATGATTGGTTAACAAAAACACATGGAGACCAGAGTGTGAAAATATCCAAGAGATGAGAGAGAATGGTACGCCAGAGAGAGAGAGAGAGAGCATCTATATGGTGCAAATTTTGCAACCTGATCAAAATAAAATTTAGAATGGGAACTACTTCATGATGAATTTGATGAATCTCATGAAGTCGAAGGGTGTCAAGTACAGCGATCAAATAAAAAACAACTAGAAGACATTATTAAAAAACAAGGTTCTTTTACCAATTACTTTTTAGGATTGACATGTTGACAAAATATTGGAAGTACCCTGAATTTATATTGACAACTTAATTGCTAAATAAACAAATCAAAATGTTGATAATATTGTTGAAATCTGTCTATGGCATTTTAAGTGGATCATAATCGGTATAATAAAAATTAACTATATGAATATATCAATTTCCTTGTACTTTTCTTCCAATTTTGTTTTTATTTTTTTTATGGTAATCAATATATGAGTTTATATTGATTGATATGGGCATAAAGCCATTTTATCATACAAAAATAATATATCTATCTTTTATAGGAGCACTGTCAATGGAGTAGAACATTGAAGCCCACATTAAAATTAAGAGAAACAGAATTGTGTGAGTTCACTGCAGAGACCCGATCTTGAAGTCCTGACCTTCATAATTACATCAAAGTCCAGTGTCGGTCTTACTATGCATCCAAGTAATGAAAAAGTAAACTGGGGACTAAATAAGATTCAGTCAACTTGTTGACAACCAATATGGACATGCTAACGCTTCTTTTCTGGATAATTGCAGCCATCATTTTTTCCAGCCAATATGGACAATCAGACATGCCAATGAGAAAAAAAGAATTTGAGTAAATATTACAATTAAATCCATCTTATTTTTGTAGTAGTGTAGATAACCTAGGGACACTTATTCTTAGTCTTTTACCAGAAGAGGAATATTGAAAAACTATGATGGCACCAGTCGTGAACTTAACCTTTAGCAAGGACTGATGAACAAAGCATTACTAGTAGTTGCAAGCATTAGGAACCAAAAACAAGATGATAACTAACAGAAATGGACAAGACTACGATATAAAACCTAAATTCCTGTAAACAAAAAAGAGAAAATGGACAACCCAATCCGTGTAAGAAAGCTAGTATCATTCAGGCATCAAAATGCAGAATAGAGAAATAGAGAAATATATATGTATTACGCACAGAGTGATGATGTATGAAAGCATCAGTCTAATACGAACCGGTGAATCAACTTTAAAGAAAAACATTTCATTCCAGCACACCAATTCGCAATCAGAAGATATGGAGCAATCTGAGCTGGTTCCACATGTGCGTGCACTTTGTTGATTCAAAAGTGATCCATTTGGGAGGCTTTGGTCTAGAGTAAGACGGACTGCTACAATATATTGATGAGAAAAGAGCCCACCAACTTTTGGGAACTACATTTGAAGAACATAAAAGAAAATGAAAATATATAAAGGAGGATTCGCACAAAACAAAAGGTGTAAAGACAATTCCTATAATGAAAAAACTCAAATACAATGCTTATAAGGCAAAAAGTGTTAGTCAGCTATTCACACAATCTTCAGAGGCAAAATCATACTAAAAATGTTTGTTGGAAGTGTATCATTTCTAACCAAGTTAATCAGAGCATTAGATGTTCCTAATTATAGAGAGAATTTATGCCCTGTTAACCATTGTGATATTAATCTATACCAGTAAATCTAATACCAACCATAGAGTGATTATACAAGTTCATACAGTGACAAACAAATCAATTAATTCATATATACCAGCATTGTACAGTCAATAGGTAATTAAATGATAATATAGGGATGAAAAAGATATTGTTTGTGCTGTGGCTGGCAGGGGTCATTCTAGATTTCAAAAATATGGATTGAATATTAACATCTCAACTGCATCAAATAAAACATAGAAAGAACATGTTTATTTATTTTAGTCTTTAAAGAACATAACCAATGAGAAGTGTGAGGACGCGAGTTCAAGCATGAGAGTAGCCATTTTGTACACAAATAAGTTAAATCCTTTTCAAGTCTTCCCTTTCCATCATTGTGAGTGGGTGGCACCAGCACTTTTAGATAATTCTGAAATCTCTTAAAAACATTGTATTGGAAATTATTATATTAGATTAACAAGGAGAAGGAAATTTGATCAAAATTGGAAAGATTTCATGGAACCTCAATCAATTCAAAGATAAAACAGTCACATATGACTGGCTTGTATTGCTTTCAAGTGCACATAAAGGTGTTGATTCAAGTTCTAAACTAGTTCTCAGAGTTTGAGTGGCCATAGAGAGAGGAACAAAGCTCAAATGCATATTGTTATGCAAGATTTGTCTCGTGAGGATTACATCTATATATAGTATGTTGTTTCAACTGGGATGACAAAGAAACAATGAAAAGGACCATTAAGACATCAACTGGATATTGGAAAGCAGAACTCGAAAAGCCAGGGAATTTGAGGTGGGAGCAACAATCTAAATTACTATAGCAGTACCGTCCAGAAGTTACTGTAGTAGTTAACTCAAGAGTATTGTAGCAATACTGTAGTGTCAAACACTGATAACACTATAAGTTAATATAGGCTTTTAGGCCTTTTTTCTGCTTCCTTTTACTTGATGTTATAATATATGGTTGCGATCAATTTTTTTTTTTTTTTTTGAATTTTTTTTTTTTTTTTTGAATTTAATTTGATGTTTGTAGAATTATGGTTGAATTCCTTGTAAATAGAAGATATAATAATTCTGTATGGAAACCCAAGATCATTAAAAAAATTTGCTTTTGGACAATTAGGTCATTGAGAACATTAGGGTGGTTTGGTAACAACACCCTTATAAGAGTTTTTCCTTTTGGTTCCCTCTAAGAGACTTGCTTTGACGTATATCAAATTATGATCCTGCCATATCGCGCTCCCTGCTATGTCAGATGGTATCAGGTATGCAGAGCAACTGCAACCTTGTGGCAAAGAAAATGGCAAAGAAAATGACAAAAGTTGAAAGGGGGAAGCTACAGATGGAATTTTAAATCAAAAAATTTGATGATCTTAAGAATAGAGAACAAGTTAATATAGAGATTCAAGTCGACCACAAACAATTGGCCCTACCAGAAAAAAATTGAAAGGAACTATTTTTAAACTGAGTTATTCTAATTTATTCAAAGATGGTTTAGTATATTGGAATTTTCCACCAGTCTTGACGACTATCCTGATGATGATGATATCTTTGATGTAAATCGTCCCACACAACTTCATTATTGTGTAATTGAAGACTTGGATGTTTGTCAATTGTTTATTGAAACAGAGGGCAATAATCTAGGCATTGATATTCAATCCATACTTGTTGAATTGGAAGCCCTGCCATTGTTCGATGAGTGCGTTGAGAGAGTAGATTTAAGTGGTTTCAATTTTCCTTCTAAGTATAATGAACATTTAAATAATGACAGAGTGAATAATGGAGAGTTTAAATGTTAAGATGGAAATATGAAGATCACCAAATCTGAGAAGATTTTATGGTACATGAAGAACTTTGTGAGACAATGGAGTAGCCAATTCAGGTCATTGAGAATAATTTTCAAATAATCAAGAGACACTATGTGAGGATACTGATGCATAGTTTGTTAATTTATGTAAAGTGAAAGAAAATATAGAAAGAAATGTCCGTGCACCCAGTAGATTATGGAAAGCAAAAACTCGAGGATCAGTTTCTTCTGACTTGGGGGTTTGATGCAGAGGTGCCACAATACTGTAGTGCAAAAACGTTCAACCAAAAATAGGGGTTATTATTATGGGATTTTATAATTATGTGTTTTCTCTTTCTTTTACATAACTTACATTATATAGCTGAGAAAAAAGTTTTTTGATGGTCAGGATTTATTGTTAGTAGTGTTTACGGAAGTCTTTAAAAATAGATGATACAACAGACTTTAAGGATACTTTTAATTATTAACGGATTCAAGTTATTTCAACTTGTTCCTTGAGAATAGTAGGTCAGCTATTCTACAGAGATTCAGGTCCAAGATTGTTACCTTCTCATAAGAAAAATAATAATAAGAAGAAATAAAAATTAAGATCATACCACTGCCTCTGCTATAATGATTGTCACCATTGTTCTGAATTTCTTGCACAGATTTCCTTTCAAGTGGGAGTCTAGCATATTTTTCAGAACCGGAACTTTTAGAGGCTTCATATAGCCAGATGGCATTTTTATTATGTTCGTAAGCCCCCTGACTTCAGTAGCTCGAACAAAAATGTCCTGACCTAGTTTGTTCCACGGTACTATATAATAATTTCTTTTGTGATGAATATCAATGATAGGTTTTCCACCAGAAGTTGGAGAAACAGCTTCCTGTTCATAGAACCAAAAACAAAAAGAAAACATTATAAAAAAAATTAGGCATAATAAACCAGCATACAAGTATAAGCAAATGCAATTATACAGGTTAAAATACAAGTTCATGAGGGGTGACAGAATTTACCATTTTTCTATGGGTTTCACGAACATGACTAAGATTGTTCCAGCTTGAATAAGCTTGAAAAATCATATTAGCATTAGACACTGAAACATTCAAGTTCAGATCCCTTGTACAGGTAAGACGTAACTGAGAAGCAACACCTGGAGCATTGAGATCATACTGGTACCTGTGCATGATTATGAGCAAATGAGATTAAAATTTACTAAATGAAAAAAAAATCAGATTGTACCATGCACTAGTAAAAGTAAATGAGAGAGGCAAGAACAAGAAATTCTCCAATAACAGGGTTGGAAATAGAAGAGCAATACACCAAGTAGAAATCTGACATCCAGAAAAGGAAAGAAGTGGAGGGAAGAGAAGGAGAACCAGAAATTTATATAAAGTTTTGATTTGTTCCTATTTGATTTTCAGCAGCTTTAAAATTTCAGCAACTTTCCTATTTGATTTTGACTTATATGGTAATTAGCTAGTCTTAGGTTTATATAAAGCTTTGTAATTTCTAGGGTTGGATCCGTTTTAGAATTACAGAGAACTATTTTACAGCAAATATAGTTTGCCTTTCAATTCTTCTTTCTCTTGCTTTTTGTTCTTATTTCGTTTCAATATTGCTGTGGAGACGATTTATTTGTATCCTTTTGGTAAGGCGGCATCAGTTTGGTATTAGAGCTTAGGTTCGGCTTTCCGCCTGCTCAGTCATGCCTCCACGACAACAACCGAGAGGAGGAAATCGTAGGATGCAAGGTCCGGCTGAACGCTTACCCCAACAACAACAAAACGAGATGGAATTTTTGCGAAGACAAGTTGAGATGTTGACTCAACACTTGAGTCAGCGTGTTATCAACCCGCCGGTTAACAAAGACCTGCCTGTTGATGACAATATTCCAGTGGATGACAGTATGTCAAGCACTGGGCCTGTCGCGGAAAATCCTTTCTATGTTCCACGTCACCATAGATCTCCTGACGAGCAAATTGACCGCCGTTGGCAGTCACATATCAAAATCGAGATTCCAGAGTTTCAGGGAAGCTTGAAGCCTGAAGAGTTCATCGATTGGCTGAATACAATTGAACGTATCTTTGAATACCATGAGGTACCTGTTCACAAAAGGGTCAAGCTCATTGCTATTCGTTTGAAAGGAAGGGCATCGGCTTGGTGGGAACAACTACGGATTACCCGAGAGCGTAGGGGTAAGACAAAGATCGTAGAAGGGGAGAAGATGAAGAAAAAAATGAAGGAACAATTTTTGCCTTTTAATTATGTCCAAACAATGTATCAGCGTTTGCATAATTTAAGGCAAGGGACTCGCAACGTGGACGATTATACTGAAGAATTCTATCATCTAATTGCACGCAATGATTTATCAGAGAGTGATGAACAGCTCGTAGCGCATTAAATAAGTGGATTAAAGCCTAGTACACAAGAGGTCCTACTTTTACAGTTGCATTGGTCTGTTACAGAGGCCTATCAGAGGGCTTTGGTAGTAGAAAAGCAACAAAACAAGCCATTCTCGCACTCTAACAACAGTTCTGCCAGATTGCAGCCCACTTATAAGGGAGAATCAACCCCTCCAACAGTGCGAAACGGGGCCCAAAATGGGGGACAGCAGCTGCCACCTGTTGGTGGAGTTAAAGAGCAGGCTGCCCATGCTGGAAACCGCCAAAATTATGGAAGGACAGCAGGCCAAACTCGAGGTGGAGACCTTGGTATGAGGTGTTATAAGTGTGGAGAGCCCGGACATAAATCGGCATAGCATAGAAAATAGGGAAAACAACTTTTGATCGAGGAAGATGATGCAATTCTGGAGGACAAGCCAAAATATGAAGACTATCCAGAGGAAGAGGATGATGATATCCTATATGGTGATGTGGGTGAATCCTTGGTTATGCGAAAGTCATTTTTGCTTCCGAAACACGAGGATGAAGAAGACTGGTTGCGCACTAACATCTTCCACACCACTTGTACTATTGGTGGAAGGGTTTGCAACATGATTATAGATGGCGGTAGTTGTGAGAATGTGGAGAAATTGAAACTCAACACGAAGAAGCATCCGAGGCCCTACAAACTCTCTTGGTTTCGCAAAGGGAATGAGGTAACAGTTTCACAATGCTGCTTGGTCTCTTTCTCTATTGGAAACAAGTACTTTGATAATACTTGGTGTGATGTAGTACCAATGGGGATAAAGCTCCTGGACCTGATGGTTTTACTATGAGGTTCCTTTTGGAATGTTGGGAGGTGGTCCGTGAGGAGGTGATGGGCTCTTTTCATGCCATCCATGTGTAGGGCTCTTTTGAGAAAAGTTTGAATGCAACTTTTATTGCTCTTATTCCAAAGAAGGGAGAGGCAATGGACGTTAGAGACTTCCGCCCTATTAGTTTGGTGGGATGTTTTTACAAGTTGATTGCGAAAGTCTTGGCCTCTAGGTTGAAGAAGGTGATGGATGGTGTCATTTCTGACTCTCAAAATGCATTTGTGGGAGGTCGGCAGATTTTGGATTCAGTTCTTATTGCAATTGAATGTGTTGATTCCCACTTGAGCAGCGGTGTTCCGGGTGTTCTTTGCAAGCTAGCTATTGAAAAGGCATACGATCATGTGAGCTGGAGTTTCCTTCTCTACCTGTTAGAGAGGATGGGTTTTGGGGGGCGGTGGAGGAGATGGATTCTTTTTTGCATCTCTAGCGCTCGTTTCTCCGTCCTTGTGAATGGAGCGCCGACGGGTTTCTTCTCTTGCTTGAGGGGCTTGAGACAAGGGGATCCACTTTCCCCTTTCCTGTTCCTTTTTGTGATGGAGGCTCTTAGCAGATTGCTGAAGAGGACTATGGAGCTGGTTTTTTGAGAGGTTTTCGGGTGGGCAGGGATGTTGCTAGTCAATTGGAGGTTTCTCATTTGATGTTTGCAGATGACACTATTGTGTTTTGTGATGCGGATGCGTCCCAGTTGAGGTATTTGAGATGCGTTTTGATTTGGTTTCAAGTTGTTTCTGGCCTTAAGGTTAATGTTGGCAAGAGTCTTCTTGTGCCTGTTAGGGATGTTCCAGAGATTGAGTTGTTTGCTCAGATCCTTGGATGTTTCACTGGCTTTTTTCCCATTTCTTATTTAGGATTGCCTTTGGGAGCTCCTTCGAGATGTGTGGGGAGCTGGGATCCGATTGTGGATAGATTCGAGAGGAGGTTGGCGGGGTGGAAAAAGTAGTACCTGTCTAAGGGGGGTTGGGTTACCCTGATTAAGAGCACCCTTTATAGCCTTCCTACATACTTCATATCTTTGTTTCAGATTCCTTCTTCAGTGGCTGAGAGAATTGAAAGATTGCAGTGCAACTTTCTTTTTTTGGGGGGGGGGGGGGGGGGGGGGGGGCAGCGGCGGCGGGGGGAAGGAGAAGAGTTCAAGTTTCACCTGGTTCGGTGGGATCAAGTGTGCCGCCCAATTCGGTTTGGAGGCTTAGGGTTAAGGAGGTTGTTGCCTTTTAATAAGGCTCTCCTTGGTAAATGGCTCTGGAGGTTTGGGATCGAGAGGCATTGTTTATGGAGGAGAGTTATTGCTAGCAAATTTGGGGAAAGTCGTGGTGGGTGGTGCTCTCTGGCGATGCGTGGTCCAAGGGGGGTGGGACTTTGGTATTTCATTCGGAGGGGTTGGGATGACTTCTGCAAGCATGTTCGTTTTCGTATTAAAGATGGAAGGAGGATCAGTTTTTGGAAGGATCTCTGGTGTGGGGAACTCCCTCTTGCTCTCGCTTTCCCACGGCTCTATAGGATTGTTTCTCACCGACAGGCCATGGATGTTGACTGCTATCATCTTGATAACGGGAGACTGTCTTGGGATGTTCAGTTCAGGAGGCATTTTCAGGATTGGGAGAAAGAGGATGTTTCTCGTTTTCTGGAGCTGTTGTATAGCCAGGTGATTTTTATTGGGGAGCCGGATTGGTGGTTCTGGATTCCTAACTCGCATGGCCGTTTTGAGGTTAGGTCTTTTTTCAGATGTCTTTCGGTTGGTCACGGAGAACCCTTCCCTTGGAAGTCTATTTGGCGGTCCAAGGCTCCCCGCAAGGTCGCTTTTTTTGCTTGGACCTCTGTCCTGGGTAAGATTTTAACCCAGGATAATCTGAGGAGGAGGAATTAGTTGGTGGTCAATCATTTTTACATGTGTTTGTGTAATGAGGAGTCAGTTGATCACCTCCTTTTACATTGTAGCATGGCCAGAGATTGTTGGGATTTGATGCTTCGATTATTTGGGGTCCATTGGGCCATGCCTTTTTCCTCTAGAGGGTTGATTAAGGCTTGGAGAGGCGTCTCTATTGGGGCTGGCATTAAAGACGCTTAGAGGGCTACGCCGCTTTGTATCTAGTGGTGTATTTGGCTTGAGAGAAATAAGAGATATTTTGACGGAAAAAAGAAGCCTGTTTCTATGCTTAAGTTATCTGTTATTTCTACTCTTTTTTGTTGGGTTTCAGGGAGAGATTATAAATCTATGGAGGAAATTATTATTTTCTTGGCCTCTCTGAAGGTCTAAGGCGCCCTTTGGCCCTTTTGTTTCTTTGGGCTTCGCTCCCCGTTTGAGCGTTTTTAATAAATTCTTACTTATCAGAAAAAAAAAAAAAATGGACTTGTCAAAAAAAAAAAATGTAGTACCAATGGATGCATCCCATATACTGTTGGGGAGGCCTTGGCAATTTGACAGAGATACTTTGTATCATGGTAGAAAGAACACGTACACTTTTTGGAAGGATAATGTGAAATTTACTTTAGGCCCTATGCGTGAGAAATTTGGTCCCAAACCTAAATTAGGGGAGGAAAAAAAATTTCTTACCATGAATGGCTTAATGAAGGAGGCCGAGGAAAGTGGACAGCTTTACGTTTTGATTGCAAAAGAAGAGGTTGCACCTCCATCTATTCCTACCTTTGTGGAGCCATTGATGGAAGCATACATGGATGTATTTCCTGCTATCTACCATCAGAATTACCACCGATGAGAGATATTCAACATTGTATTGACCTAGTACCTGGCGCAAGTCTTCCTAATAAAGCAGCATATCGAATGAGTTCAAAGGAGCATGAGGAGTTGAATCAACAGGTTATATGGAGTTATTGAACAAGGGCTTTATTCGCGAGAGCACGAGCCCATGTGCTGTCCAGCCCTTCTCACTCCAAAGAAAGACGGTTCTTGGCGTATGTGCGTGGATAGTCGAGCTATCAACAAATAACCGTCAAGTACCGGTTTCCGATTCCTCGTCTTGATGATATGCTGGATATGCTTGCGGGTTCTTCAATCTTCTCAAAGATTGACTTGAAGAGTGGCTATCATCAAATTCGGATTAGGCCGGGTGATGAATGGAAAACGGCTTTTAAAATGAAGACTGGATTGTACGAGTGGTTAGTAATGCCATTCGGATTATCTAATGTCCCCAGCACTTTCATGCGTGTGATGACCCAAGTGCTGAAACCACTTCTTGGCAGGTGCGCAGTTGTTTATTTTGATGATATTTTGATGTACAGTCACAGTATTGATGAGCACCTACAACACCTTTGTTCAGTTTTTGATATATTGGGGAGAGAACACTTGTGTGCTAACCTGAAGAAATGCAGTTTTACAGCGGACAGATTGGTATTTTTGGGTCATGTGGTCTATTCTGCAGGTATTATGGTAGATGATGATAAGATAAAGCCATTCTTGAGTGGCCCACACCTGCCACAGTGCGTGATGTGAGGAGTTTTCATGGTTTGGCGACATTTTATAGGTGTTTTATTCGCAATTTCAGTACTATTGCTGCCCCACTTACTGATTGCATTGGAAAAAAGTCCTTACAATGGACCCAAGAGGCAGAGAAGAGTTTTCAAGCACTCAAGCAGAAACTAACAGAAGCACCAGTTCTTGCTCTGCAGAATTTGGAAGAGGTATTTGAGGTAGATTCTGATGCTTCAGGCATTGGCATTGGCATTGGTGCTGTCCTTAGACAATGAGGAAGACCTATTGCATATTTTAGGGAGAAGCTTACTGGTGGAAAGCTCAGTTATTCAACCTATGACCTAGAGTTTTATGCCATTGTCCAAGCTTTGTGACACTGGTGGCATTACCTTTCTTACAAGGAATTCATCTTGCATTCGGATCATGAAGCTCTTAAGTACATCAACGGTCAACGCAATTTGAGTTCAAGGCATGCTAAATGGGTGAGTTATTTGCAGCAATTTACTTTTACTTTGAAGCATAAGTCTGGTACAATCAATCGTGTAGCGGATGCCTTAAGTAAAAGAGTTTCTATGCTTGTAATCTAAGCTGAGTTAAATTGCTTTCTTCCCAAGAAAGGACTGATTTTAACTCAGCTTAGACTAGCTAATTAACTTATCAAAAAATATATATATAAGAAAGCAATTTAAGTTAATTATCAAATTAATTAGCTAGTCTAAGCAGAGCAAGCGAAGAAAGGACTTGCAATCTAAGCTGAGTTAAATTTCTTTCTTCCCAAGAAATGCCTACCTAATTAGATCGACGTTAATCATCTTGTCAGCCTTATACTCATAAGAAGGCAGAGATATGAGTGAAGGGACTTCATCATGAACCACAATGGTTCCTTTCATTTGATAACTAGGATATAGGAAGAAAGGAAGAGGGAAGAAAGTGTTGCATGATTTTACAATTATACTTTTTCATGTAAAAGGGCTGATGATTAAAAGAAAAACTTTAAGAGAGGAAGGGGAAAAGTATATACCTATTCTCATTTCTATCCATTATTGAATGAATATTTAATGGTCCTAGCGGGAAAATCCTCTCCTCACAGCATCAAAGAAAGGAAAATAAATAAATCACAACCCAGACCGATAAAAGCCCCCGCTTCTTAGTAGTTTAAACTTTTGGAGCATTTTGTTCTCTTACATGATACCGGAGCTTTAATATGAAAGGTATTAGGTTTATTTCTCTCCTAAGTACTTCTCTATGTTCAATAAAATACCACACATGAATGAGAACCTGATATACATTTTTGGATACATGTCTTAATAGTTTATGCTTTTGGAGCAACTAGGGTTTTAACACAAACAACGAGAATTCCTTCCATTTCTCATTCCCCATTTCCCTAAAAAGCACATACACTTCGAATGAGAAGCTGTATCTGTGTCAGAGACGTGTTGACAGTGATAGTTCTCATACACTTCAAACAAAGAACTTGGACATGTTCATAATTTAAATTAATTTTCTTAAGCTGTATGGCTGACATTTGTTGGACATGTGCTAACATGCGACCAGTGAAACTTGAACGGATAAGACTTTATTTTAGCATGAAAAAGAATAGTTGTACGAAATACCAAATTAAGCTTTCATAGAAATTTAATAAAGCTTCACCATAATTAAAACCAAAATATTTAAAGGGATGGGGAAGGGAATAGGAGAGAAGAAATCAAGTTTTATGTGTACATATACTTGTAAATATCTACATACAAACAGAAAAACACATATAAATATATGATGTGTCCCGAGTATATCTATTTATGGTTACACACATTTACTTCTGCTACTGAATTGAGAAGGTCATGACCAGGGGGCATGGGTTTTCGAAGATTATCTAGTAGCTCTAAGGCCATGGAGTTCTGATCTATGTTTAAAAGAGAAATATTTTACTTTAGTTCCATTTTGGGCTCAATTGACGGGTTTTCCTCTCCATTGCATGCCTACGAGGTTGGCAAGAAGGTTCCACAAACTTTTGCAAGGCAAGAGAAGATGGAGATACGTGACCGAAAGTCTACTGGTGAGCAGTATCTTCAGTTAAGGGTATTTGTTGATGTCAGCAAACCATTACGGCGGGCTTTCAAAGTTACGTTACATGATCAGATCTTCTAGGTATCCTTCAAATATGAACGGATGCCTATTATGTGTTATTATTGCGGGATTATTGGCCATACTATTCAAGGTTGTACTTCCTATGGAACAGACCACCAAGCTCGCACATCTGATTCTTCCCCTATGATGGCTGGTTGGGAGCCAATGGACCACTGGGACGTCATGTCACTATAAAATCTGCTATAACTATACGACGAACAGGATTAATCCAATGAGATTAAGTGGCCAAAAATCCATGTGTGAACAAGGTTGCATCGGGTGTTCCAGGATTAATCCACATGTTGATAACTATACTTCACACAAATCTGGTCCCCAACCCACTCTCCCTTTTGGAGACCAGAAAAGATACCCCTGCCTCAACCGCCCAAAACACCCACCATAAACCAGATGATTTGCAGCCGTGTCTCCAATTCCCAATACAGTCCACCATGCCTGACCTTGATTCAATCCAGTCTACCCAAAATTACATTGTCTGAAACTTCCCCTCTGCTTGACAGGACAACCCAACACCTAGTTTCTCCCGCGATTGAAAGGAATGGTTTTTGAAAGCCATTGGTACCTCCAGCACATGGAAGAGGACTCCACGGAAGCTCATCTCTTTCTTCCTTATTCATTGGGAGTGCCATTCAATCACCTAAAAAAAAGGCCAGCTGAAGAAGGTTCGGAGGTATCAAAGGCCTCTTCTTCATAAGGCAGTTAATGTTCCTGCACATGTGACTAGACAATGGGCCTTAAATAGGATGTTGAATTGTGTCTTGAATAGCTCTCTTCCCATCAGCTGGATGGAGATTGTCCATAATGATTGTACTTTCACTTCTTAATCTTAATGAGATCTTTTTCCTTTGCAGAGGAATAAAAAAAAAAAAACCTGATCTTCTGATGAAACAGAAAAGCAGGAAACTTTTAGAGGTCTCGCTTTTCTAGAAGGAAGATGTGCATTTGTATCACAGTATAAGGACATTGATTGTCATCATCATATATTGTGCCTAATCCTAATTATTTTTAGTCTAGCAATACGAATCTTGCTTGTGCCCTTTAGTGCAACTAGCCTTAAGGGAAGGGAAAAAACAGAAGATAAATTGTACAAAAATCACCTTAAGAATCCATCGACTGGCTCAACAACAGGCTCCCAGGCCTCGTACTTATCATTGTATGATCTGGCAGCCAAGGAAAAGTTGACAGTGGAATTCAAGTAACCCGGTCTTCCATGTAAACTAAACCCTATGCCGCTAAGAGATATATTAAACAATGGAACCATCTGCAAATGTTAAAACAATAGTTAAGGAAACAACTGCATTTGTAAGGATATGAAATACTGCACTTTACATGAGCGTCAAACTCTGAGTTCCACAGAACATGATTACTACCTATAAATGAACAGTGAAAACTTTCCAAGGAGTGTAAATTTCTCACATCGAGTAGTTCCAGTTGCAAGAAATCAGTAGACAATCATCATAGAAATCCAAATAAGCAGTTTTAAGCAACCTTCAAGTCTATTACAAAGGATGCATATAATATGAAAGAAACAAGATTTACATATAAAAAAACTGTGAAAAATATTTGCAAATTAAAAAATAATACACTGTAAAAAGGATAGAAATATTAACTACGTGTATACCATTTGAATATAAAATCAACAGGAATATAAGGCCAGCTGTTCTAGATGGTAAATAATGGTGGATTTTCAAGTAAAACAAATCCGATTAGAGTAACCAGAAGTGCGATATTAATACTGATGAGAAGCACTATAAGAAATAAAACCATAAAAAAGTACACATTAGAGAAGGCACAAATTAAGGATAAGCGAGGAAAGGTTGTTCTTATGCAATGAAGACCAATTAGTTCATCATCAAAAGGAGTCACAAGGTACATAATGAGATGCAAAAAGGACCTTTAGAAAAGAAAGGGGAGGAAATATAAGAAAGAAAACTGATGCAATGAATCCTAGAGGTAAGCCAAAAAGAAATAGAACAAGTAGGAAAAACATATGACGGCCTGTATTGTAAGTTATTGAAAGAAAAATAAAAGTTGAAGAGAGAAATTAAAACATTTAGAACACAAAAGATAACGTGGTTTAGCCACTAGGGCTTACATCCATGACATAAAGAGCCCAGAGGGCTATATCTCTTTCATTACATTCTCTCTTAATTTTGTTTACAATAACCACCTCTATTTATAGGTGAATTGGGGAAGACTTGTAGCTATAAAAAAAGAACTACACAGAAAGTCAAATACAAATATGGCAACAACTTGTTGCCCAAGTATAGCAACTTAACATTCTGTCAAGGAGTGATCTAAGGGCCTAAATCACTCATATAATTATTCTCCAACATAAGTCAAAGCAGAAAAGATGCATGTACTTAAAGCTAAAAGGCTAACAAGAATTTATATTGCTAACTAAAGGTAGTTACAACGCAAGGCATTGTCGAGTTGAAAAACAAGCCATGTCTGTTAATGTAAATTGCCATAAGATGTTCAATGCTACAATTTATTTTAAGGAAATTGTCCCTTGAATCCACTAAGAGTAAAAATTTAGGAGTATTAAGTCATTCAATAATGACTGTCACCTAAAAATTCTCTCTATAATTGCACTAAAAGATTGCACAGAAATGAATAAAAATGTTTGCTATGACCTGCTGGCCCTGAACCTCAAATTATCCATTAAGACAAGTTAAATATATGAACCTACTGCACCAAAGAATGTGTTACCTATAACATTGAGAAAGTTGTTGTCACCATAAGAGACGTGAAAGGGAATTTTTGTAACTAAAACAAAATGAACATAAGAACTTAAGTGTAACATAAACAAGTTGCATTTCTACAAAAGAGGGAATAATCCAGTATTTTTGTTAATTTAAAAGAAAAACTCAAAGCCTCAGAGATGAGGGAAACGTCAAAACATGAGGCTCGTATATAGTGCAGTAGCCATGAGACTTCAAAATCTTAAGGCTCGTATATCGTGCATTAGCCCTGTCCATATACGAGCCTTAAGAATACACCTCACATGACATCTTGCAATATCCATACAACTAATGTTCTTCGATGCAATCCAAGAAGGTTTCTTGATTTTTCTCTAAATGAGCATTTAATAAATTGTCACCAAGAGATATCCTGAGTTCAACATAGTTGCAGATATAACCAATTCACACTATGGGATAAAGTATAGTAGTTTACCATACAAATTTCAAGACAAAAATGGTGATTTTAATATTTTGCTCATAACTGGATAATCTGAAGCATCTCAGAGGAAAAATCATTACCAAGCCACCGTAGTCATCAAAAACTGCAGCAGAGAATGTTTTAATTTCTGCATCAATAGCAGTATCATCAGCACCACTTGGTATGTTTGGATCTGCAAGCTTTAGAGCAAACCTTCTGGGAGGTTTTTTGAGGCCACTGCGAATAATGAAGGTTCCCAACTCATTGCCAACTGCCCATATACTAAATTGTTCTTTTGCAAACTTGGCATCAGATGTATCCCACAAGCTTTCATCCAAAAATTGATCCCCTGTTACCATATCACTGCGCATGCATCTTAATGAGGTGAAATCAGCTTGCTTTAGTGTGCCCTTACATGCAATGCAGCCTAATGAAACAAAACCTGGCGGAGCTTGAGGCAGCCAAAGTGAAATACTCTCCATTCCCTTCTGTTTCTTTATCTGTCCAACAAGTTGAAAATCCAGAGGTGGTTTGAAAAGCTCATTATCTCCAGAATCATGAAGAACGATGCATGTGTTCGGAGGCTCATACCTATATTCAAGAATGAAATATAAGTTTAATCTCATATTTTTTAAGCTTAGGTAACAGGTCTGAAAGGAACCCAAAATTAAGCCTTGCATACCCTTGAACAGCAATATCTCCTAAATATACCATTCCTTGAGGGACTACAGGACGCCATATGGATAATTTCTTTTTAGAGTTTGAACCTTGATTCCACCATATCAATCGAAAACTAGCAACAGCCTCAAAACGGTGCCCATAGTTTACAGTTGATGACCTTTCCGGCTGGAGCGTGTCAACATGACCCGAACGAACTGCTTGGCTGCCTGAACTCTTTGATTCTTTCGAAGATATACCAGGAAGCCCAAACAATATATGACGTAATTCATATGCTCTACCAATCAAGCTCAGTGTTGTGGGGTCTGCCGGCAAGAAGGTACCAACAGAATTATTTATACGCCAGAATGCTAAAGGTGATTGGTATCTGCCAATTAAACAATAAAAAAATAAAAAAGAAAAAAAATCTGAGAATCATGTTTATCAAGGTTTGACCAAAATAATCAACGAATACATGAACTATGAAGCATGCAAACGCAAAAATCATGTAAGATTGTTCATTGCATGAGTATATTACTAAAGAAGGGTATTGGTCGTAATATCTTTTCCAAGCGAAATATATTGGTTTTCATCCAGATGGGGTTCCTCAGCACCTGTTTTGAACTAATCTAAACTCTTGATGAATGGGTTTACTCCCTACTGGCACACAGGAGTATACATCAATGCTTGCTTGTATGCACGCATAACAGAACAAAGCTTGAAATTCTACATACAGATTGCTAGAGCTGATTGTGATACAATCCTTTGGAGAACATGGAGAAACTAAAGAAGCCATGATGCAGAAGGCAGAAGATATCGGAGGTTGTGCCCTTCCAAGAGAAACTACACAACCCAATGCAACATAACCTTTGGGCGCTTCAGGGAACCAAACAGAACAGCTTTTATCTCCATCATTGAGCACAGGAGTTGTTAGAATGTCTTTATCTACAGCTTCAGAATTAGAGTCCCCAGTAGAAGGGGGCCACACTAGTTTATATGATATGGGTCTCTTGACTCTTGCAAGGCCAGTATTAACAGCAAGAACTCCTTTTGTTGGTGGCTTCTCACTGCCATGTGAAGACTAGTGTTATAGATATGAAAGATTACGAATAATACAGAATAGATCTTAAACAAAGACAATGTCAAAAAATTGACTGACAGTGGTGTCAGATAGTCGCCAAGAACAGCAAAACCGGGTGGCGCTCGAGGTCTCCAAAACACAAATGTTTGGTCACTATAGGGATCTGCAAGAAACAACAATCAGGAAACAAGTCCACCCAATGAAACTTTAGAGATGTTAGTAATTTTAATACTACAATAGGAAAGAAAAGCATCAGTGTATCTTAACCTACTTTCAATTGTTCCAATTTTATCAAACTCAGAGCACACTATTGTCATTTTCTTTGATGACATTCTCAGAAATGCCAAAATGTCCTCCTCAACTGCTAAAAATAGTCTCAATATGCTGAAAGAAATATTCATAAATACATCTGAAACAGATATATGAATATTTGTCTTTCCAGCAGCATTTGAAAACTTCATAGTGGTGTCGAAAGGCTCCAAAATTCTGATTCCATTGCTCTCCATTGTTAATCCCAGTGCATTTGCACTCATTTCGATTGTGTCACCCTTCAAAACAACCCTGGAAGCAGCAGAACACATTAGATGTCTATCTCTCATCACTTCATAGGTCAACATAAAATGAACATAGAAACTCAAGGTAATTATAACAAGAAGATAACAAACAGAAAAATGACTCCATAACATAGCTTTCCATCCTGGAAATCAAGAACATAATATGCAAAGTAAGAGTAACTCAAAGTACTAAAATATAATTCTGTGCATACTGCAATTTTGGTTAGAATTTAGCTTCTCAAACTTATAAAGGGATTTCAGTATAAATCAAATTTAAATGAAGTGATTTACTTTAATACAACACTTTTGATGATTTTCCAACCCTTAATGCAGAAAGATGGCGAATTTAGTTCCTCCAAGAGTTGAAAAACCCCACAATCAAGTTTAATATCAATCTCAAAAATCAATTTCATCTGAATTGAAGATTAGAACAATGAGATAAGATCAGATCATCCTCACTAAAAATAATTCTCAAATAAAGAAGAATGCTATACTTAAAGAAATAAAATGACAATGAATATAATCAGTATTTATGATTGTCAGCTAAATTAGTAGCATTGCAGGCAGAGATATACACTAGCATAGCCAAATTTCTTTGCATAACGGGGCATGCGACAAGTTTTACAAAAGAAGATTGTCTGCTAACACATACTAACAAAATGAAATTTGAGCCGCAAAACTTATGATTTATGAGAAATGACCTGCAGAATGCATCCAACTGTGCATGCAAAAGTTTGTTAGAGAGGACAAGAGATTCTCCCACATCTTTTGATATATTGTAAAAGGTAAGCTCTGGACCAATAGCCTGAAAATAAATATGTCAGCTGTATAAGACATAATGAACAAACAAAAGACAAATAATTAAAGAGCCAAGTCTGGTTCTTCAAAAATTCCTCCAGGAAGTAGTACCATGACGCATTACAATTACTTGTGAGGGCACAATTTAATATAAAATTCCACATGATATCAAAGAGAGACGCATCATCCCAAAATAAAATTAACCATGAATGACCAGAGATTTTGAATGTTATATGAAATGGATGTTTAGAGGGTACACGTTAAAAAATAAAAGAAGAAAATTTGTACGTTGTGAACTCCAACACCAAAGTGAGGTGTAGAGAGGACAAGCGAGATGCAACCCTCATCCTTGCCATGGGTGACCAGACAAGCTTGGGTTGGAGTCTCCAGGGCAAAGAACAGGCCTTCATAAAAGTTAGAAGTCCAAAACAAGTTTGAGGTTTCACTGATCTAGGTTAAGTCTCGAGCAACCAAAGCCAAAATTCCTACCAGCTTTAGAGACAGTGAAAGTAAATTATATAAGCAAATAAAGTATAGACATTTAGTCACTACTTAATTCTATCCATGTCCCTTCCACGCACCCATTCCAAACCTCGAGAATTCGGTCAAGACAAAGTCTACCAACTTTAACCATAGCAGATGCCGTGAAAGGAGGACATACCTAAAGAAACTGAAGTACTCTCTTTCTTAGCTACTAGTCTTGGTCCCTTCAATTTTAGTGTGGCTCAGCAAGTTATATTACAGGGAGGGTCAACTCGAACAGTTAGATTACCAAGTCAGTCCTCTTTTCACTGCCTACTACTACTGTCCCTTTCCAATTATCTGAATAAAGCGTACTACAGCATAATGCTTATGCCTTGTTGTTTATTGCCTCTACCGTATCCGGGTCCTTACATATGAGGAATACATCCTAGTGATTGCTGAGTGCCTAAGACAAACGCCACGCAACCCTGCACTAGAAGCCACGAATGTAGACCATGATCTAAAAACGCCAACAATCTAGGTGTTACCATGTTCAAATGCATTTTAGAAACATATTAAACATCCATTCTAGAAAAACACTAAATTTAGTGACATTCCTATCTTTTTCCAGTCTCTTTTCTTCTGGTAAAAGTCGAATTAAAGAAAAAGGAATGGAAATCAAATAAGAAAGGTTTTTTGGATAAAAGTATAAGAAAAGACCACAATAGAACCTAACTTCAATGTTTATGCAATATCACTTTTTATGTTGAATTTCACAAGTAAGATAACTTGTGTATTTCATTGGTATTCTACATCATTAATTATAACTAATTTTTTGGGGAAAGCATAAGCCTAGTTGCCAAGAAACACCCAAAACAAAACAATAACGTAACATGTTTAAACCACTGTGCTAAATTTTTTAAGAATGTGGAATTTCCAAGTTCCTATTCCAATTCCACATTCCGAAACAATCCACATTTCATATTACATTAGGGCATGAAATGGATTGGATTTGATCTGAGTACTGACCCAATCCGATTTAATGTTAATTTTATTGGATATGACCTAAAATTTAATATTTTATATTTTTTTTAATAAAAAAGGCAGATATGGATTTTCTTTTGGAGATCTGGTTTGGGTTCAGGTTGGATTCAAATATAAATAGACATAAAATGGTTCTGGTTTAACCCAAGATCCAATTAAATCCGAATCTTGTTTTACAAGGTTAGAAGTTTTTCAGACTATCCATGTAATATATGGTGCAAAACATGATTGCTCCCCTTCGTAAATGTTACAACAAACACACCCAAGAATAAATCAAGAAACACAACAGAAAAGTAATCACACCACACAAAGAACACAAAGATTTAGCGTGGTTCAGCAGAGCCTACATCCACGGTGGAGCTGCGGCGGAAGTTTTCACTACGCAAAAATAGGAGATTACAAGTTTCAGCCCCTCACTCTCTCTCTGTGATTTTCAGTGTCTCAATCAAATCCCACTCCAAACCCTAAGCGCCCTTATATATCGGGCTACAAGAGAGTACTAATTAGGGCCCACAACCCACAAGCAAAACTGGTCAAAAGCTCATCCAACTGGTTGACCCGACACCAAATTCGGGCCAAACATCATAGTATACATTAGGAGTCCATTGATGAGAAGGGGCTAGGGAAAGCTTGGACCCAATTCCTATAGCGATATTGCATTGTGCAAATCCATCATAGTGTAACTTACGACGATCGCCACACATCCAAAGGATGCAGCTTCGAGCACTTTCGAGGCCATTACTAGAAATTGTGAGTAGGTTTGTATCACCTTGGGTCTCAACAATGCTGTCGTGTGTTTGTGGTCCAATCTAAAGAGTATGGACGCTTGATTACTCTAAGGCACTTGGTGACGTACAACCTGCTAAATGTCAAGATGTTAGGGTGCCTTAAAGGCAATCTTCTTATTCGTTTTAGATCATCATGCTACACCATGCACATTGTTAGAAATAAAGGAATGTACTATTATATCGTATTGCATTGTATGTAAACAGTGCAATAGCGTCCTATTTATAGGAGTAGGTTGTGAGTAGTGAGTGGTGAATAAGTAACCTATAAATGGTAATATGGTAGGTGTAATTATACATGGTAAGGTGTACTATGCAAGAAGCCTAGGTGGTAGGTAAAGGGGTAAACTTGTAATCTAACAACCCCCCTCAAACTCAAGGTCAACTTGAGATTGAAGGCAAGATCATGAAAGCAGCCTGATGGAAATTTGGTGGAGATGGGTTTTCACCCATGATGCAGATGGAGGCACGGTTAATAGCTGACTTGGCACTACTGCTGGCTGTGTCGTGGCAGTTAGCATCCTCCTGCATGAAGGAGCATGTGTCAATGCGCGTATTGTCCGTCACGGTGGTGGAAGCTGGTGGTGCGAGGTGTGGAGGCGTAAGTTTGAAGGTTGGGGTGTGGAAGCATTAGTTTGAAGGTTGATTGCCGCCAGGGATGGGGATGATGGTGCCATCCCCGACGGTGACCACGATAAAATCGAAAAGCTCTGATACCATGTTAGAAATAAAGAAATGGAAAAAAGATTATATTGTATTGCATTGTATCTAAATAGCACAATAGGATCCTATATATAGGAGAAGGTTGTGAGTAGTGAGTGGTGAACAAGTAACCTATAAATGGTAATATGGTAGGTGTAATCATGCATGGTAATGTGTAGCGTGCAAGAAACCTAGGTGGTAGGTAAAGGGGTAAACTTCTAATCCAACACACATATTGTCAGAACCATAGCGTTCATGTTGTGGATCATGGCTAAGAAACCTCGCAACAAATCCAAAAGAGATTTTTGGATTACTTTTGTCATGGAGGCTTGAGGTAAAGGCTCATTAGGGTAAGATAAGCAAATGGGTGGACATCACGGTGCTAAAAACTTGGCAAACTCCAATCTGAGAGATATGAGCAAGCGCAAAGCAGATATTCCAATTTTCTGCACGTAAACAAACAGTTACAAGAGTGTCTCAGCACATAAAGGTTAATTAGTGGAGAAATCAAAGTATTATCGTTACTCTGTCTCTATCCTTCTAAATTCTTGCCAAACTCCTTCCAATTGTATACACCAATCATGCCAATGTTTACACACAATTGTGTTTTGTCTGATTTAGCAGAACCCCTTCAAGAATAAAGCAAAACATGATTCATTTCCTTTTTTCATCTCTTTATTACTATTCAAGTTAATATCACAGAATAAAAACTACAAAAATAAAGCATAAGATGATTCATTTCCTATCCTTCTCCCTTTCATCTCTTTAATACTACTCAACAAGTTAATATTCACTTTTCAGAGTCCCACACAGTACTGAGCCCTAATCTACCCAAACTATTCTCCTGTAGCAAAGATGTAAACAAAAAATTAGTAATAATATACCTGTAACTCAATGCTAAACTCTGTGGATCTACCAACAGCAACACTTTTAGATGGAAAATCATTTGAACTTTCTCCTGCAGCATTCTGAAGGTGACAATCATCCCCAGTACCTAAATATACCTTATCATCCTCTGAAGCAGAATAGCTACTGTTGGTTCCCAGTGAAATACATGAATCCAAATACTGTCCATTCTGTAGCAACAATAGATAACTCGATCTTGTTTAATTTCCAGACAAAAAGACCTTATATAATCAAACACAAAGCACATAAACCAACAGGTGGATACAAGAAATATACACACCTTGATAATCACGTTTTTGAATTGCAATCTTTTTCCGTTTCCAACATAAATTATAGCTTCTGTGCTAGGGGAAGAGAGAATGAATCCCCTCCTGTCTTTTAAATACAATGTTCCACCTCTACCATCATATATAAAGTGGTCAAATCTTTCATCATCAGCAACCAACGGTTGCTGAGGAGACATTGAGAATTCAGCTGATGGTTGACAGAAATTTGACTGATCCAGAATGAGAGCGTCAACTATATGTAAGGAATTCTCATCTTCTTCATTCGACAGCATACTTCGAACTGTTGGAACAAAAAATTCCACAACAGCCAGCAGAAAATCAAGTGCAACAAGCAATTGAGGCCTTTGGATGCATAAAGAAATAGATGTGGAATTTTGACTAAATTTGGCATCAAAAATAAGCATAGCAGGAACTGGTTTTACGCCATTATTTTGTGTCCCAATCATGTGATCATCTTCTTCATCAGTCAGAAACTGTAAAGGACTGTACCCAATGCTCTTGGACATTCCTATTGCCAGCCTTAGTTCTTGTTCAATCCCCTCACGATCATCAATCACTGTAAAATCCTTAAGTGTCGCTGACAAAAAACCTTCTCCTAGTGTGTTAGATTTGTAAAGAAGCCAAGCACCACTAACCTGAAATAACAGAATAAGTAAGCCCACCAAAAGACAATGAAATAATCCACCAGGTACAATGAAGAGATATATTAATGGGATAAATATCAAACTTATTAACAATGTAATGACTGATATCTCACTACCAAAAGGGGTCTGGCTAGATAAATGCAAGAACGTAGAAATATCAGCAAAAAAGTCCACCAAGGAAACAGCTAACTAAAAATATCAAAAGTGATATGGTTGTCCACTGCAAGATGCTAGGGTGGAGGAAGACTTAATAATGAAGGCACTCGCATGAAACTGTCAAGAAGTGGGGAATCCCTGACAGTCCAACAGCTTAAGAGGCTTGTTACGCTTCATTCCCCAGATTTGGCGCTCTTACTAGAAACAAAAGATGCAGTAGGACAGTTAGAAGAGTTGAGAAGGTGTTTGGGGTTTTCCATCAGAGTGAGTGTGAAATCCGGTTGAAGGGTGGATGATTTGTATTTGATGTCGGGCGAGGATGATGAAGTTTTGATTGTTGAGACCAGGACTTTCAGATCACTGTTAAAGTTGGGGACAGTATAAAAAATGCAAGTTGGTATTTCACAAATAGCAGTCACGCGCGTCTATTGGCGCCTGACACTTAGGACAAGGCGTCGCCCAGGCATGTGCCTGACGAATGTCGCTGCACCTGGGCATATAACAGGTGCAAACCATGTGCCTGTATGAGCCCAGGCGCGTCTTTAATAACACCAGCTTGGTGCAATGTTAAAATGCTCGGACAGCTGAGCTTCATAACGTGGCTTCAAGTCTAGAGGAGTCACTATTAATGCCATAGATTATACTTGAATCAAGTCTACCAATCCCAACACCCCACAATTGGCAAGACTAATACTGGATAATGGACATTTATTCTCCAAACTACTATACTTTTTGCCCATTTTGATCAAATATTCAACCCAACTAAGCAAAGTCTTTTTCCCAACTAGTAGGAGCCGGTTACATGAATCTATTTTTCCATTCCGCTCTTCTATCTAAAGACATAGCCTCAACCAAACCTCATGTTATCATATCCTTCCTTACTAACTATAGCCAAGTTATATTTAGACCTTTCCCTTCCCTAGCAATACCGTAAATATGAACCATGCCATGCTTCCTAACTGGTGCACTTATTGGTCTTTTTCACATAAGTCCAAACCATCCTAATCAATTTCATTTTATCTCCAATTGGTGCTGCTTCGACCATCTCATGAATCTGTTCATTTTTAATTCTATCCTTTCTTGTCTTGCCGCACATCCATCTTCACATTCACATTTCCGCCACTCTCACTTTATGCATATGTTGTTTCTAAGCAGTCTAACATTCTGTACCATAGAAAGTGGTTGATCTAGTAGCTGTTTTACAAAACTTCCCTTTCAATCTGAGCGAGAAACGTTGATCACATAATATACTAAACGCACTTTTCAATTCTAGCCATTCTACCTTGATTTTATTATTAGCATCATCTCCAACTTCTCCTTCATTATGAATAATTGAACCTGTATAATGAAAATTATCACCTTTGTTTTTTTACCTCTTGATCCTAAAGGGCGGGGTCAGTGAGTTGGCACAGGCCTGTTTGTTTAGCAAGGCTGGTTCTAGGCCGTAGTCGTTTTATTTGTTAAAAGAGATGTGGTCATTGTGCTGTGATTGTCAGATACCAAGCCAGTGACTGAAGGGGGATATCATTCAAGCCCAGGGCTAGCTGCGAGCCAAGCAACAAGAAAAGGCTCATCGCTCAAAGAAAAGATGCCGGTTACAGACTCCATTACTGGACCGGAGATCGTGGCTTTTCAAGTGTACGAGTAGTGATCCTTGAAAGACTTTCCGAGAGAGGTGAAAGATCTGACATCCCGAGCTCTACAATAGGCACCCTCCAGCAAGAAATGTCATATATAGAGGGACAAGAGCACATCTTCACTTCATCCCTATTTGTACTTTTAAATTTACTAAAGTTAAAATATATATATTTAGATCTATTCTAATTCATCTTAAACTCATTTAATTCTAAACCCTCCCTCCAAAACTCCAATTTAGCATTTAATCCTTGTCTAGTTTAATCAATTAAATAATATCATCAGCATAATAGACACCTTAAAATGTCATCCAGAAAGTGTATCGTTAGTCCATCCATTCTGAGCAAATCAATTTTTTAAATTCTCACGACATAAATTTTTAAGTATAATTGTTATATCGCTTGAATATAAAATATACATATATATATATATATATATATATCCCACACCATTGTTCATCAGACATCAGCAGAGAAATGACATATCAAAACTTCCACAATTATAACAATATAATACCACGCTGTTGAAACACAAAAGTGGGAAGGTATGCAGTTTTTCCACCCAAACTCCCTCCATAGTTCAAACAGATTCATGAACTAACCTGAGATCTAAATCTTCACATTAAGTAAAATCTCAGGTTCACAAGCGCATGAATGTAAGGTTTGAGTTTGAAAGCAGTCACTTTGTACAAAATACTGCAAATAATTACATCTATTTTCAGGCAACCCCACTCAGCACCTCGAGCAGCGTAGCCATAACTAACAATTGGTAATGGCAATGTTAGATGCGACCAATTTATATTGAACCATGGTTATAAATCAGGCTTTTCCAAGATGCACTCAGTTGCAGAAAATAACCATCTTCAAAACTTTGAAATACTTCTGAGTGCTGACAAAAAATTTCCAAGAGAATTTATACTGATATGAAGAAACTACATGTTGGAAACAGAACAAATTCAGCAGAGTTTATTAAATACCTGCACAGTAGCCAGAGATGTATCTCTAGTTATGCCATGATGCAGACATAATTCCACCAGATTAATGACAACAGAAACCTTCATGGAAATCCAGGTTTCACGGATTTGAGTTTCAGATTCGTCAGCATCTGAATCATGAGGGACTAGAGTTTCCACCAAATCAACCCGAGATGTAACAGAATCATGGTTTAATGGGGGCACCGTATTTGGAGTCTCTGAGATATTAGACACTGCACATTCTGTAATTATCTGGTATTCTCGGTTAGACATGGCTGCCTTCAGTTCTTCTATCTGAAGTACAAATATCTAATCAATCACCATAAATCACGAACCGCTTGATATTTATTCATTAAATTTCAAAAATCCAAAGATTAAATCACAAATTAATTTTTTTCCACAACATCACCAATCCTAACAATCAAGCAATTCACTACCTTAATTTGAGCTTCAGTACTTGGTATCTGATGCAACAAATCTCTTAGTGACCTACGAATAACAATACAGACCCCCTCCACATCTTGAATTATACTTTCACCCAATTCTGTTCCAGTGTAGACATTTAAATTGACGTCTTCAACCTACATTAAGTACGGTAAATATCAGAACATGTATTTTGGGTAGGAAAAAATATAAACACGTGTATCTGGACAAGAATCTGCAATAAATTGAAAATTATGCCATCAAGTAATATGGCTAGGTATTGTGCCAAGCCAAGTTTATAGATACAGAATGTGAGAATCAGAAAGATGTATTATCAAGAATGCTGACAGCAAAAAATAGGCTTCTTTCTCTAATAAACATGAGCACCAATGGAATCGATCCACAGTTTCAATTATTCATTGACCTAGCAGTTGAAACACGCTTTTTAAGAAGAAAAAAATACTCGTATATGTCAGCATATAGAACTTATCATAACTACCAAGGGTTGAAGCAAGTGGTACTTCCTCACCTTCCAAAGTAGAAGGTAGAGGGTTCAAGTCCCCATAGTATTTGAGTTGCAAATAGGAGGGGGAAAAAGAGGAAAAACTTACCATAACTGTTAATATTTCAACATGAACAGCATTCATTTCACTCTTACTGCCACAAAACCATTGAAAGGTGTTCTGGACAGTAATATGAACAACATCAAGCTTCAGATATCTGTAACAGAAACAAAAGATTAAAAAATGCAACCAGCACAATGATAAGGTTGAAATTCCACTTTATACAATAAATGATGATGCATGTTTGGGTAATTGGGCTGGTAAGGAAGGGAGGGAAGGTGTTTAGACTTACTCAAGGCTATCCGTTCTCTGAGGCATTACTATTATAGGCTTCCTAAGTGAAAGATTCAACTTTACAGCAGGTGATCCTTCAATTTCGCTTGTTGTGAACCACTTCTCCGAGTTTGTTACTTGATCCTTTATTTTTACAACTTCCCTTGAATTGCTGGGAACAAGGCCCATGAAGTAACTAACAATCTACAAGCGAAATTTACATCAAAATGAAATAACACATAATACGGCAGTAACGAACTAATGAGATATGAACTGCAGTGATCTACCTCCTGAATAAAGCGATTCAGATAAACAACACGTACTTCCGAAAGCTGCCCATGAAGGCTAAAATCATAACCATCATAGTCTTCATCATCAGCATTGTGTGAACTAAAGACCAACTGTAGATTCAAGGATAGATATTGTAAATTAGACGTAACGGCTAACAAAGACAAAAAAATTTAAAAAGCAACAATCGAAAAGGTAAAGGATAAAAGAGAAGCTAGAATGTAACAAACAATGCAGAAATCAAAAGATATGGTGAAAACAATCTTTGGGACATCATGTGCAAACCTTTGTTCCATGTCTTGAAAAGATAGGTACACTCGTGCATGCATATATACGTGCACAAACAACAAAACCCGATTGAACTCAGTTAATTTAGTGATCTTTCTCATCACAACAACAAATTGGGTCAAAAATCATCGACTCTAACAAAGTGTGTTACCACTCAGTTGAGTCAGACCGTATCATCCTACCTTTAAAACCATGGGTTATACTAAACCCATACTTCTAAATTTGCATTTACCACGAATCTACTTTCAACGATTAAATTATATCACCACCAAATAAGATACAAAAAAAATGTTGAATCAATTCATATGATGTGAGCCACGAACACAGAGGTGGAAATGGTGTGTCAAAAGAGTTAGATTATGGTACTAAGAGGGAGGTTTATGGAGTGAGCTGCTTTTGGAACCATGGTAATGGTCATGGGGATCCTTACCACATGTGATAAATAGAGTGGTTAAGAAGTCTCACAAATTATGAAGCATTCATTTAATGTCTAGCAACATTCTAAGTATCTGAAGCAAACAGAAAAAGAAACAAGTCTTCTTATAGTAGTAAGGAAGACTAGAAATACTCCAATCACCGTCGGAGCCCAGATTTCCAAAGGGAAATCTGGGAAAACCTGTAGAGAAGTTTATAAACTGATAATAACTCAAAATATATTGATTAAGACTTGGTCACAGCAGATAAAGAGGGCTGCCCCTTTTATAGTACAACTATTAATGAAACTTGACTTTTCCTAGAAAGACTTTTAGACTACCCAAAGAGCATAAAAGACAACTCTTACTATTTCCATGACATTTTCAGACTTCTCATACCATAATTACTACTTAATAGTCTTTGAATAAACTCATTTCAAGACATATTCACTGCCAAAATCCAGACTAGAGAAACTGTTAGTTATTTGCATCCGTATCGCTTGATATGGAACGAATTGGCAGAGTCGTAATAAACTTGACTAGAGTAGACTCCCTGACAGTCCTCTCTATTGTGTGAATTCACTGTTGACTTGGTAGCCTGACATCCTGCCTGTTAGAATGTCTAATGTATATGGGTGTACTTGAGATTATTTCATAAGGGGCACGTTGGTAATTTTGTAGTGATGTAAAATCGTCATATAGAGAGAGCAGTGAGAGAGGTTGTAAGACTGATGAATTTTTCCCCCAACACTGTTCTCTTTTCTTCTTCTCTGTATCACAATTCCATCACTGCCCAAGTCAAAGCCCAAAAAATCCAGACCCCACTTAACAGTATCCATTATTGTTAGCATATATGATATCCACGATTTATAGAATGACTTACCATAATAGCATAAGACTTGACTATGCATATGTTAGCATATATGATAGCCACGATTTATGGAATGACTTACCATATTAGCAGAGGTTTGATTATGCTATAGAATATGCCATAGAATATGTTTTACAATATGTTGTGATTTGATTTAGATTTGATTTAGTTTCCTTTCTTGTAATATGAGCATGTGCCCTTTTTATCTATAAATACTAGAGATGTGAATGAGTGATTTATCTCATTTAAGCCTTTATACAATTCTCTCCTTTTTCTTCTATATTGTATTTCTACTATTATTATATTTTCATAAATATTCAACTTCAGCACAAAATTAATGAATAACAAAAAAAAATTGATTTCACCCCTGAATGCTTTTATAATCTAAAAATAAGGTTAATTACAAATTAACATATAGACAAATGAATTATAAATAAGATAGTAAAGACCATTTCAACTCCATAACACCACCACAAGAAGGGAAAACAATTCCCACGAAATTCGTTCAAATTTTTGAAGTCTAATTAACAAATATTCTATATGGAACTTACAAACTTGAAAGAAAAAAGATTCTGAAGAGTAAGACCATTAGAATAACAACATAACAAATACCTCCACAAATGAACTACCACCAGGATTTCTCATATCACAGACCCAGAAATAAACATGGTCGCTTCGAAGACTGTCATCACTAATTCTCAAATTTCCTAGGGCTGCCTTTATACTAAAAGAAGATGGAAACACCTGGGAGAAAAATATATATATAATAAGTCAGATAGGCATTAAAGTAAATATGAAGTGACACATAATCCTTAGATTAAAAAATATTTATACAATAATAATACTAATAATAATAAAATAAAAAATCCAACTCAACCTTAATATCAGTTAATAAATTATCTTGGGACAGAGTAGCAAGCTTAGTTCCATTTTCATTCATCAACAAAATCTGAGCACGAGCCATTTTCAATGTTAGATAGAAAATAATTCTGGATTTCCCCTTCCCTAGCAAACCTTTAACAACTACAGGCTCCTCAACTGTAGTTGACTGCAAATTATCAACCACATCTTCCCTGGAACTATCATGATGCACAATGGCTATTGAAGAATTGTCACCAAAAGATTCACAGCTTTCATCCTTAACATTAACAGCATTAACAAATTCCATAATAGCTAGTATTGTAGGTCTACGACAAAAGAAGGACAAGGTGGAAAGGGTCACTGTAACCTGAAATAACCATTGAGGAAGTAAGTTAGTAGCCATATAAATAGGTATGGGAAGAATCTTGAAAAACTACTCACCCGTTTATCAACACTATTATATAGATGCGAGTTCTGGTCATAAATAATTATCTGAGCTCTCACAAAACTATCCAATGTATCAGTAAGTTCCATTAGATCACTTCCAGTTTGAACAATGTCGTCAGGAAGCAAGCCAGTAACACGATCAAAACCAGGTGACGTCAAAGTTGACTTTTCAGAGGAGAGAGAGTTTTGGTAACTCAGGTACTCAGATATTTTTCGCGCTGACCGTGCTGGACTATCAACAGAATCACTAAGATTCTCCGATGCCTCATAAAACCTATCATCTCCATCGCTACTCTGATTCCCAAAATCATCGGAAACCGATATCGCATCTGCACTCCACATGAACGATCTTGCCAAATAACAAGGCTGAGAAATTCCTTTGCAGCTAACTAAATCTTCTATTTCCAAAGATTTCAGGATCATGCCAACGAACAGGTCCTTCTCTCTCATTGAAAGCTCGACCTGTTTGACCAGAGCCATTTAAATCCTCAACAGAGGAAACCAACAAAGCAATCCATAAACAGACATAGAGTTGAGTCTTGATCTTACCCGACCACCTATCGCTCGGAATTCAAATAAACGACTCTCGTCAGCTAGAAGCACTTCCATGAAACTTTGATCATGCTAGAGGAAGAACAATAAAGAAACAAATCGTAAACCCCAAGAATTCCATGATGTTATGACAAGAGATACAACATACAAAACTGGCAAACATCCTCAAAATTCTTTGAAGGCTAGCCAGGCCTACCTGACCGTTATAACTGAAACATATCTTCAACTCATCAAGCTCACCGGCTATAAACATTCTCTCCATCTTTGACATATCTGTTACCTCACGGTTAGCAATTTCTGTTTCTGAGTCATCAGCATCTGATGAAGTTTCTGATAAACCAGTGACAGGAGCAGAACCCTGCACACAAAACTAAGTGAGACAAATCTATTTTACCAAAAGCAACATCTAATTCGGGACGGAGGGAGTAGAACTTAACTGCAATTTGATACATTATCTTATCAATAAAATAATGAACTTTTTAATAAGAAAAGGAGGAAAAAAAAAAAAACCTTCATAATAAGAATAGAACTAATTTATGTTTATTCTATCACAGTACGGCAATAGAAGATACTGGAGAGACCTTTGCCAAACAAAAGACACACCAACCATAGTTTCCCACACAATTGTTTGTTACAAATCTATGAAAAACAAATGTGAACATTTTTCCTTTATAATAAGAAAAGGAAAAAAAAAAAAAAAAACTATTGAAACTTCTTAATAAGAAAATAAGTAATTTATGATGCTTCTATCACAGTACTGCAATATAATATACTGGAGAGCCATTCGCCAAACAAAAGACACACCAACCATAGCTTCCCACACAATTGTTTGTTACAAATCTATGAAAAAAATGAATGTGAACATTTTCCACAGATACTCTCAACCAAAGAAGCTAAAGCAGTCCGTGTCAACTCCTATATCTTCCTAGCAAAATTCAGAGGAATCCAGCTAGATTTCCATGTTGTTTAAGTTCCACATCTGGAGTTGGATTAGTCACAAGGTTGTCTGTTTGACATTAATTACCATGTCCTCTTTTCGCATTCAAATTAATATTTTTAAATCCTGTCACCATCATCATTATCATCATCATATAAGATGTTTAAATCCCGTCATAAATGATGATGATCATTTTATGACGGGAGTTAAACATCTTAAATGATAATGATGATGATGATTAATACACCACCATATGAAAGAAGAAAAACTTGCCAATAACCATGTTACAATTAAGGGTCAATCCCTGAATCATTTCCCCAAAAGGACTCCAGCCCAACTACCTCGATAGACAGAGCATTGTGCAACATCCTAAACAGATTTAAACTCCAAGGTCCAGTATTACAGTCATAAAATCTCGAGACTATGATCATATGTGTTTTGACTAATGCTGATATGATCATGAAATGTGCATGTCCAGAAAATTAATTATTGAGCCTCTTCTGCATGCAAGTTTATTTAGCAATCAGACTACCAAACATCTTCCATAGGCAATCTAGTCCAGTGTTGTGGCTATACAATACCATAAATACTAATAATAATTTCCCAAAGTACCAAACATAGAACCCCAGTCCACATAGATTAACACCCTTCACTAGAAAGAGAAATTTAGGAAGATGGAACGAGTATTTGAAAGAACCCCAAAGAACATTAATTAACAATAAGCACTGAATCAGAACGAAAAAGAACTAAATCCCTCAAACAGCTAGATAACAAAACCAATTTGAAAGAACTTCAATTTTCCGGAGAGAGGAGGGTGAAGGAGGTGCAGAACTGCTATTGCAAGCCTATCACATCAGAGGAAATTTATCTTCCATCAAACCAATGAACCTTCCTAGTACAAAATATATTGACATGTGGGCAAAGTGTATATTTTGAGCAGCAGCAATCAATATGAATCAACAGTTTCAAAAAAAGCGAGTGAGGGACAACACACCGATGCACGATAAATAGCACCCTGCAGACGGGTCTGCCAAGTTCTCCTTGAATCATTGGAGTCGCACCGTAATATTAAGGCGTTTACATCTTCCACGACCTACATACAAGTGATAACTAATGAAGATAGAAATCTCATGAAACCAAGGAACACCTCAAATTTAAGCGAAAAGGTCACCATAATGGCACAATACCAAAAGTTAACTGCAAACCATGTCAACAACCTTGCTATTAGATCGTGAAGTATCCGTAATAGCCAATACATCTTCCACATTGCCAACAATTTCTTCTGGAACTTGATGTAGTTGTTTCCCTCGTAGGCTAAGGAAGCACATCAGAAGTTTCCATCAATAAGAAACAAATAAAAATAATGAAAGATTCTGCACATAACATTATCATCAATTCAATGATACATAACAGATGAAAGAGAAAGAGCAAGTCTACAATGAAGGTGAGGGTTCACAGCTACGTCCCTTAGATCCACTGATGATGACATCATTCAGATCCACAGATCCAACGGATGAGAGCAAAAGATCGCCATGAAGGCACCCTCATCATACCATTTTTCGAAAGACAAACTGGATTTCTCTTATAAATAATAAATATATAAACAAAGGCATCAAAAGGGGCACAACCCAAATACAACCGAAGTATACAGGACAGAACACTCGGAAAGGCTAAAGAGGGCCGCATAAAATAAAAAACACCTACATTTTCTTAAGAATACTCATCTCGGTCAAAATATTAGTGGAAGCAAAAGTGCATTATCATTGATCAACTATATCTCCACCTGTCCAAGGTGCTGAGAGTGGAAAATTATAGACAAACAAAACTGTAGTTCAGAAAGTTGATTGTAGTGCACGTGCAAGAAATTATTTCTTTCTAAATACAATGAAAATAGCACGATAAGAACAATTTTGTCAGCTTAGATCCCAGCAACTGCATATCTAGAGGATACATTCCCCAACAAATTCAACGGAGCAAACCTAAAGCCGTCAAATTCCATGTAAGATGAGCTCTCGAAACCTCACAAATCATGAGTCTAGAGCCTCCCTCACCATCTCTAAGAAAAAATATTGGACCTTAAAAGAGACAAAATCGAACATTTTTGTTTGGGTAATGTTAAATAGAACTTCATAACACCAATTAGGCAGAACTTTGCCCCTCTTGATCAAATAATCAATCGAAAAAACATTCTTTAGTGAAATTATCCAAGAAATTCAAGCAATATTACATACAACCTTAGATTTCCAAGGCTTCTCCGAGGTAACATTCCAACTACTCAAGCTCCTATAATAAGATTTATCAAGAAAAATCATTTTATCCAGGCTAACCACCTCAGTGAATCCTCTCCAACCCCCAAAAGGAGAACATATACATAATACTGAGTGTCCGCCAACCATAACAAAGTGACGACGCAAAACCATCCCACTCTCACAGCTACACATATAATCTGCCACAAGCCCATAATTATTCACTCTCATGCCAAAAGAGTTTACAAAAAAGTATCTTCCAGAGAAAATCTTCAAAACATATATCATGATTGATACCAGAAAGGAACCAACAGCCCATTGCCCACCACAAAGCCATATACTTCTGATTTCCTTCAAACCAGATCTTGTCACCTTCCAAAAACAACACCATGAGCAGTTGGAGGTTTTAATCAATAATACTAGAAATCAATTTAAAACTCTTATCATACGTTGTGCAACCTTCACCAAATAAGTAACATGAGGTTCTAAAATGGCCAAAGACGTCGAATATAATCTTGACATGGACAAACACTGCCAGTATCAGGGCAGTCCATTCCACATCAATCCTATATTCCACGTGCAACTTCTAATCCAAATGTAAATTCACAACTTCAGTCCAGTACATGTGCCTTTAGGTAAGGGTATATTTTATGCATAATCAACCAGTGTCTTCCAGAGAGAGTTAAAATTAAAAAGATAATGTTCAAACAGAAACTTGGTCGAAAATAAGAAATACATTCCTCTAAATGAGTTCTTTCCAATAATAAAATGAGATGGGTGTCCACATTATCACTTTGTGTAAAGGGGGAATCATCAAAGGCTTAGAACAATTTTTAGAGGTTAAGGTTGATCATTACTCGAGGGCTATGAGAAAGTTGCATCCTCTCTTATGTGTCGGGATTTGGAAATGAATTCTAGCTTAAATGTGTTGTGTTTCAAGGGTTGTACCTTTTACTCTCCACAAAAACCTACCTACAACCATTAGAAGGTGATTCTTTAGGGTACCCTTGAAGATTCGGCAAACCAGCCACACTCTTCCTCGGAGCACTTTACAAGCCAGTCTCATGAGTCCCAGCCCTTCCACACATTATGACTGGCAAATACTGATCAGAGTGACCCAATCAGAAATTCACTGATCCGTGCCGGAATGTGGCTCCCAACTTAATGGAGCCAGCTGTGTAACATTGAAGTGGTAAAATAAGAACTAATGGACATTCCACAAGGACATCTCTCTTTTATTTATTTGTTATTGATTAATGCCTCATGAATACACGCGCGCGCGCGCACGTCTGTACTTCATCAACTAAAGGTTCCCCCTCAGAATCCGCGTCCTCATACCATTAAAGATCCCTAGTCCAAAATCTGGCAGATACATTCTTCAGGGACCAAGACATGAAAGCTCCAAACTTGAAACTCCACATGGACCCTAAGTCTACCGAAGGCTCGATGATGGAACTAGCCCAAGGTCGTGGCGCTAACGTCAGCATTCTCTTTCTCAACGACCTCTTCTCCTAAGGTTAAGCCTCAATGATGATATTTAGACTGGAGTCACAGGCTAGTTTTGATATGCTCAAACCATCGAGAAACTCCCAATTGCATATAATTCTCAAGGATGATTCAAAGAATCAAGAGGCCTATTCTGAGTAGGGAGCAGGACTCATGACAGCCTTTGGGCTACTAGGATTCTAGGAGGTGCTAGATTTGCTGGCTAAAGTCTAAGGCCCATCGACAAGGAGAATCACCCTCTCACATGGTCCAACTATCTCTCGACCTGACTTCAAGAGAGAGAGAAGCCATTAGACTCCTTCGCTAGCCCATGTCCACTCTAGATGGTTACTTTGCCATTATTTATTGCATTAAATAAATTCCTTAACCTCATGGTGATGACCCATACTTTACCCTTATTTTCTTTTCATTGTTATGCCCTTTTATCACCACAATAAACCTACTTGTCTTACCTCTGATTGATATCCACGTATGCCACCACAGAATCTCGTCTTTGGGTATAAAAAGGGTGTCATCCCAAGGAGGAGAACCAGGAGCTACATTCTAAACATTTAAGTTCTCGTTCTCCTCTCTTCAAAATACTATAATATATCTCACCTATGTAGTCCTCTAAAGCCTCTCTTCCCTCACCCTCTAAGCCCTCACAAAGGGAGACAGTGGTAACCTTCTACATTGCCACTCTTTCTCTGTTTCACAAGTTTGCCGCAACTTCCACCTCACCTACTCTACTGGGGATCTCTACTGCATTATAGGTAAACACCTCACATCACAAGTGTTTCTCGAACCTACAATCAAAATAAGAACAAATTTCAAAACGCAATTCTTTTCCAGAAGCTTGAGTCAAAGGATCTTGAAGAGCACTTTGAAATTCACCCAACAGTATTGTGAAGAGTTGAATGTAAATCATGACAGAAACACTTGGATTCGACAATAAAATCAGTCACTAGAACAACAAAGAGATTGATTTGATGTGGAATTGATCGAGGAGGAGAGGCACCTCAGTTGCAACTATCTTATAAGGGTCGCTTACCAAGAACCACAATCACATTTTAGCTGTACACTACGAAGTGCTGACTTCTTACCTGAGACACTGCTTGTAGGATTTAGAGCCAAGGCTTTCAAGTACATATAGAAAAGGCCCAACTAAACATAAGTATCTCCGTTTCCATACAGCTTCCCTGCTTCCCACACCCTAAAACAATGAGAATGAGAGAAAATAAGAATAGAGAAGGTCAAGAGAACCATAATGGAAAACATCGAAGTGCTAAAAAAATTTAAAAAACAAACAATGCAGAAGGCAAGACCTGCCAACTAAGAATAGACAACCACCCCTCAAAATCAGCTTGATTCCAAGGGCGAATGACATCTTCATTCTCACTATCCACTTCCTGAAATATCTTTGCAACTTGCATCAACCGATGATAACGAGCAGGGGAGAAATGAAACCCAAGGGATGGAAGTCGCATAGCGAGTCTTGTTGAAGGATAGGAAGGGTTCTCTGATCGGATCTGGACAAAGTGGTATGATAATAATAGCGTAAATCGCTTGAAACATCGCCAAACAATTACACATAAATCAAAGCTCATGAAAACAAAAGGAGAATATTACCTGTTGAAACTTTAGAACTACACCACACTTGTCAATAACAGGCAAGAAACTAACAACACTTAACTGAGAGGTTTCACTCCATCGATAATCACCATCAACCAAAAAAGCAGATACATCGCTCAAAACCAGGTCAAATTGCAAGTACATATTCATCTCGTCAGGTGAACCCCTTTCACGGTCATCCTGCACATATTAAACATGTTTTACATAAAACATGGCTCCAAAATGTGGCAAATATATATGGAATTAGGTTTCTGAATCAACCTGACTACGAATGATTAAGTTTCCCAAGTCAAGCAGAAGTTTGGTTGAATGTTTATTATCCGGGTGGAAGTTGGTGGGAATGGTAATCTTAGGAGCCGCAATATCCAAGTCCAATAAAAACCTAGCAACAGATGGATGTTAGAGGCATATCTTTTAATAATAGAAAAACTAAAAATACAAAAAATTAAAAATTAATTAACCAGCGATAGCTGCATGATAGATCTGGGGACCATTTGCACACAATCACAATTAATAAGAATTACATAGTGATGTAGTACATGAATGAACAGGCACGAACAGTGCGCGTGAACATTGTGTGAACAGTGCTCGTGAACAGTGTTTCTAGTTTCTACTCTCATTGTCTCAATTTCCTAATAGTTTAGTTTATGTTTTAGGAAAGTTATTCATTGTTTTAATTTCCTAATAGTCTAGTGTCCGTTTTAGGAAAGTTTTCGAACAATTTCCTAAATAGTTTAGACTTTGCTAAGGCCTATAAATACATGCTATTGTAATAGTTTAGGAACCAGTTATTTCTTTATCAATATTAGAAAATCGAGAGTTTCTCTCAACCTCTTCTGGTGGATTCGAGTGTTTAAAGAATACGATCTTATTCTTAATTATTTTAATTGCTTTCATTGATATGCTGTATCAAATTGGTATTAGGGACATTCTCGATGGACGGTAATGAGGGAGAACGTGCGGTGATTGTGGGAGAATTCCAACAATTGTGTCAGGAACTCAAACAGGAGATTGAGACAGCAATTGAACATTTAACTGAAGCCATGAATCGTGCGTAGGTCCGTAATAGGCATATTGAGACCAACCTGATGGTGTGAATCAGCCATGACAAAGGGCTGGAAATCAATGTGGTCATCTTCAACGGAGGTCTGGTCTGATTCAAGCGTTGATGAGATTGAAGGTATCATTTTATCACATGGAGATCATGAGGCCCAAATAAATCAGCGAGACTTTTGGATGAAAATTGAACTTCCGCCTTTTAATGGTCAACTTGATATCAAAGGGTTTCTAGACTGGCTTTCGAAAGTTGACAATATTTTTTATTCTAGGGGTATTGCGGAGGAAAAGAAAGTTAAATTGGTCGCCTATCATCTTAGAGTGGTGCTTTTGCATGGTGGGATCAGTAACAACTTTCTCGAACCCAACAGATGAAGAATTCGATTAGATCATGGTCTCGGATGAACAACTGTTGTCAAGGACTTATTTGTTATTACTTATATAATGTTGGGGCATATGTGTATTTTCTGAAACTTGTTATTATAAATAGAATGTGGTGGAATGATGAAAGTATTCTTTCATTCTTTCTGTCTTTCCCCATCTTTTTCTCTTTTTCTCTCATCCGCTTTCTTTTCTTTTTCTTCTTATTCTTTATCACTTACTCTTGATTTGATTATATCTTAAGTCAACATGGTATCATAGACATGTTTGTAAAGCTCTAGGTGTGTGGTTGAAACCCTAGGGCAAGTTTGTGTAAACCCTAGTGGGTGTGAAGGGTTTTGAAGAGATTTCAAGACGGGATTCATAGTTGTCAAAGGCGCCTGAGGCGCAGGGCGCGTACAGGCGCCATCATATCACCTCTAAGAACTTAAGGCGACTGGGTTGATGGGGGCGCGCGCCTATGCTACTAAGGCGTAAGGCCACAGGCGCACCAAAGGCACGCCTTATTAATCGTCTCCTTTTATTGTTATTTCTTATTTGTTTAATATGTTTATTTTATGTTATTTTTTTATTATTACTGTTTTTTACAATACCAAAACGAATAAAATAAAAGGCAAAAGGAAAGTGATTTGAAAGCAAAGAGACTGAAGCAAAAGGAAAGGGCTAGGGCTTGCGACGAATCTGCCGACTTCTCCCACGAATCTGCCTCTTCTCTTCGGAATCCAGGTAAGTTCTCACTGTTCTTCCTCTCTCTTCTTCTTCTCTCTTCTTCGTCTTCTCTCCTTTCTCTCTCTTCTTCGGAATCTGCCTCCTTCGGAATCGGCAGAATTCTTCCCTCTTTTCTTCTTCTTCTTCTTCTCTCCTTCATTTCTCTCTGTTCTTCAGAATCTGCCTCTTCTCTTCAGAATCGGCAGAATTCTTTTCTCTTTTCTTCTTCTTCTTCTTCTTCTTCTTTTTTTTTTTTTTTTTTTTTTTTCTCTCTCTTCTTCGGTAAAACTTATCTGCCTCTTCTCTTCAGAATCAGCAGAATTCTTCTCTTTTTTCTTCTTCTTCTCTCTTTTTTTTTTTTTCTCTCTCTCTCTCTCTCTTTTTCTCTCTTCTTCAGCAGAACTTATTTGAGTTTGGCATTTATTTTTCCAACTTACAGATTTTTGCCCTCTTTTGTTTCGCGTCTGGAAGTGAAGTTCCTGCTTTTGCTTCTTTATGTGAAATTACTTAAATTTGGGATTAATATAATCATGATAATCTGGGCTCTGTTTCTGTTGAAAAAGAGATATTTGGTTTTAATAAGATCATATTTTAGGGGATATGATAGGCGTGTAAATATAGATAGTCAATGACCAGATTTTAGGGGATATTTTAGTGTATAACCTATAGCTTCTATTAGTGCACAGCCTGTAGCTTCTGTTAGTATACAGCCTGTAATTACAGCCTGTAGTTTGCTGTCACAGCTTGTAGTCAGCTTGTAGTTTCCTTTTTTTAGCCCCTTGTATGTCCTATTTAACTAAAGCATTGTAAACCATTCAAAGGAAGGCAATATACAGATTTTCTTTCAATCTTGAAATCGCCTATTTGGTATCAGAGCATCTTACCGATTCTTCTGAAAAAAAAAACCCCTAGCTGTTCCTTTTTTTTTTTCTCTTCCAAACAACTCTAATCACCATGTCTGATGACATACCTGAGTCCAAGACCAAGACCTTTGAGTCCCAAGTCCAAAACTCTCAGACACACTCGGTCCAGATTACCACAATTCGGCTAAATGGTGAAAACTTCCTTCGCTGGTCCCAGTCCGTGCGGATGTATATCCGAGGCAGAGGCAAAATCAGCTACCTAACAGGAGAAAAGAAGGAACCAAAACCCGAAGATCCATCCTACTCGACCTGGGATGCAGAGAATTCGATGGTGATGACCTGGTTGGTGAATTCTATGGAGGAGGACATCAGTTCTAATTATATGTGTTACCACACAGCAAAAGAACTTTGGGACAATGTCAACCAAATGTATTCAGACCTAGGAAATCAGTCTCAAGTCTATGAACTAATGCTGAAACTCGGAGAGATCCGTCAAGGAGATAACAGTGTTACAAAATATTTCAACTCTCTGAAACGTTTGTGGCAGGACCTTGATTTGTTCAGCGATTATGAGTGGAAATCGCCTGAAGATTGCAACCATTACAAAAAGAAGGTGGAAGACAACCGCATCTTCAAGTTTCTCATTGGACTCAATGTCGAGTTTGATGAAGTGAGAGGCAGAATAATTGGACGACAACCCTTGCCTTTAATCGGTGAAGTCTTCTCCGAGGTTCGAAGAGAGGAAAGTCGCAGGCTGGTCATGCTTGGAAAAAAGTTATCAAATGGTGCTGTTGAGACCTCTGCCTTGGTCGCATCTGAAGCGAATATTGGCAGGAAACATAATGAAAAGCCCCGTCTTTGGTGTGACCACTGCAACAAGCCTCACCATACCCGTGAAACCTGCTGGAAAATTCATGGTAAACCAGCGAATTGGAAGAGTAAGCAGGAAGGCAGATTCAACCAGGAAGGCAGATTCAACCGAGCCCCATCAGCTCATGAAGTCGAGGCACTTCCCTTCAGCAAAGAACAGATGGATCATCTTCTAAAATTGCTGAAATTCAATTCCTCATCTGGTACTCCTAATGTTTCTCTTGCTCAAACAGGTAACAACCCGAAGGCCTTATCTTGTCGTTCAAATTCCAGTGTTACCCCATGGATCATTGATTCAGGGGCTTCTGACCATATGACAAGTTGTTCTCATTTATTTCAAACTTATTCACCCTGTTCTGGCTCTGAAAAAAAAAAAACAGAATAGCTGATGGTTCTTATTCTCCTATTGCAGGCAAAGGTTTAGTGAAACTTTCAAAAATTATTGATCTTAAGTCTGTCCTTCATGTCCCTAAGCTTGCTTGTAACCTTTTATCAGTTAGTAAATTGTCCAAAGACTCTAATTGTCGTGTTATCTTTTTTTAATCCTATTGTGAATTTCAGGACCAGAGCTTGGGGAAGACGATTGGCAGTGCTAAGATGATAGATGGTCTCTACTATTTTGAAGATGATATTTCAAGTAATAAAAAGGCTCAAGGTTTGAGTAGTTTTCGTTCTATCCCTGTTAGAGAACAAATAATGCTATGGCATTTTAGACTAGGGCATCTTAGTTTCCCTTATCTTAAAAAATTATTTCCTTCTTTGTTTAAAGGATTGGATTGTTCATCTTTTTATTGTGAGAATTGTTTTTTATCAAAGAGTCATCGTACTACGTATTCTCCTAAACCTTACCAAACATCAAAACCATTTTATTTAATCCATAGCGATGTTTGGGGCCCTTCTAGGATCACAACTCTTTCTGGAAAAAAATGGTTTGTGACTTTTATTGATGATCATACACGTTTGTGTTGGGTGTATTTAATGAATGAAAAATCTGAAGTTGAAAAATTATTCAAGGATTTTTATATGATGATTGAAAATCAATTTCAAACAAAAATTGGCATTCTTCATACTGATAACGGCACCGAATACTTTAATGAAGTTTTAGGAAGTTTTTTAACAGAAAAAGGAATTTTTCACCAATCCACTTGTGTTGACACACCCCAACAAAACGGAATTGCTGAAAGAAAGAATAAACATTTACTTGAAGTTTCTCGTGCCATCATGTTTTCAATGAATGTTCCTAAGTATTTGTGGGGTGAAGCCGTTTTAACAGCAACATATTTGATTAACAGGATGCCTACTCGTGTTCTTAACTATTTTACACCCCTTGAAAGCCTTAAAACATCTTTTCCTGAAACTCGGATTTATTCAAACCTGCCTTTGAAAGTATTTGGGTGCACTGTCTTTGTCCATTTACCTAGTAGACTTCGATCGAAATTGGATCCTCGGGCTGAAAAATGTGTATTTGTTGGGTATGCCCCCGAATAAAAAGGGGTACAAATGC